TGTGTTGCTGTGATGCTACAGCTGAGACTCATCTCAACCACGCAGACTAATGAGTGACTCGTGGCTTGATAATTACTGTGAGGAGAAGTCTGGAGAAGTCTACATTCATACGGACAGAGTCTGAACCAATAAGCCTCATCTGTTCACTTCCTGTTCGCTTGTATTTATGGTATCTACTCCGTACAGTTGGCAGTCCTTTCACGAAAGAGTCCCGGGTTCTACACATGGGGTTTAGACAATGACTGAGGTTTAGACTCATGTTGTAAAATAAAATATTATTTTGACCTGAGCAAGTACTTTCCCTTATTTAAAAAGTATGAACATGATGAGCATGAACAACACAGTCGCATGAGTAGGATATATAAATATGAGCAAGACATATTTTTTTACATTCACTCCCTCCCAGGTGGTACTGTTAAAGAATGACACTAAACATTATCCTCAGAGTGGCATCTGTTGTTTGTAAGGCAATGTATAAATTAGCAAACATATGAAAACAGAATGATCCTATTTCCTATTATATTTCCACAAAACATGCAACTGAGAAAGATTCAACCTTTCACCTGATCCCGCATTGAGGTACGGTTCTGTAGCGTCATCATTTTCAGAGAGGTCCTACACCAGGTTTACAACAGTTTTCTCAAGTCTCTCTGCTTTAGTACAAATAAACAGAAAGCATGTGTTTTCACAAAATGAACTTGCTCACTATCTGACAATGCTTGTTAAAGGAGTAGTTCACTTTAAAAAAACACTTTTGGTGATAACTTACTCACCCCCATGTCATTCAAGATGTCCATGTCTTTCTTTCTTCAGTCGAAAAGAAATTAAGGTTTTTGATGAAAACATATCAGGATTTTTCTCCATATAATGGACTTCAATGGTAACCAAACGGTTCAAGGTCCAAAAGACAGTTTCAGTGCAAACTGCAAACTGTTCAAAAGGCTTTAAACGATTCAAGGCGATGAATAAGGGTCTTATCAAGCGAAACGATCGCTCATTTAAAAAAAAAAAAAAATTTAAGTTTAGAAGCTCAAATGGTTGCCTTGCCGATCTTTCAATGTTTTTTTATCATTTCGTTCGTTGAATGAACCAAATGACTTGAAAAAAAGATTCGTTCATTTTGATAAATGAGTTCAAACAGGAGAGTCACGAACGCTCATCACAGAACAGAGCAAGGCGAGCATTTGAGCTTGTAAAATGTAAACTTTGTTATTTATTTTTTTAATGAGCGATCGTTTTGCTTGACAACACCCTTATTCATCGTCTGGAATCGTTTAAAGCCCTTTGAACAGTTTGCAGTTTGCACTGAAAGTGTCTTTTGGACCTTGAACCTTTGGTTCCCATTGAAGTCCATTAAATGGAGAAAATCCTGAAATGTTTTCATCAAAAACCTTAATTTCTTTTCGACTGAAGAAAGAATGACATGGATATCTTGGATGACATGGGGGTGAGTAAATTATCAGCAAAAGTTTTTTTACAAGCGAACTACTCCTTTAACCACCACAACATAACCACGTTTCTACAAAGACAAGAATGCTTGAGGTATTGTTTTTTTTTTTTTTAATAAAATAAAGGCATATGTCATATGCATTTATTTGAAAAACAAAAACTGCACATACTTTTATATATAAAGCTTTTATTATTTAAAAAAGTGAACAAAACCCTTCTTAAGAGTCCATTTCTAACTCTAAAGAAGCCTAAACATTTTCTTATGTACTCATCCTTGCCAGGCTTCTGTGCTTTTAGTTTAGACGAAGATAAAGAAAGATGTCAACTGTGATCACAGCAAGCAACCGAGTTGTCAAGTTCTAATGTAATTAAGATATTCTTCCTGACGGAGACGACCTAAAAATACCTCAATACAATTGACTTGACTTGCCCGAGACAATCTAGTGAGGAAACGCCACATGCAATGCAGTGCACACACAGTCTAGCCATGACTTCAACATCCCAGTTCATTCATCTGAAATGTGCTGTGTGTTCTCCAGCCGCCTCCACTGGACACGCAAAAAATGCATATTTGATGCAGAAACCCAACTTTGCCATCATGCATCAGTGATTACTCAGACTCTTGCAGATTATCTAAGGCTTGGAATTTTTTTATAGTTTTGAAATAAGTCTCTTATGCTCACCAAGGTTGCATTTATTTGATCAATATACAGTAAAAACTAAGAAATATTATAATTTAAAAGAACTGTTTTCGATTTGATTATGCTTTAAAATGTGATTTATTCCTGTGATCAAAGCTGAATTTTCAGCATCATTACTAATGTAATACGTCATTACATTAATTGTGGAAACTGGTACCATTTAAAAGTTTGGACTGGTTAATTATCATTAAAATTAATAATTTACTTCAGAAAAAAAGCTTTCAATTGAAAGGATGCACAATCAAAAGGGCATTTATAATGTTACAAAATGTTTATATTTCAACTTTATTCATCAAATAATTCTGAAAAATAAATGCGCCAAGTTTTCCACACATTTTTTTTGAATTGGTCATTTAAAGGGATAGTTCACTTTGAAAATAATTTTTGATATGTTTTAGCAAGGGCATCCAAGATGTAGGAGTCTTTGTTTCCGCAGTAGTTTCAATTTTGATATTTTTTGGTCAAATCGTTTCTGTCAGTCATATAATGGAGATATATGGTCACCACCTCAAAGAGCATGCACAGAGAAGTCCAAATTAAACATGATTTAATGACTCATAAATGTAAGTACACATTGATTGACTAAGACGCGAAGCGAGCGGTTTGTGTGAGAAAACGAACAGTATTTATATAGTTTTTACCTCTCTCTTTTCTACCGTTTTGATTTCTCTCGTGCATACGTCACTCATTGTTTACACAGAGATTTCAGAAGTGTTACCCTTCACGGTGAAGATCTAAATATCTAAATATCGACGATTTCGATATTTAGATCTTCACAGTGAAAGGTAAAACTTCCGAAATCTCTGTGCAAACATTGAGTGACGTACATGCGCGAGAGAGATCAAAACGGTAAAGAGAGGTAAAAACGATATAAATACTGTTCGTTTTCTCACACAAGCCGCTCGTTTGGTGTCTTAGTCCATCAATGTGTACTTACATTTACGAGTCATTAAATTATATTTAATTTGGACTTCTCTGTGCATGCTCTTTGAGGTGGTGACCATAGACCTCCATTATATGACTGAAAGACAAGAACGATTTGACCTAAAAATATCAAAATTGAAAAACTGTGGAAACAAAGATGCATACATCTTGGATGCCCTTGCTAAAACATATCAAAAACTTATTTCAAAGTGAACTATCTTGCTACCTTTAAGCACTAAATTAGCATATCAGTGATATCATGTGACACTGAAGACTGGAGTAATGATACGGAAAATTCAGCTTTGTCATCACAAGAATACCTTTTAAAACATAATTAAAACTATAATTCTAGTAAATATATTTTACAATATTACAGTTTTTTCAAGCGAGGCCGATTCCAAATTTGGTGTAAATCATAAATCCTAGCTGCAGACTATAGATTCATCAACCCATGACTGCTTGATTTGCTGCGAGGCAGCATGGCTCATGTTTCTCAGTGGTCCTGCCAGGAGCCAGGGCACTTTTCCTGAACTCCGGCGGCTCTCCGCTTCGGCAGACAGAGTCGGACGGCTTGGCTCCTGGCAGAGCGGCACAGAGCCAAATGAATAATACATTTCCTTTTAGAAAACCAGTTTGACCTACTCGTTTAAAAGCATTGCCTGCATTCAAAACCAACCCGAAACTTTCTAGTTCATTCCACAGTCTGCCCGCACTCAGATCTTGGAGGACGTCCATGCCCTGCTCCGTACAGTCAGTAGAGCTGACCCATATTAACCTGGCTGCCAAAACTCGAGGAAATGCTGGGATGGAGCTCATCTCCGATTAAGAGCTTATAGTGTTCTTGCTGAGAGCGGTGATGAGCTGAGAGCTGACTTTTAAAATGAGTTAATGAAATGGCCATACAATCTCAAGGGGAGTGTGTCTTTCACAGCACAAGTGCCCTTAAATACTTTATGGGCATGCATTGGTGTTTGCGTGCCTCTGTGCTTACGTTTGTCTCTAGGGGTGAGGTGTCTGCTTGTCACACATCAAAACATGATCTGTATAGACAAGCAAGGATGCGAGCAGTCTTTATTTCCAAACCCAAAGTCAGTCAGCAGATCACAGACGCTTGATAACTTTCATCGGAAACCAACTAAGCTGCACTGTGGTAAAGAATCACAAGCAAATGGAGTTATTGTATACCAGAGACTATGATGGGTTTTATCTCACGAAAGAGAAGGTATTATTTCAAGGTCACCCAGAGATGTGGGATGTGCTCAGAGATGTGATCACCTAGAGTCTCAGTATCTCACCACAATTCGGGAATTGGGCCATTCCACAAAAAGAGAATCTCACGATCAATATGATACGAGTAGACAAACTGATGCATCTTTTGCTGTGGGTTTTGCACAGCTACAAAAAACAGTACATTTATTTTCATTTATGTAATTAATGAATTTATTTTCCTCTTGCCTTCTCCTCAAGGATGTGTTTTTGGGCTACCAGCCAAAAAAAAAAAAAATTATATATATATATATATATATATATATTGCAATGTATTATAATTTATACATAATACATTTTTATAACACCTATAGAGATATTTTCCTTTGACAGAATGTTTAAAATCTTACAGAAATTTCCTTTGCATCCACTAGTTTACTTATTGATTCATTTACGAAAAATCTCCTTTTTAAATGGCAAAGACCCGTTTTGAGAAATGACCCCGTTGACATGCTTGTATCTATCACTGATTTCACTAATAACGATCAATCAAACTCAAGACTCACTGATGGGCTCATTAGGATCATTTGACCCTCATGGTCTGCAAAATGTATTGGATTATAGGTTTGCGGGTTTGTAGGCTGAATTTAAAGGGGGCCCAGCTGGTTTCCAGCTTTTATTTTTCAGAGAGCATATAATAGCACTTCTCAATGAACTCACCCGTGCGTATTTTGAGGAATACGGGTCTTCAAAGAGCGCCCACGCCTTCTTCTGCCACCTGCTCCAGCGCCCGGACCTGTTATCGGGCGAGTCGCCTTGCGCCAGTCTCCGGGTCATCTCAACACCCTCATCCCCCTCGGCTGCCTCAACGACCGCCTCGGGCTCCGGGTCTTCATGACCGAGGTCGAGAGCACCCCCGGCGAAGCTGTCCAAAGCCTCCTCCGCCTCTCGATGCTGCCGGTAGGTCATCCAACAACACGGTTCCACATCCGTCTCGTCGATCCCCCAAAACGCCAGCTCCTCCTCATACAAGGGTCCGCACACGTCCGCCGGGCAATGCAGCTTGCCAGTGCGGTAATAGTTGAGAATGTGGGCGAAAACGCCCGGGTGACGGTCGAAGAAAAACTCTCCGATGTTCGCATCATAATCGAAGTTGGTCGGCGCGTCGGGCTCCGCCAGCCAGGAAAGTCGAGTGCCGGGCAGGGTGCGCAGGGTGCTCCGGTACGTCTGGTGCTTGATTCCTCCGACGTTGATCACGATGCGATCCTTGTCGTCCCCTTGGCCCATCGCGTCCCTCTCTAGTCATATCTCCTGCCCACTGACCGTCATCATACCACTGGGACCCATATCCAGAAAATTCAAAGAGTGCAAAATATGTTTACGATCGTGCCAGGTGCGCGTCAAAAGTGTCCATGCCACCGTCAGGTCAACAATGAGAATCCAAACCCCCTTTATGCACTTGAATGACTTTTAAGGACACATGCGAACGCGTTTTCCTTCAAATAACCCAATAAACTGACCCCCGGCTCGGGTTGAGGGTGTCAGACAGGTTTTTGTAAGGCTGTCATTGAGCGCGAGCTGGTGCTGAACGGACAGCGCCACTCATCCGTCGAGCCTTCATAACTCCAGTGTTTCTATTGTGTTGAAGCTTCCCCACGACGGAACAAACAGACAAACCATCAGCATCAGATCTCGCCTCCAGCAATTTTAGCGGCTTTCCAAACGCAGAATCGATTGTGCTCCCATTGAGGCAGATCGCTTGAGACGACGGGGTGGAAGAAACAGGCGGCGCAGCAACAAGGGAGGGTCTTTCATTCACAATACAGAGCTCAATCTAAAATGTGTTTCTATGAGAACACAACGCAACACGTTCTCGGGGTGCACCACACTCTGTATGGCAAGCCGTTTTAACAATCTAGTCCTTAAAATAATCTCCATTGTTCTTGTTGTGTTACTAGCTAATACTGAAAATATCACTGTGCAATGCACTCATTGACATTCAAACATTTAAGTTATATTCAACAATTATTTAAACAACTTGAATTTACCAGCAGTGCTGTCAAATCGATTAATTGCATTTAAGATAAAAGTTTGTTTATACACTCTAAAAAATGCTGGGTTGTTTTAACACAAATTTGGGTCAAATATGGACAAACCCATCCTTTGGGTTAAATTTTAAATTACATTTTTAGCCACACGTTTGGGTTTAACCATATCTGACCCAAAATTGGGTATATTTAGTACTATAAATATACTGTGCAAAAGTCTGTGCGAAAAAAAATGGATTTAAAGGAGTAGTTCACTTTTAAAAAAAACTTCTGCTGATAATTTACTCACCCCCATGTCATCCAATATGTCAATGTCTTTCTTTCTTCAGTCGAAAAGAAATTAAGGTTTTTGATGAAAACATTCCAGGATTTTCTCCATATAATGGACTTCATTGGGAACCAAACGGACGGTTCAAGGGCCAAGTGAGAGTTTCAGTGCAGTTTCAAAGGGCTTTAAATGACACCAGACGATGAATGAGGGTCTTATAAAGCGAAACGATCGGTCATTTAAAAAATAAATAAAAAAGTTTCAGTTTTATAAGCTCAAATGCTCGCCTTGCTCTGTTCTGTGATGAGCGTGACTCTCCTGCAAACTCGTTCAACAAAATGAACCAATCTTTTGTCAAGTCATGACTCGAAGGGTTAGATAAGACCCTTATTCATCGTCTGGTGTTGTTTAAAGTCCTTTGAAGCTGCACTGAAACTCTCATTTGGACCTTGAACCGTTTGGTTCCCAATGAAGTCCATTATATGAAAAAAATCCTGGAAGACAGTTGTTTATATCTAATAGAATAGATACCATCAACCAACCCTATTTTTTATTTTTTTTTGAAGTTGTAAATACAACAAAGATTAGACAACAAAATACTGTTTCAGTTTTTCTACTTTAAAATGTTTAATTCAATGGTGTTACTTGCTGTTTCTTTGTAATTATTTGTGAAAATGTCCAGCAGTTTCCAAATGAAAATGGCTTCTTAATCATAATTTTCAGTGCATTGAAACACATATCAAGTCTGAAGTGAATGTTAATATTTGAACCAATAAACATTTTAATAAGGAATAGTGACTGTGTGTGATAAATATCTACTAGTGAATTGAAAAGGGGTCACTTTCTAGTTAAAAAATTGTACTAGTAACATTACATTAGTTTTAAAGCATTAATTTTAAAACAGCTTGTCATGCACACTGTGTCCTATTTGTGTGAGCAGCAGGTAACCTTCTGTTTATGCAGGAACTCAGCTTGCGAACTGCTCCGGGACGACTAAAACCAGAGCACATTTGCCTGGGAGGCATGTATGACCATGTGCGTGAGGATAGTTGTCTGGGGAGGGGGTAATCTGTTAAATTTCGGGAACATTTGTGTGCTGCAATCTCACTGTGCCTTAAAGGCAACTCTGAATTCATAAATTACTGATTGTTTTTTTCATTAGAAAAGCTTTAGGCTGATCAGGGACCAGATACACCAACCTTCAAGTGGAGCCACTGCAAATAGAAGTAGAACTGCCATTAAAATAGATTTTAAGATGTTGATACAGGTCTAAATTGACTAAAATGTAAGTGTAAATCTTTTTTCTGTATTGGTATTTGAGCTGTGACAGCCTGCAATGCTTCCGGTCTGCCTATAGGTGGAACCAAAGTGTTTGTTATTTTAAGTCCACAAATGATAAAATAATCTTTTACAGTTATATTCTTATTAAATATCTAGACACATGAAAAAGGCAAAGATAGATTTTATTCACTATTCCTCTAGGGCCAATTTTACGTTTCAAAAAAGACTGCTGGAAAATATAAAAAGCAGCAAATATAACATTTAACATGTAAACATGTTCTCATTATTGTCTTTAGAATTATCTAAAAAATATTCATTTTAAAACCATATTATTGATTAAATATGCAACAATAAACTGTATTCCTCAAATGAATCAAATTCACAAGAATGTTCAACTGCTAATGCAAAATAATACAGTTTTGTCAGGATATTTATCATGTAAAATGTTTATTTTGTTCTCTTTTTTAACTACTATTATTAAATTGATGTATCCAACAGAATACAGAGATTGGAGATGAGGGACAGCTGAGTTAAAAGCATAATTCTTGAAAATATTGAAAAGGAGGCAACTCGGGTCATGTGACTTGAAAAATACTCGTCATCATAATTCAAAATTAACATGCTACCACGTGACCAGTCTGCTGAGCTTGAGGTAAAAGTTCATTGTAGTGGGAGATATACCTTTTTTACGCAATATTTAGAAGAAAAACTCTATTATTAAATTCTAATAGCAATAAATACAAATTCTTGTGGTGTTCCTGCCATTTTAAAAGTTAATTTTGAAACAAATCTTCCATGTTACCGTATGTTCCAGTAGAAATTTTAATACACAGTTTCACAATAGACACTCTTTCGCCTTTTGCAACGTTTTATATAGATGTTTGTGCAGTTCTTATGAAAGTCAACATCACCAATAAACAAGCTATCTTTGTCATAGATACTGAAAGTGTCCTTAAGTTCTTGGAAACATCTCTCATGTATCTCTCTCTCTCACACACACACACACACCTGTCTGAAAGTTTCTAACATACTACACACATTCTGCAAAGGCATAACCCACGTGACCTATCCAAACCCTCTTACAAACCATTGCATTAATTCCAGCCAATAGACATCGAGTAAATCATCACCTCCCACCTGCCACTGTGCATTACTGAAGCTCAGTCCGAATCATTTTTGCGAATCGGTTCTTTCGAACAGTTCATTTTAAAGCACCTGCTAATAAAATCGTTTGTACTTCTTCATCAAGTGATTACTGACATGACGGCGTGGCATTTATACATGCTCTAAACATCAAAGTCATAGCCTTTAGGTGCATATCACAGTTCATTATGTTTTAGCCGACATTTTATAAAGGCGTGTAAGAAATTATAGTCTGCTCCGATCCAACTTCCACTCCAATATAGATTATATTGAAATGTTCCTTTACTTAAAAGAGTTTATTTATCATAGAATCAATTCCTTACAATCTCAAAAGTATCACAGTCACGTCAGCAGGTATCCAAGAACCATCTTGAGTAGGTAGCTTCTGAGAGATATCATCACCTTAAACATTTGACCGTTTCACACTCTAACACTTGTATCGTTCTCTTCGATTAGAGTTTGGAATAACAAAGACATAGACACGGAGGCACCACTTTTGCATTAACCGTGAGCTTTCCCCAATAAAATAACAATTTGGGCCTTTTACTTACATTCAGACTTTACGTTATCAAAACGTAGCCCAATAGAGTGCATGTAAACGCTACCCTTGTATTTAGTGACTCGAGAACCGCTCTGACAGATTCAATCCGTTTCTTGAACGAGTCGTTCAGACTAGACTGATTCATTGCGAAGATTCGACTCTCAAAAATGATTCATTCACGAATTCGACACCGCTATCGGTTATTATGGCCGCGCTCTAGGATGCGTGGCTCATTGGGGGAACTTTGTGTAGTCCGTTAACGGAGTCTATTTTATTTATTTCTACCATTTCAGCGGGTATAATGCTTATACACCTCCATCGACTTTTGCACCGGTCTTTCGGTGCCAGGCGGCCGTTTCTAGCGAGTTTATACCACACACAGCGGGGAGTGTACGGTTTCAGACCGAGGGAGACTCCGGAGAGAAACGATGGGTTTCCGCAGATCTCAGCGCTTAACCAAGGTGTTTACAGAGTGTAAACTGTAGTTGTTGTCTGTATATGGTTATGCTTTCGGCTTTGGTAGCAGCTTTGACGTTGCATACGTAAACCCATAGTAAGATTAGAGATGTATAGCAAGATCTGCAATAATATAATGTATGGAGCATGTTGATATATTCGCTGGCTGTATTATGTCAACAGATCACGGACTGGCGAGATTGGTGGAGGCCTATCGAGCACATGGGCATAAAGTAGCTAAAATTAACCCTTTACTTCCCCAAACTCCTGTGCTGGACAGTGTGCTGGAGATCAGTCTGCTGAATGGAGCTGTTCATGGAGTCCTCAACACTACTGGTTAGTTTCTGGTTGTTTCCTGTTTTGAAATGGATCTTAATCTACTTAGGTTTTTATTGCAGGATTGTTCCGGGTTCAATCCTCGTTAAAGGGATAGTTCACCCAGAAATGAAAATTCTGTCATCACCCTCAGGTCGTTACAAAACCGTAATTTAGTTCATCTTCGTGGAGAAAAAAAATAATAATAATATTTTTTTTTTGGTTGTCATATGAAAGATTTCACTTCTGTCCCTCCATTGACAGCTATGCAACTATCACTTTGACGCTTCAAAAAGTTAACAAAGAGATGTAAAACTATCAATACAAATTGAGCGGTTAAGTCCAAATTTTCATTTGTGCGTGAAAGGTTTTTGTACATCATATATGGCCTATATTCAAAAGAAATAATTTCCGCATTTCCTTTAATTAAAAAAAGGGATTACAGTATTTTTTACTTAAAGGAGTAGTTCACTTTTAAAAAAAAAACTGCTGATAATTTACTCACCCCCATGTCATCCAAGATGTCCATGTCTTTCTTTCTTCAGTCGAAAAGAAATTAAAGTTTTTGATGATAAACATTCCAGGATTTTTCTCCATATAATGGACTTTACTGGTAACCAAACGGTTCAAGGTCCAAAACACAATTTCATTGCAGCTTCAAAAAGCTTTAAATGATTCCGATCCATAAGGGTCTTATCAAGTGAAACGATCACTCATTTAAAAAAATAAAAAATAACAAAGTTTAAGTTTTATAAGCTCAAATGTTTGCCTTGCTCTGTTCTGTGATGCACATTCGTGACTCTCCTGTTCAAACACGTTCATCAAAATGAACAAATCTTTTTTCGAGTCATTTGGTTCATTCAACGAACGAAATAAATTAATTGACTCGGAAAAAGATTTGTTCATTTTGATGAACGAGGATGACATGGGGGTGAGTAAATTATCAGCAAAAAATGTTTTAAAAGTGAACTACTCCTTTAAAATATTAAAATAATTGTTAATTATTTGTTGTTGCTGTATTTTTCTATTTCTTACAAAAATTCCAGGATTGCGCCATTTTGGGAAAGCCGAGGCGACGGCTGAAGAGGTCATGGCCTACCTGGGGAGAACGTACTGTGGGGGAATCTCAGTGGAAACCGCTCAGCTCCAGACCTTACAGGAAAGAGAATGGTTCGCTGACCGATTTGAAGAGCTCAAGAAAGAGGTGTTTTCGCCGGAGGAGAAGAGACAGCTGGCTAAACTAATGCTTGAATCACAGGTAAGACAACCATTTACATTTACTCACGTTTATTGTACTTTGCATGCCCCATGACATCGGTTACATCTTCCTAGCCTACTTGATTTCAGTGGCATCAGCAATTCTACATCTCCTCTGTTCTCTTTTCAAAGGAATTTGACCACTTTTTAGCCACTAAGTTTGCCACTGTGAAACGATATGGAGGTGAGGGAGCAGAGAGCATGATGGGCTTTTTCTATGAGCTATTCCGCTCTGCGGCGTACAGCGGAGTGACAGACGTGGTCATGGGAATGCCTCACCGTGGACGTCTCAACCTGCTCACCGGACTACTGCAGTTCCCCCCAGAGGTTAATTTATAATTCATATAGTTATGTATGTTCAGTTTAATTCATATAGTTATATATGTATAGTTTATATACGTCTAGACAGGATTCTGCAATGTATAATCACTTATTTTAGCACATATCAAATACTAAGATAGTTCTTCTGATATAAAAAAAAATCCGATATTATACATTTGCAAGCTTTGATTAACCAAACACGTCATTCTTTCTCGCTCTCAGCTCATGTTCCGTAAGATGAGGGGTCTCAGCGAGTTTCCGGAGAACTCTCCGTCTATTGGAGATGTCCTGTCCCATTTAACCTCCTCAGTGGAGCTGGACTTTGGGGCGGGACAACCTCTCCATGTCACTATGCTGCCCAACCCCTCTCACCTGGAGGCCATCAACCCCGTGGCGCAAGGAAAGACTCGTGGCCGTCAGCAAGTCAAACAGGACGGCGATTACTCCACCGACCCTCATTCTCGGCCAGGAGACAAAGTCATCTGCCTGCAGGTCCTGAGAAAAGATTTCAAGTTCACTATCTAAAACATATAACATACTAAAACATGGTAGTTGTGTATGTTATAATCTAATAGCTCTTTATCTGTTCTTAACAGGTTCATGGAGATGCTTCGTTTTCAGGCCAAGGCATAGTACCGGAGACCTTCACCCTGTCAAATCTCCCCCATTTTAGAGTAGGTGGAAGCATCCATCTCATCGTGAACAATCAAGTGGGCTACACCACTCCCTCTGAGAGGGGGCGATCATCTCTGTACTGCAGTGATGTTGGTATGTAGTTGTAAATGTAAATTTGTTTTGCTCTGTATTTATAAGGATTTCTATATTTTCCAAACTGACACGTATGACCAGCGCTGGGTGGATTACTTGCAAAGTGTAGATCATTACTGATTCCAAATTACATGACAAGATGTGGAGTTTAAAATAATATAATCTGACTACTTTTTGATTACTTTCATTTGAATAGGAGAATATTGTACCACATTGATAGAAAAATTCAAGAAGAAAGAAAATACAATTATTTATCAACATTACATTAAATAGTAAATAGATTGCGTCAGGGTTTACCCTGGGGATATTGAAGGAATTAGTGTACAGCCATTACTGGATGCCAGTTCTAGTTTATAAATATTAAAGGGATAGTTCACTTTGAAATTAATTTTTGATATATTTTATCTTACCTCAAGGGCATCCAAGATGTAGGTGTCTTTGTTTCCGCAGTAGTTTCAATTTTGATATTTTTAGGTCAAACCGTTCTTGTCTGTCAGTCATATAATGGAGGTCTATGGTCACCACCTCAAAGAGCATGCACAGAGAAGTCCAAATTAAACATGATTCAATGACTCGTAAATGTAAGTACACATTGATGGCCTAAGACACGAAACGAGCGGTTTGTGTGAGAAAACGAACAGTATTTATATCGTTTTTACCTCTTGTAACCACGTCCAAGTGATCTGAAGGCACGGGCGCAAGTGCCGGAAAGCGCCGGAAGTGATCTCTTGCACGGTTGCGGAATAAAAAAAAAATCAACGTTGTCTGTTGATATATCGAAATCGTCTTCCACGCGCGAGAGATCAGAGTACTTGGACGTGGCTGTGGTTACATGAGGTAAAAACGATATAAATACTGTTCGTTTTCTCACACAAACCACTCGTTTCGTGTCTTAGGCCATCAATGTGTGCATACATTAAATCATGTCATTAAATCATGTTTAATTTGGACTTCTCTGTGCATGCTCTTTGAGGTGGTGACCATAGACCTCCATTATATGACTGACAGACAAGAACGATTTGACCTAAAAATATCAAAATTGAAACTGCTGTGGAAACAAAGACACCTACATCTTGGATGCCCTTGAGGTAAGATAAAACATATCAAAAATTAATTTCGAAGTGAACTATCCCTTTAAAAATATGGATATTTTTTAAATATATGGGTATCGATACGCTTCAGGAGGCCTTTATAACCCCCTTGAGTTGGATGGATTACGTCTAAGATGCACTTTTTTGGGCCTGAAGTTACCATTCACTCCCATTATAAAGCTTGTAAGCCAATGTATTATTTAATATAACTCTAATTATATGTGGCTGAAAGAAGAAAGTCATATACACAGTCATTATCCCATTTTTGGGTGAACTAACCCTTTAACATTTATTTTATTTTTTAAATAACAAAAATGTTTGGGTTTTTTTTTTTTTTTGTTTCGGTAAACTACCCTGTTCTGCCTACAGACGCCATTAAACCTTTCATTATCTAACAATACTTTTGTAATTCCACTTGGTGCTGTTTAGGTAAAATGGTGAATTGTGCTATAATCCATGTGAATGGCGACGATGCCGAGGATGTCCTCAGAGCGACCCGGCTGGCCGTGGAGTACCAGCGACGCTTCAGAAAAGACGTTATCGTGGACCTTCTTTGTTACCGTCAGTGGGGGCACAATGAGCTGGACGAGCCCTTTTTCACAAACCCTGCAATGTATACAATTATTCGGTGGGTATTCTTTTTTGATAGCCTATTGCTAAAATGTTAGGTTACTGGTTTAATTTTCCTTTTCACTGCCATTTTAGGGCGAGAAAAAGTATCCCCGATTCATATGCCGACCAGCTAGTCTCGGAGGGCCTGATGACGGAGGAAGAGCGCGGTCAGATCAAGACCACCTGCTATGCTATGCTCAACGACCGGCTGAACAACATGACCCTCTACAGCCCCCCGCCCACTAACCTCCAGGGGCGCTGGGGAGACCTGGTGGAGCCCCAGAACAGAGTCTCGATGTGGGACACTGGTGTAGCGCTGCCTCTGCTGCAGTTCGTAGGCGCCAAATCAGTGGACATACCTGAGGAGATTCAAGTGCACAGTCACCTGAGAAAGACACATGTGCAGGTAAAGCTTGATCTTTGAACTCTTTTTGTAAATACGCTACATAATAAAGTTGAGAAGTTTAACTTGTACATTTTACAACAGTAGGAACGTCTACTTCAATGATCTATATAGCCATTTTGATGAGCTCCAGTGATAAAACTGCAGTCTGTGTGAATGGCTCTTTAGAGTCAGTAAAGAACTTGTAAACTTTGTCTGAGCGAACGCCTTGATCTGTCGCAGGCTCGACTGCAGAAACTGGAAGAGGGCTTAAAATTGGACTGGTCCACCGCAGAAGCTTTAGCGTTTGGCACAATGCTCTGCCAGGGTGATGTGTTCATTTCTCCTTTCTTGCGCTGTAAAAGCGTTTTAAAAATAATTTCTGCTTTTGTTTGTATCTTTATATGGATTTTCTCCTAATTGATGTTGCCTTTAGGTTGTTCCCTAGTTTGTAAGACAATTTTGGACAATATTCACTGAAAAGTAATATATTTTGAATTTATTTTCTCCATATTAACAGTATTTATTCTGTTCATGTTTATACAAGCTAAATATTTTTCAAATAATATTTTTTTTTTAAATGATAATATAAAAGCTAATACATTTGTTCACAGTTGAAATTAGTTTTTATGCACTCATCATTTTTTTATGTTTTTGAAAAAACACTCTACCGGCCGCTAAGACCGTTTGATTTAAAAAATGCAGTAAAAATGATTAAAAATGAAAATTATGACAATTTAAGATACCTTCCATGTAATTTAAAGTGTAATATATTCCTGTGATTAAAGCTGAATTTTCAGTGTCATTAGTCCAGTCTTCAGTGTCACATGATCCTTCAAATATGCTAATTTGATCAATATTGATTAGGGCTGTCAAACGATTAATCGCGATTAATCACATCCAAAATAAAAGTTTGTGTTTACATAATATATGTGGGTGCACTGTGTGTATAATTATTTTATATATAAAAATACACACACATGCTTTTATGTATTTAAGAAATATTTTTATGTATATACTGTATATAGATTTATGTATAATTTATATTATTTATAAATATTTTATATATATTTTGTTTTCTTAAATATACATGCATGTGTGTGTATTTATATATATAAAATAATTATACACAGTGCACCCACATATAATATGTAAACACAAACTTTTATTTTGGATGCGATTAATCGCGATTAATCATTTGACAGCTCTAATATTAATTAAGTCATGCTGCTTAATATTTTTGTGGAAACCGTGACATTTTTTCCAGGATTCTTTTTCGCAATTTGTAAAAAAAAAAAAAATAAATAAAATTTTATTGACCCCTGAGCTGTTTATATTAGCTGTGTACATTAGCATCAAAATGTACTCATTTGTATATATTTATCTATTTAACGCAGGATTCCATATCCGTATCAGTGGTCAAGATGTTGGCCGTGGTACGTTCAGTCAGCGTCACGCTATGGTTGTGTGTCAGGAGACCAACGACATGTATATCCCCCTCAATCACATCAGCTCCGAACAGAAAGCCAACATAGAGGTAACCAGTTGAACAACATGTAAATGAAATGTATTTATTTATAAATTACGAAGCCTCCTGCAATCATGTATCGCTTTTAATATTATTTGTTCTTATCATTATACTTAAAGACGTGTACAGGATTAGTTTTGTACTTGTAACTCGATATGCCAACTGCTCTTCATTCCTGATTTGGGTTTGGTTTGCACTTTCAATAATCCACAACAATCAAGCATAATTATGTTTGACGTGTGTGTGTGTGTTCTCGCAGGTGTGTAACAGTGCTCTTTCTGAAGAAGCTGTTCTGGGTTTTGAGTATGGAATGAGTATTGCTCAACCTAGGCTGCTGCCCATCTGGGAGGCTCAGTTTGGAGATTTTTTCAACGGCGCCCAGATTATATTTGACACTTTCCTCTCTGGAGGTAAAAAAAAAAAAAAAAAAAAAAATTCAACCGAAAAGCTTCAGGGAGTTCACAAACAGTGCTTGCTGATACTCTATCCACAAGTTTCCTACGCCCCATGAGGCCTTGCGTCAAAAGTGGGCGCGACTTCCGGTTGGAAGTAAACAAAGCGCGACTTGACATGCTTGACACTCGTTCATTCAACAGTTGACAGTCATTCAAGTTATAGCGATCCAAACTAGCTAACGATGCAACCTCAACGAAATTAAAAAGGGTGAAATAACAGTACCTTTAACCTCTGCAGTCGTTGATTGGGAGTATTATAATAACATTATTAATTATCAATACTCATCAAGGCATGGTGACAGACAGATGTGCGAGCTGACAAACAATTCAAATAAAAAAATACACACTTAGTCATTGTGCTTTGGAGTTTATTCAAAATTATAAATGAATGTGCTACTTGGATACATTACTGGCACATTTGGTATTCTGTCAACACAGGCTTTGATCCTGAGTTTAGGTGTAACATCAGTAGCGAACAGCCAATCACATGCTGATAGAGTTTATAAAATATAAAGAATTTAAAAAAAAAATGTACACAGGAAGATTCGTCGTCTTTTGGGAGGTGATGGAAACTAACGTTACAGTCGTTGGCAGGATCAGAGACGGGCTCTGGCAGGATCACTCGTTTTCAGCTTATGTTCAAAACAATCACGTTTAAGCCACTGAATTAGTTTAGTCCGGTTATACATACAACCGCGAGCAGCACATGTTGTCCCTGAGCTCCGTAACGACATCTCTCATAAAGATTTGCGTCTTTAAATAGTAAAATAATTCTCCGAAAAACAGCTAGCATCTTCGCTAACTAACACACAAAATACCATTGGAATGCTACTTCCGCCGCGTCACCGGAAGTTTCACCCACTTTATTTTTTACAGGAGAGCCCCTCGGAAACTTGTGGTTATAGAGAATAACTTCCTTTAGAGTGACTTTGCAGACATTTTTTCCATGCTCAAACAGCAACATTACACACTAAAGCAAGTTGGACATGTTAAAAAAAGAACATAATTATCCTTTCACAAGGTCTTAAATATGAGGCTAGAAACAATATGGCTAAATGTGAAAATCAAGAACCCTGAATATGTATCTTTACGCCACCTTCACACTGGTAGTTGAAATCAGCTCCGATGCGGCTGCGAAACGACCGGAAGTCATTAATTTCCCATGGAGATTCGCAGACCGCATGCGAATGGGTCCGAAACGGGTCCGACCGAGTGCGGTGCGAAGAAAATCGTGTCCGTTGGTCATCCGGATGCGTTAAAAAATTTGAACTCGTGCGAAAAGCTACGGACGGTTCCTATCCGACAATTCCAGCGGAAGTTGAGCGTTGCTATGGTACTGATAAACAAACCTGAATTATTAACTTGTAATAAATTAAATAATGATTTTATAACGATAAGTTGTCATGTCATTTTATATTTTCATGACTTTCTAACGTTTATAAGGGCAGTTAATACAATTAAATTGAAAGTAGACATTGAACTATTGACCATTATATCACATTTTTATTCGACCTGACATGTCAACGTCCTCAGCAACTTTCCTCACGCAGCATAACCCTCATCAGAGAGATCATACAGAACTGACAGAATCAAACTCTCCGCAATTTTTGTTCTACCCGCGTCCGACGCTTTTCACTGTGTGTAGTACGACGTCCATTGGGAACGTATTGCGTATTACGGAGCTGATTTAAAAACTGCCAGTGTGAAGGCGGCGTTAGAGCTTAAAGGAGTAGTTCACTTTTAAAAATAAACTTTTGCTGATAATTTACTCACCCCCATGTCATCCAAGTTATCCATGTCATTCTTTCTTCAGTCAAAAAGAAATTAAGGTTTTTGATGAAAACATTCCAGGATTTTTCTCCATATAATGGACTTCAATGGGCAGTTTCAGTCCAAACTGTTCAAAAGGCTTTAAACGATTCCAGACGATGAATAAGGGTCTTATCAAGCGAAACGATCGCTGATTTAAAAATAGCATCAAAATGAACAAATCTTTTCCAGTCAACTCGTTCAATTCGTTCGTTGATTGCACCAAATGACACGAAAAAGATTTTGATGAACGAGTTCGAATAGGAGAGTCACGAACGCGTGTCACAGAACAGAGCAAGGCGAGCATTTGAGCTTATAAAACTTAAACTTTGTTATTTTTGTATTAAATGAACGATCGTTTCGCTTGATAACACCCTTAATTCATTGTTTTTTTTTTTGTTTGTTTTATTGAAAGGATCCCCATTAGCTACAGCAATGCTGCAGCTATTCTTCCTGGGGTCCTAAAAAAGTATGTACATTAAAAGAAAATACACAAACACATAATACAAATACATATACAATATAAACACATATCCACATACATATGTACCCTCATACAGGTATAAAAATACACACAAATATAAAACCACATTATACACTTACACCTATAAACATACCTACACGCATACATAATCGCACACATATCTAAATAAATATAAACATTCAGTTATAATATTTTGACAAATGTTGTTTTACATATAATTTGTCTGAAATCGTTTAAAGCCCTTTGAACAGTTTGCACTGAAACTGTCTTTTGGACCTTGAACCGTTTGGTTCCCATTGAAGTCCATTATATGGAGAAAAATACAGGAATGTTTTTATCAAAAACCTTAATTTCTTTTCGACTGAAGAAAGAATGACATGGATATCTTGGATGACATGGGGGTGAGTAAATTATCAGCATTTTTTTTTAAAGTGAACTACTCCTTTAAATCCTGGTTTGTGGCATTTCTGATTTAAATTTGATAATAAAACTGTGCAAACACCCTGAATATGTATCTTTAGAGCCTAAGTCCTGGTTTGTGACATTTCTGATTTTTTTAAGGTGAGGCTAAATGGCTCCTGCAGAGTGGATTGGTCATCTTACTGCCACACGGGTACGATGGAGCCGGACCGGAGCATTCATCATGCCGAATCGAGCGTTTCTTACAGGTAAAGTGTAAGCATGCTCAATTACAGGAGTAGTACGGACTAAATGTTCCAGCATAATTTAAATATCCACTCTTTCTTCCTCCGGCAGCTCTGTGACAGTAAAGAGGAAGGTGTGGACGGGGACACGGTGAACATGGGAGTGGTGAATCCAACCCTGCCAGCTCAGTACTTCCACCTTTTGAGGAGACAAATGATTAGAAACTTCCGGAAACCATTGATCGTGGCTTCACCTAAAACTCTGCTGCGCTTTTCGGTGCGTTAGAGATTTGAATTGCTTTCTGTGTTGTTGTTATTGTTTATTAAACAATATTCACCTCTATTTGGCACTAGGGGGCAGTGTCAAGCTTGGCTGATATGGGACCAGGAACTTCCTTTAAAACTGTCATCGGTGATGCTTCTGTAAACCCTGCAAGGTATCTTCATTCGCTTTTTTAATAGATCATTACATTTACTACCATTCAAAAAGTTTGGGGTCGGTTCGATTTTTTTAAATGTTTATGAAGGAAGTCTCTTTTGCTCGGCAAGTTTGCATTTATTTGATTTAAAACTACAGTAAAAATTGTAAAATGATTTACAATGTCATTTATTCCTGTGACCATGAATTTTCAGCATCATTACTCCAGTCTTACATTTATTTCATGATTCTTTGGTGATTAGAAAGTAAAAACCATTTATTTTGTCAATTTATTTAATGCATCCTTGCTGACTAAAAGTATTTTTTCTTCTGAGCTCAAACTTCTGACTATTCATATACAAAATGGACATTCATAAACATTAAAAATGCATCTTCTGCTCCTTTCCTGCAGTGTGCAGCGTGTTCTGTTTTGCTCAGGTAAACATTACTACGCCCTGCTGAAACACAGAGAGACGTTACCAGAGGCAGTAAAAAACACAGCGCTGATCCGGGTCGAGGAACTGTGTCCTTTCCCCACGGAAGCCCTACAACAGGAACTAAATAAATACAAAAACGCCAAAGGTGAGGTTGCTCATATGCATCTTTTATTCATAGGAATCACATAGTTAATTATTACTTTTTTTTCTTTTCTTTTTTGTGTGTTGGGGCAATCGCTCCGGGACTGGCCTTCTTAAGGAATCATAGATGTCCCCATTACAAAATGTTGATGTTCCTAAGAAGACTCATTTTGGCATTCCCAGAATGCACTACACAAATTTAAGCTCCAAGAAAAAATAAATACAAAATTATACTTGCTTTTTGTTTCTGAATGACTCGCATATATATATATAATTAATTATCTCAGAATTACAAGATAATTTTTCATGGAAATTGTTTTGCTCTGTTTTTCTGAATTAATGACTAAAACTTTTTTTTCATGAAAAATTATCTTGTAATTCTGAGATAATTAACTCGTTAATTCGGAAAAAACGGAGTAGATTTTGTTTCCTCAAGTGAATGCAATACGTTTCCGTACATAAGAGAATTTTCCAAAAAGAAATCAAATAAACCAATTATCTTACCAATTATATATATATATATATGCGAGTCATTCAGAAACAAAAAGCAAGTATAATTTTGTATTTATTTTTTCTTGGAGCTTAAATGTGTGTAGTGCATTCTGGGAATGCCAAAATGAGGCTTCTTCAGAATTACAAGATAATTTTTCATGAAAAAAAAGTTTTAGTCATTAATTCAGAAAAACAGAGCAAAACAATTTCCATGAAAAATTATCTTGTAATTCTGAGATAATTAACTCGTAAATTTAGAAAAACAGAGTAAAAAAAAATTCCATTAAAAATTCTCGTAATTCTGAGATAATTAACTCATTAATTCACAAAAACAGAGCATGAAAAATTATCTTGTAATTCTGAGATAATTAACTCGTTCATTCAGAAAAACAGACCAAAAACTTTTTCCATGAAAAATGATCTCGTAATTCTGAGATAATTAACTCGTTAATTCAGAAAAACAGAGTAGATTTTTTTCTTCAAGTGAATGCAATATGCTTCCGTACTTATGCTCACCAAGGCTTACATTATTTGATCACAAATGCTGTAAAAATATAGTAATATTGTGAAATATTTTTACAATTTAAAACAATGGTTTTCTATTTTAATATATTTCAAAATGTAATATATTCCTGTTATGCACAGCTGAGTTTTCAGTTTTCAGTGTCACATGCTAATATGCTGATTTGCTGCTCAAGAAACCATTTCTTAATATCACTGTCATGTCAAACAGTTGTGCTGCTTTATATTTTTTGTGGAAAATGATGCATTGTTTTCTTTTGAAAGTTAATTTAATATTAGCATTTATTTGTAATAATCTTGTGTAACATCATAAATGTCTTTACTGTCACTCTTGATCAATTTGATGCATTTAATTGCTAAATAAAGTATTTTTTAATCTTGCTGACCCCCAAACCTTGAGCAGTAGTGTGTGTACTTAATGCATAAAACATCAAACTCTATTGGAACCCAATGTATTTCTACACAAAACATGGCAAGCTTCTTTCATATAATATCCTCTTCCGTTACAGAGTTCATCTGGAGTCAAGAGGAGCCGCAGAACATGGGATGCTGGTCATTTGTATCACCAAGATTTGAGAAACAGTTAGCCTGCAAGGTCAGATTCACCACTTCACGCTAATAGATGGCCTCTTAGCTAATCCCTTGATCGCCTCTTAGGCTGCATATAGTTTAAGTTAATCAGATTTACACCGATTTATTGCAAGATGATTAATGTTGATCCCATTGTTCCCTCAGTTGAGGTTTGTGGGCAGGCCTGCATTACCCGCTCCTGCTGTGGGCATTGGTACTCTCCACCATCAGCAGCAAGAAGCCATCCTGACCTCGTCTTTCTCCTGAAACCACAGAACTATAAACATGCTGAGCATCTGTTATTACAGCGAACAAGCTGTGACTGGTGCACTGACAACAAAAGCCAAGCTCTGTTTGTAGCCTGAGCGCTAAACGGGCATATTGCAGGTTGACTAATTCAGCGATTCCCAAACTGTGGTCCGTGAGGGTACTGCAGGTGGTCCGTGAAAAGGCAAAATAAAATATAAAATATTTAACCAAGAAATTCCCATTAAAAAAGTAAAAAGAATATGTAGGCCTATATTTATATAAAATGTAAACTAAATTGTCAAGCTATTGTGTGATTACTAAAAACAGGCTAGTGGCGCTCGGCCGTGACTTTCAAGCTCCGTGTCGTCAGAACCACAACACCGGATCGGTGGATAGCAACAGGTTAGGTGAGCATTTATTTAGTTGTTTGTTTTTAATATAGGTCTATATTAGACAGACGATACAAAGAGGAAGGGAAATATGTGGAGGGTGACAAAGGAGGATATTACGTTCATATCGGACTGGCAAATAGACTCCAATGGCTTTTCCTTTTGACAACTTTATTTTTAACCTGGAATAATGTTAGGCCTACTGTGTTTTCTTTTAAATGTGTAACGTTATAGGGCAGAGGCAAATATGTTCTCAATATCAAATCACATGGATAGCCTTTATAGGCAGTTTAGGCCTATATGAAACGAAATGTTTATAAATGGAATGAATAAGGCCTGTTATTATTTTAATTTCCGGTTAACATTAGTCTCTTGATCTCGTTTTTCTGAAATGTTTTGCGGATGTGCTGTTAAGTGGACAAACTCAAGTCTACTTTTTGAGGACTTGTAGAACTCTGAAGATTAACATTAATAATTCCCTAAAATCGCTAAAGGTTTTTTTGATATGCTGACTATATCCAAGTGTTCTTATTACTATATAGATTTCATACTCCATTGCTGTGGAAATAAGCCTGTTGTTCAAATGAACCTGATTATGATATGTAATATATACTATAATGTTATATCATAATATGTGTATTATGAGGTGTTCCGTGAAAATTATTGATTACAAATAGTGGTCCACACACACACACAAAGTTTGAAAACCCATGGACTAATTTATCCCTTGGTTATAACTTGGGTATAAGGGAACATCTGTTCTTGTCGGCTTCCCAATCAGTTGATCATTTCTACACCTTTTAAAAGTATCAGTGATATTTCCTCTCTGTTGGCACAGGAAGTTTGTAATTTTATCAATGAAATGTCGAAAATTGACTAAGTTCTGTATACATTAGTGTTGTTGTGTACAGTTTTTCAAAGCACTTTTAAATTAGATTTAATATTCTAACCGGAGTCAGAAGACTGTGTGGAGGCAAGTAATCGTTGTAGCATTGAAATGTAAATTGTCACGATCAAAACATTGGCTCATTCAATGTTGTGTGCGTCTGAATTAAGGGCAATTGATTATTACCAGATGAATGTAGAACCTGTGCAGAATAACAGAATCTATTGGTGTATGTTTACATTAAAAGTATTAATCTTAAAACGATACCTCTGTCTATTTACGTTGCTATCGTTGTTTTTTTAACATACCCATCCAAACACTGTTTATAATGATAAATTATACAAGTTGTTTTCAATAATGATATTGTTCTTGTGGATGAAACTGAATTTGTACTGAAATGCTTAATCTGGAGATAAAAAAATAAAAGAAAAAATTTAATTATTGGCCATTAACATGTCATCATACAGTATATTTTCATAAGGTAAAGATATTAATAATTAAACTTGTTTGTCTGTCTTTAGGATTCACATTCACCCTAAATATATATGAGAGAGATATTTAGACATACAGTATATATTAAATATTAACATTTCATTTTTTTTGCTTCCACGTCTTTTATATACTAGCCTATATGTATACATACATTAAAGGCATGGTTCACTTTGAAATTATTTTTTGGTATGTTTTAGCTTACCTCAAGGGCATCAAAGATGTAGGTTTCTTTGTTTCCGCGGTAGTTTCAATTTTGATGTTATTAGGTCAAACCGTTCGTGTCTATCAGTCATATAATGGAGGTCTATGGTCACCACCTCAAAGAGCATGCACAGAGAAGTCCAGATTAAACACGATTTAATGACTCGTAAATGTAAGTACACATTGATGGCCTATGACACAAAACGAGCGGTTTGTGTGAAAAAACGAATAGTATTTATATAGTTTTTACCTCTTGTTACCACAGCAAGTAATCAGGGCACGGGCTCTTTGTGGCTGTGGTTACATGAGGTAAAAACAATATAAATACTGTTCGTTTTCTCACACAAACCGATCGATTTGTGTCATAGGCCCTCAATGTGTACTTACATTTATGAGTCATTGAATCATGTTTAATTTGGACTTCTCTGTGCATGCTCTTTGAGGTGGTGACCATATACCTCCATTATATGACTGACAGAAACGATTTGACCAAAAAATATCAAAATTGAAACTACTGCGGAAACAAAGACACCTACATCTTGGATGCCCTTGAGGTAAGCTAAAACATACCAAAAATTAATTTCAAACTGAACTATCCCTTTAAATTTGAACATACAAATATTAATTAAAGCGAGACACTACTACAAGCAAAACAATTTTGAACCTGGCTTTAACCAATGTTCAGGTTTCAATCTTTGCAGAAAATGTAAGCAAATGAGTACATATTTTTTTACATAATGTCTTAATTTTATAGTGGTAATATTCGATTATTACAATGTGTTTTTTCCCCTCATTTGTCATTACTACGAAAAACCCTAATTGGAACCTTTGTTTTTTCAATGTAACAAAATTAAAATCACCTTAATTGCCTGTATTTGTGTCAATAGGGCGTTTTTAGTGAGTAAAGTGTCTTCCTCTCACTACGCTGAGTTTGGATGGCTATAATGAATGCAGTGTTTGCTCTTCATGCAGAAGGTGTACTGTTTCTGACGCAGTCTGTTGCCGTCCCTGACACGCTTACCGGTTATTTACCGGGCAACAGTTGCATCATTTATCAACCGGTGCGTTACAACAGCCTTACTTTGCAATACCTCAAGAATAGGGACTAACGGATTTGCGCGTGGTTGAGCTCGTCGCGCGTCGCGGTGAGTCAGTCAGGAGGATCCGCGGTGAGCTCGCGCGCTGTGCGTCAGTCAGTCCTCGTTCTGTTGACGGTACCGGGCGGCATGGAACGGAATGCAAGAGCCGATTAAATTCTGTCAGACAGTCACAGAGACCGATACCCGCGTCCGCGTCTTTACCTGTGTTTTGTGTTTCCTGTAAGGCTGGAAAGATTGACGCGTTAAGAAGGTTATTCGGAGGCAGCGCTCACCCTGGAAGCACCATGGCCAGGGGAAGCGAGGAATCTGGGAATGGATCGTGGAAAAAGCAAGTGGATGACATCAGGAAGATTTTCGAGTTGAAGGAAATCCTCGGGACGTGAGTATGAATGATGATTTGACATTGTGAATGGCGGGTTTTGAAATCTGCATATGAGTCAGTTTTGGTCTTCAAAGTTTGATCTGTAAGAATATGTTACAGACAGGGGATTTACTTTACCAAATTTCCATTTGACATATTTACTGTTTCATAGGCTAAATGGTTAAAAAGTGAAATCTTGGTCTTCTGGCTGGCTCACTCACAAACATTTCCTATGGCTATATACTTTATAAAGCCTTTATTGTCATTATACCACATTGTAAATATTATACCATGTTAACAAAGTCATAAAACTATTTTATCACGGTCTTATATTTTGTAGGGTTTTTCAGTCAGCACTGTGTCACCATGATTTATCAGAAACATCATCATTCATTCTTTTTCTAATAAGAACTTTATAATGACCTTGAAAGCAAGACTAAATGAACTACGAAACTGTCATTAAGATATACGTGAATGGCAATATTTCCTCACAGTTGCACATTCAATCAGATGTAGAATAGGATGCTTTGGTCTGTGCAATGTGGTCTGTGTCAATGCATAATATGCACTGTAAATCCTTGCTTAACCCACTTGGAATAACAGGTTATAATGTGCAGACCTTCTTCTGTCATGAAGTTTTAATATTTCACACCCGACAACATGGCTTTAACAACTCTTTCCAAATTCCTCTTCTGTTGTAGGAGCATTGAAGTACAGGTTCATGGGTTTTCCCCAGTAATGCCTTGAAATAGACCATGATGTCTATAAGTCTATTTATATGGTGCGCAGGGACCAAAAACAGGGCAGGTATTTTTATGTCCCCTTAGAGAGATTTCGACCATTTGTGGGGGTTTTATTTGTTATTTTAATTTGTCCTGTAATCTGTGACAGGCGATCACCACCATTGTAAAACTATGCTTAATTTCTGAAACACTTTTTCAGAAATCGATTGCATGCTGTGCTGTATTTTGCCATTCGTGCGTTTTGTTTAGCAAAATGAGTTTTGAGTTGGAACAATGTGAATCTTAAAATCAGAAGATGGAATAGGCAGATGAGCTTGGTCAGGCTCTGAAGTGTATGTGTGTTATATTTAGTGCATGTGTGGTCAGGTCATTAACGGTGGAGAGATATGTAAGATTTTAACCATAGCTCATCAAAAGACTCTTACAAAAGGATTAACTAGACTAGAGAGGCTTTATTTAACAGGCCGATCCCGACCTGTAAATGTTTCATATAGGATCTCCAATATTCATGCCAGTTGCGATAGTTTTACAGCGAAGCCTCCATGTCCCAGGCTGTGAAACTCTGTCAGCAGGTGTCACATTGGTGTCTGCACATGTGTGGTGATTGTTTTAATCTGACTGTTTGACTGCTTGTCATTGGAGGTTCAGCACTCCACCCCCAACGCTTTAAACAGTAGACTGTGGATTATATGACTGCAGAAGAAGGGAAAGACTCAGATTATCCTCATTATCCTTTCCTCTTTTTCTGTTTCTCAAGTCTCTCTCTCTCTCTCTCTTTCTCTCGTGCTTTGCGTGTCGAGATTATGATTGTTTTTATTGTGTTGTTCACACACCATGGTAGAAGAGCTTTGAAGTCATTCTGGATGATGTAATTTTTTTCATTGTTGCAGTGCTTTGTGTTCTTCTCATTTTCAAGATGATGGTGATGATGAAGATGTAATGACCATAATTAATCATCAACAGCATGAATTATACTGAGGGTCTTGAAATCTGCTCCTGGAGACCCAATTACTGCAGAGTCCAGCTCCAATTTTGAGATGGTCCTCACTGCAGAACACGAAATCCAGGGGGAGGAGTTGGATCGAGATATACATATATACATATACCTAATCCCTATTCCTTACATAAATGCCCTTACACCTTACATATACCAAATCCCTATGCCCTCTGATCCCGAACCCCACCCCTTATCCTACCTATCTCTGCCCCCTGATCCCTAACCCCACCCTTAATCCTACCCATCTCCACCCCCTGATCTCTAACCCCACCCCTAATCCTACCCATCTCTACACCACTTAGATCCGGATCCAACTCCGCCCCCTGGATCTCGTGATGCAAGCTTTTGAAATTGGGTTTTTGAAAACGATAGAGTTATTGTCTCCATGTAAACTACAAAATTGCACATTTGTGAATACGGTGACGACATGCGTATTACAGTTTATAGACACGTAGTATTTCTAATTGACATTGCCATCTACTTGCCTTTGATCGTTTTGACCACATTGTCATCTGTACATGAAAAACACAAGAAAAAAACTTTTCTTTTTTTAGTACGGTGTTGTGTAAATCACCGTATTCAGGTTCACTTTAAAATTTGAAGCAGATATTTTGTAACCTAAAAACTAGGTTCAACTAAAAACTGAAAACGTTTTATGCATTTTGGCATTATTTTCACACAACAAGGGGCTGACAATGCTACTTTTTGAAAACTGGTTTCAAAGTGCACTTATTGAAAACAATACCGTTATCATGTCAGTGTAAATTACAAGAGGGCAAATTTGTGTAGACGGTGACGTCATGCGCATGTGTGATTTGTTTTTCTTTACAAAGTGACATCGCCAACTACTGGCCAGGCAGCTTAATACAGGATTCTTAGTTGTTTTGAACTGGATCATTTTGACAAATGCGCGAATTCAAAAACGCGAATGAAAATCTTTTCAGTTTTTATTACATTGTTGCAGGGCAGTGGGTGTCCAGTGCGGTTGAAGATCCCTGAATTATGGTACCAAAAATTTGGACACGCTTTAGTAAATTTGTTTCTCACAACCTTAAAAATATTTGGATGTAAAGTTTATGCATAAATGCATAAAATAAGTCTTGTGTCATTGTATAATTTCTTTAACTAAAATTAGTTAGATTTATTATTTTTAATTATTTTTAAAATTATTTTTATTCAGCAAGGACACTTTAAATTGATCAATGCTGTTTTTTTAAACCGCAATTCTGAAAAACATCAAATCATCATATTAGAATGATTTCTGAAGGATCATATGACACTTAAGACTGGAGTAATGATGCTGAAAATTCAGCTTTGATCACAGGAATAAATCACATTTTAAAATATAACAGAATAGTTATTTTAAATTGTAATAATAAATCACAATATTATAGTTTTTACTGTAGTTTAGATCAAATAAATGCAGCGTTGGTGAGCATAAGAGAATTTGTTCCGGAACATTAAGATGTCTTATACAGATACCTACCCCAAACTTTTCAAACCCTAGTGTGTATATATTTAATATCTATAAAAATAATTCAACTCGTAAGTGGATGTTTAAAGCGGTTGAGATGAAGAACAGGCATAAATCTAGAACACGTTTAATCCAGGAAGGATAATCTTTCTAGGATTTCCCATCCTGAAGATGACATAACAGATTCCATAACACTCCTTACACAAGACTTTCAGAGGGACCAAACTGAAAACAGCACACACACACAAATGATTCAAAAGCAATCAGTTCTTAGAAATCCCAGAATGAAGCATGGATGCACAATGAAGCATTGTCAGAAATAGCTCATTCCTACACATAATGACTCAACCTGCACAATCTCCACCCCATCCTCCGAAAATACTGCACTCTATATCGTCTAACTCCATCTGTACCACTGTTACCATTTCTAAATGAGAAAATACAATCAGTGTTAATTAATCCGTTAATTTTAGATTAATCCCATTTTAATCCTGTTACTTTCCGAGTGGAGGTGTCAGTTTTCCTGAATTCACCTGAGGTGGTTCAGTATGTTACAATTCGATTTAATTCACATTTAATAAGCGCATTTCTCAATACATGTCGTTTTAACGCAGCTTTACGGAAAATTCATTAGCCTTTTATGCAATATCCCAATGTTGTGCATTAGTTAAATTCTTATCTTTGGATGGAAGCGTAGAGAGTAACTCAATTTATCTGCACTTTGATCTTTGAAACTTTCCAGACATTTCACATTCAGAAAAAAGCTGTATTACACACTACGTGAATTGTAATATCTGAAAAAGTGTGATAGAGCACCCTTTTCAGACTCTGACTCTATGTTCCCACACATCTTATAATACTGTATGTGACTGCACCCACTTTCCATATAATGCATATAGGCTTATGAAACTCTGACATTTGCATGAGAAATTCAGCTTTACTGTAAAGCATTGAGGTCATGGACCACATAATCATGATATAGGATCACTAGTTCCTTGTTGACCTCATGTTATGCAAATTAGTTGTGCAATGGGTACACAAATACATGCTTTAGAGAATAACTGCATAAGTGAGCTTTGACTCTGGCAAGCTTTGTTGCTAAAAGTGTTTACAGGTGCACAACAAGGAACTAAAAGCCAATAATGGTCAGTCCATGTGGGTTAACGGTCATGAGTCTTTCTCTTTACCTTACCTCACGCTGACACCTCCTGTAACTGATGATTTCCTCTGGCGGATGGTGAACTGACACCTGCTTCTCTGTAGATTCATACACTCTTCATCAGATGGATATTCATCACCTGAATAATGGTTATATCGTGTATTTATATTTATATATATTTTACATTCTGCTTGTTGAGTTGAATTTCCTGAATTATGGGTTTTGATTTAGTTTAATTTATTATATTTTATAATTTTTTTGTGCTATTTTAGAATTGAATCACCTGAATTATTATGAGGTAAAAAAAAAACATCTGAACATCTAAAGTGGTTCTTACTATTTGAAATGCTGATAAAATGGCCAAGTCAAATTTTTCTTCAATAGTTTATCCACTGTCTAAACCACTACTATTGTTATTTATTTTATTTTATGTTAAGAGGATTAGGGCCTATCTATAATAAAAAAATAAAACCATCTCGAGATTAAAGTCATTATAATGCGTAAAAACTCGTTATTAAACTCGTAAAATTTCGAGAAAAAGTTGAAATACAATCTTGAGAATAAAATCATTAAATATCGAGAATAAAGTCGTTGTGTTTCGAGAAAAAACTCGTTAAAATTTGAGAAAAAAAGTCGAAATACAATCTTGAGAATAAACTCATTAAATATTGAGAAAAAAGTCGTTGTGTTTTGAGAAAAAGCGTGTTAAATTTCGAGGAAAAAAGTCGAAATACAATCTTGAGAATAAACTCATTAAATATCGAGAATATAGTTGTTGTGTTCCGAGAAAAACCTCGTTAAATTTCAAGAAAAAAAGTTGAAATACAATCTTGAGAATAAACTCATTAAATATCGAGAATAAAGTCGTGTTTTGAGAAAAAACTCGAAGATGGTATTACGACTTTTTTTTCGAGTTTTTTTTCTTTTCTTGAAACACAACAACTTATTCGCAATATTTAATGAGTTTATTCTCAAGATGGTATTACGACTTTTTTTTCTCGAAATTGAATGATTTTAATCTCGCATTATAATTACTTTAATCTCGAGATGGTTTTATTTTTTATTATTGCTTTGCCCTAATCCTCTTCCGTACTGTCTAAACAACTACTATTTTTTTTATTTAATGCTTTTCCCCTTTGTCTACTAATAAGCACTACTATTTTGTTTTTTTAACTTGTTCTAGTTTAGTCTCGTTTTTTTGTTTTTGTTGTTTGAGTTGAGGTGTTTAGTGTTGATTACTTTTCCGAAGTCAAATTTGCAGTGTTCTGACTTGCCCCAGTAAGCAAGCACCTAGCAACCACTTATTTCGCCTTAGTTACGAGCACTCGACCATCTTTACAACCGTTTCTCAACGTTCTGACAACCATCCATAAAACTCGAGCACCATGTCAGTGATCTTTGCACTGCAAAGCACCAGTAATGTTTAAAATGTGTCTGAATTACACGTGATAAATCTGATCTGTTTAATGCACTCTATCCAAGCACACGCTGTTGTTTTTCTTAGTTTAATCCTTTGAAGAGATGAATGCTGCGCCCACTGCAATCTCACACGCTCATATGAACACATAGCTTACAAAGTACTCAACCTGCTGGGCGCTCGGCCAATGAGTCACTCCATTTCTAGCCTTCTAAAGGGCTTGCGTTTCAATCGCAAATGAGAGTTGAATTTGACAGTTTAAGAAACATATGACAAATGCTTTGTTTTGGCAAACCACCAAACCCTATATTTTGATAAAATGATTCAGGAACAGCCTTTTGTTCCAAGCTTTCCGAATTGCCGCGAGCGCTCGTGCCGGTATTTGTAAATTACTGTGCGTGTGTGTGTGTGCTGAAGGATTAGAGCAGATTTTCAGTGACCAATAAAGGCTTAGCTACAAGCCACAATGGCCAACTGATTACACAGTGCATATGATACAACATCCCTGAAGAATCAGAGGAGACGTGAATATGGCTATGCTTTTGAGCATTACATTTTTGAAAATGTACAAATATAGTGAAATATTTGAAAGCAGTCCTTACTATTTGACAACAAGTTTTTCTTCAATATTTTATTATTTTATTTGATGCGTTTGTCCCTGTTGGCTGTCAAAAGTACTATTATGTTGTTGTTGTTTTTATTCATTTTATATTATACTTTGGCCTTTTAAAGGGTGTCTCAAGCACTGCCACTCTTTTATTTTAGTTTTTTATTTTATCTTATTTATATGATCTTATTAAATTGTATTACATTTTATTCTTCTGTGTTCTGTCCCTTTTGTAGGTTGTCTAAAGCACTACTATTTTTATTTTATGTATTTTATTATTTTATTCTTCTGTCCATTTGCAGTACTAAAGCACTACTATTTTTATTTTATTTATTTTATTATTTTATTTTATTCTTCTGTCCCTTTGCAGTACTAAAGCACAACTATTTTTATTTTATTATTTGATTTGATTTGATTATTAGGTCCCTTTGTAGGTTGTCTAAACTAAAGCACGACTATTTTTATTTTGTTTTATATTATTTATTTTATTATTTTGTCCCTTTGTAGGCTGTCTAAAGCAGTGCTATATTTATTATTGTATTTTTATTTTATTATATTCTTCTGTTCCTTTTGCAGTACTAAAGCATGACTATTTTTATTTTATTTTATATTAATTTATTTTATTATTCTGTCCCTCTGTAGGCTATCTAAAGCAGTGCTATATTTATTATTTTATTTTATTATTTAATTCTTCTGTCCCTTTGCAGTACTAAAGCACTACTATTTTTATTTTATTATTTAATTGTATTTGATTATTATGTCCCTTTGTAGATTGTCTATAGCACAACTATTTTTATTTTGTTTTATATTAATTTATTTTATTATTTTGTCCCTTTGTAGGCTGTCTAAAGCAGTGTTATTTTTATTATTGTATATTCATTTATTTTATTATTTTATTCGTCTGGCCCTGGGCTGTCTGAAGCAGTGCTATTTTTATCATTTTATTTTATTTTAATTCATTTTATTCTTCTGTCCCTTTTTAGGCTATCTAGCACTACTATTTTATATTAATTTTATTTTATTTATTTTATTTTATTTTATTTTCCAACTAAGGGACCTCACTGCCAAGCTTTCAAGCAACATATTTTTTTCTCTGTCCACTTTCTGTCTCCCAAACATGTCCAGCCACTTTTTAATACTTCCCCTCTCTTTTCTGTTTCTCCAGTGGGGCGTTTTCTGAAGTGGTCCTGGCCCAAGAGAAGGCCACAGGAGACATGTACGCCGTGAAATGCATCCCGAAAAAAGCACTAAGAGGAAAAGAGAGCGGAATAGAAAACGAGATTGCAGTGCTTAGGAAGTAAGTATTCCTAAAAGCCACCAGAAGAGGCTTACAATAACAAACCCAACACCCATTACACGCTTCACACAAGTTCCTCTTGCTACAGTACTGAGGAAAAAGGCTAAAGTTGAAAGGAAGCTGTTCGTGTGAGTTTGAGCGGGAGATGACTCAGGCTTTATGACACGCCCCTCACAGCCTCCCACCTTTGCTGACTCCTACCTGTCCCTTTCAAAAGCATCGCAAGAAATGATTCATGTGGCCTCCACCGCAGACCTCGCTATTCACCGCACGTTGAGGCCGAGCGCAGGTCCGCGGTTGTCATGGTAAAAAGGCGTTCTGGAAAAGGAGGGAAGGCAAAAAAAAAAAAAACTCCGCTGCAGCTGGATTGGAGATGCTGCGGTCAGAATGATTCTAGTTACTGGAATGCAACTAATCAGCAAAGATGTATTCAGTTGATCAAAAGATAAAGACATTTTTAACATGTTACAAAAGATTCCTATAAGATTCCTAAATGCTGTTCGTTTCAACTTTCTGTTCATCAAGGAATCCTGAAAAAAAGATCACAGTTTCCACAAAAAAAGCAAGCAGCACTTAATAATAATTATAATAAGCAATGTTTCTTGAGCAGCAAAATCCTACATTTTTAGGATGATTTATAAAGGATTTTTATTTTTTGCTTTTGTCCCTTTGTCTTCCCTTTTGTGAAAAGCACACATTTTTTAAGTCTTTTTTTATTTAATTATTATTTTAAAAAAAACATTACTGTGCCTTTGTGTGTCCCTTTGTCAAAAGCACTACATGTTTTATTTTATTTTTTTAGTTTATTATTTTATTGTCCCTTTGTGTGTCCCTTTGTCAAAAGCACTAAATATTTTATTTTAACTTTTTATTTTATTTTATTGTCCCTTTGTGTGTTCCTTTGTCAAAAGCACTACATATTTATTTATTTTTTAGTTTATTATTTTATTATCCCTGTGTCAAAAGGCTACATATTTTATTTTTTATTTTATTATTTTATTGTCCCTTTGTGTGTCCCTTTGTCAAAAGCACTACATATTTTATTTTAACTTTTTATTTTATTTTATTGTCCCTTTGTTGTCCCTTTGTCAAAAGCACTACATATTTTATTTATTTTTTAGTTTATTATTTTATTGTCCCTGTGTCAAAAGGGCTACATATTTTATTTTTTATTTTATTATTTTATTGTCCCTTTGTGTGTCCCTTTGTCAAAAGCACTACATATTTTATTTTTTATTATTTTATAGTCCCTTTTGTGTCCCTTTGTCAAAAGCACTTAATATTTTATTTTAATTTTTATTATTTTATTGTCCCTTTGTCAAAAGCACTACATATTTTATTTTTATTTTTTAGTTTATTATTTTATTTTCCTTTTTCAAAAGGGCTACAGATTTTGTTTTTTATTTTATTATTTTATTGTCCCTTTGTGTGTCACTTTGTCAAAAGCACTACATATTTTATTTTTTATTTTTAAGTTTATTATTTTATTGTCCCTTTGTGTGTCCCTTAGTCAAACATACTAAATAATTCATTTTAATTTATTTTATTTTATTTTATTGTCCCTTTGTGTGTCCCTTTGTCAAAAGCACTACATATTTAATTTTATTTTATTGTACCTTTGTGCATCCCTTTGTCAAAAGCACTACAAATGTATTGATTTTATTTTATTTTGTGACAGTGAATTCAGCTTTGCCATCACAGAAACAAGTTATGAATGCATCGCCCTTGAGCTGTTTGGCAACTTGCTAGCAACTTCTAAGCTCAATCTATCAGCCCGACTCATATGTAATAGGAACGAACATCAGCCATCCAAAACAAAGCCTTCATAATCCACTCAAGTGCGCCTTTGGTTCATTGTAACTGATCAAATATTTTGTCTGTTCTTTTCAGGGTCAAGCATGAGAACATTGTGGCTCTAGAGGACATTTACGAGAGCCCCAGTCATTTATATCTTATTATGCAACTGTGAGTAAAATCTGTTTGCTACTTCAATTTGTGCTTAATTAATGCTCTAAGTCTCCAAAGTCTTTGAAATGGAGCCAAACAATGTGAAGCAAGTTTGCAATGTGGAAAACTTAAAAAAACTTAAGTACTAATCTGTTCTTGCCTGTATCTGATGTGTGACTGACTGATACATTCCTTTTAATTGCAATCCAAAAAATTTCTCTTTCTGTCATTCCAATTCAACATCCTGTGGCGCTTTAAACTCATGACTTGAAAAGGAGCCAATTCTTATTCTGAATTGTGTCCAAGCCTCCTGCTGCTGCTTGAGATCATTTCAACAATAATGAATCATCTATATAGTTTAATGTGAAACATGTTAAACCCATATTTGATTTATTGTATTTTTAAACATACACTACCTTTCAAATGTTTGGGTTCAGTAAGTTGTTGTTGAAAGAAATTAATACTTTTATTCAACTAGGATGCATTAAAAGTGACAGTAAAGACATTTATAGTGATGCTGAAAAAACTTGATAAATAAAAATAAATCCCGAAAAGACTTTATCATGGTTTCCACAAACAATATTAAGCAGCACAACTGCTTTCGACATTGATAATAATCAGAAATGTTTCTTGAGCAGCAAATCATCATATTTGAATGATTTCTGAAGGATCATGTGACACTGAAAACTAGAGTAATGATGCTGAAAATTCAGAAATCAGCTTTTACTGTATTTTTTAATCAAATAAATGCAGCCTTGGTGAGGCTTTCAAAAACATTAAAAACTTTTACCAACCCCAAACCTTTAAACATCAGTGTGTATATTGTAGGGATGTACCAATATGACATTTTTTGGCGAAACCGATAACCGGCAATTCTTTATATTTGACAGCCGATAACCGGAAAATCTAAATAAATCCAAATTTTTATATAATTAAAAGCCATGTCCCAAGCACACTATTACAATGTTCTTATTATAATTATATGTAGCCTATATGACTTAAAGGAGTAGTTCGCTTTTAAAAAAACTTTTGCTGATAATTTACTCACTCCCATGTCATCCAAGATGTCCATGTCTTTCTTTCTTCAGTCGAAAAGAAATTAAGGTTTTTGATGAAAACATTCCAGCATTTTTCTCCATATAATGGACTTCAATGGGAACCAAACGGTTCAAAGTCCAAAAGACAGTTTCAGGACAAACTGCAAACTGTTCAAAAGGCTTTAAACGACACCAGACGATGAATAAGGGTCTTATCAAGTGAAACGATCGCTCATTTAATAAAAAAATAACAAAGTTTAAGTTTTATAAGTTCTGTGATGCGCGTTCGTGACTCTCCTGTTCGAACTCTTTTCCTGAGTCAATTCGTTCATTTCGTTCGTTGAATGAACCAAGCAACACGGAAAAAAAAGATTTGTTCATTTTGATGAACGAGTTCGAACATGCGAACATTTGAGCTTATAAAACTTAAACTTTGTTATTTTTTTATTAAATGAGCGATCGTTCCGCTTGATAAGACCCTTACTCATCATCTGGAATCATTTAAAGCCCATTGAACAGTTTGCAGTTTGCACTGAAACTGTCTTTTGGACCTTGAACCGTTTGGTTCCCATTGAAGTCCATTATATGGAGAAAAATCCTGGAATGTTTTCATCAAAAACCTTAATTTCTTTTCGACTGAAGAAAGAAAGACATGGACATCTTGGATGACATGGGGGTGAGTAAATTATCAGCAAAAGTTTTTTTTTTAAAGTGAACTATTTTCTAAGTAGATTCTAATCATATTTCAAGCAATTCAGTGCAGTGCACATCTAACTGACAGTGTCTTAACTGAAGCAAATAACCCATTATTTTTCGCCCGGATTTTCTTATCGATAACATTAAAAATAACCACATATCGCTCGATACCGATATGGTGGCCGACATATCATGCATCCCTATATATTGTTTATTGTATATACCTGTAAGTTTGCCAGTTCTGAATAACTATAAACATTAAAAAGCAGATTTCTTGTGTTTTTCAGTGTGTCGGGTGGGGAGTTGTTTGATCGTATTGTGGAGAGGGGTTTCTACACGGAGCAGGACGCCAGCGCATTAATCAAACAGGTTCTGGATGCAGTTAACTACCTGCATTCACTGGGGATAGTCCACCGAGACCTGAAGGTGATGATTTCCCTTGACTGATTTCCTTCACACCAAAACAAATCGATATGCATAGACGTACAGTTTCATTATAGCACATAGGAAGCTGGAACATAAGACTTGAAAGGTCACCGCACTTCAGTGGAAACAAGACGTACAGCGTAAATAACTCTCTGTGACTTTTTACCCTAATCACCCTTTCTCTCTCTCTTATCTCCTGACAGCCGGAGAATCTGCTCTATTTTAACCCGAATGAAGAATCCAAGATTATGATAAGTGATTTTGGGCTGTCCAAGATGGAGGACGCAACCAATGACATCATGTCCACAGCCTGCGGGACGCCGGGATATGTGGGTAGGGCTGTCAGTCCACTGAATCTGAATATTGTAAACTGTAGTAAATCTAATGGGACTTTCATGTAATTTTAGAGTTTTTGGAAGTGTAAAGAGTCTTATAATTTCCTCATGCATGACACTTCTCATTTGATGTTTTTTAAATACGTTTTTTTCTTAGTTATGTACATTAGGGTTTTTGTTATATGTCTTGTTGTTAAATGAATGTTTATTGCAGTATTATAGTGTCATATGTTACCATGAAGGTGTTTTGTATATGACACCATCAATTAATATTTATCCCAGTGTGTGGAAACGCTCTTTGGATGAATTTTGATTCATCATGTGATTTTTCTCTTTACCTCTTATGTTTTTAAGGTGGTTGTCAGTATCAATCTATAAAACTTAAAATGTTACTACCATACATTTTACAGCCACAACCACAGCTTAAATCTCACTGATTTAATTCCAAAAATAAAATAAAATCCATATGTTGTTTAATTTCATATTCATACTTTTCATATCCACTTTTTCTCGTGAAATACAAAGAATCCATTTTAACAATATCTATGCAAACTGTAGTGATCATGCCTATCGAATCCAAAAAAAGACAACAAAATAATCACAATAAAAGTGGTTAAAAAAACAGCAAATTAGAAAACATAGAGTTTTGGAATGACATGACAGTGAGTAAATGATGATCAAATTTGTTTTTGGGTGAACTATCCTTTAAAAACATTTTTTATTAGTGCTGTCAAATCGATTAATCGTGATTAATCACATATAACAAAAGTTGTTGTTTATATAATATATATGTTATTATATATATACTGTATATTATATAGACCATTTCACAAGATGTAAACAACACTGGTCCAGAAACACTTCCTGTTTCAGTTTGTAACTGTTTTCTTTATTTCACATGTAAAGAAAACATCTGAAAGATTTTTGTTTAACTTTTTCATTCAGTTTTATATGTTCTGTTGGTTGTAATTTATCTCAGCTTTTATGTAGTGTTAAAAAACTGAAACAGGAAGTGCTTCTGGACCAGTGTTGTTTACATCTTGTGAAATGGTCTATATACTATATATGTGTGTGTATACATATATACACACACATATATATTATATAAACAGAAACTTATGTTAGATGTGATTAATCGCGATTAATCGATTTGACAGCACAAATTTTTTAGTAAATATATCATTTCATTCACTTTATCTGTCGTTTAATATGTTTAATAGCTCCAGAGGTGTTAGCACAGAAGCCTTACAGCAAAGCCGTGGACTGCTGGTCTATCGGAGTTATTGCTTACATCTTGTGAGTAGTTTTTTCCCGCCATATGAAATGTACTGCTGCTTTCCCAACCATTGCTACATTCATTATTTAATAAAGAGGTCTTTAGGTTAAAACACTGACCACTCTTGAATCCTCTGCGTCCTCAGGTTGTGTGGATACCCTCCATTTTACGACGAGAATGACTCCAAACTGTTCGAGCAAATACTGAGGGCAGAATACGAATTTGATTCCCCGTACTGGGACGACATTTCTGATTCGGGTAAGTGTAACGTAAATCACATATTATAGTTATTGACATAAACTCTTTATATATATTATATATTAGGGCTGTCAAACGATTAATCGCGTCCAAAATAAAAGTTTGTTTTTACATAATATATGTGGGTGCACTGTGTATAATTATTTTGTATATATATAAATACACACAAATGCATGTATATTTAAGAAAAAAATATTATTTATATATAAAATATTTGTTTTTACATATCATATAAATGATATATAAATACTATATATAGTATTTATATATAATTTATTTATATATAATTATATTATATATAAAGACTTGAGTTACTTGTGTTTAATTGTCAGTCACGATTCGTTTTTTTTCCCATGAGCAACACTTTAATATAGGTTTTTGAAAGTAACACTGAAGTATTGCAGCCAGATATAAATCAGCAGTTGAAAAGCATTATCTGGCGCTAAGGCGATTCAGCTTCGTTAGAAAATAACAACTCGACACCCACACCACAAGCTGTTCCCTGATGTCTGGGGAAGTGTAGGAGGGTGTCATTTTTTCACAATTAGAACTGCGCCCTTGTGTAACTGATTCAGTTTTTTTTTCTTTGTCACATTTCTGTTGTTTTATAGCTAAAGACTTCATTAGTAACCTGATGCAGAAAGATCCGGAAAAGAGGTTAACTTGTGATGAGGCTCTTCTGCATCCATGGTGAGCGACCAGGATTGTGTTCACTGCCGTTCTGATGTTATTTCAGTTGCTGTAGGTTTAAGAGTGAATCTCACACAGTCTATCTATTGACATTTTTGTGGAAATTAAGCATATGCCCCAGCCTTCATAATGCCCATTAATGTGTTACAATTCTCATTGTTCTCAATTCAATCACAATAAAATATACACGTTTACACAATGATGTAAAAATAATATAATATAATATAATTATATGCATTACAGTAATGAGAACTGCTTAATTGTCATGAAAATAATGTCACAATGCAAAAACATTTAATAATAGTATAGCCTTTATATATATATATTATATATATATGAAGAGTTCAGATGCAAAAGCCTCTAAATGCCATTTGAAATTTTCTTCTAAAATGACCATTTTTATCAAGCTTGTATATTTAAGTTAAGTAATTTCACTTAAATGACAATTAATAGGTAATTATCATTGCCATTTAAGTGAAATTACTGAACTTAAATATACAAGCTTGATAAAAATTATCATTTTAGAAGAAAATTTCAAATGGCACTTAGAGGCTTTTGCATCTGAACTCTTCATATATATATATATATATATATATATATATATATATATATACATATAGATATATATATATATAGTACAGTTCCAAAGTTTGCCTTGGTGAACATGAGAGACTTCTTTCAAAAACATTACAAAATATTACAAACCCCAAACTTTTGAATTGCAGTGTATATTATATTATATTATATTATATTATATTATATTATATTATATTATATTATATTATATTATACAAAGTTTAAATGAAGTCTTTGATTAATATCAACACAATGCTACCTTGCTTGCAGTAATTGTGACCATAACTACATTCACCTTAAGATGTTACTGTGCATCTTATGTTTTGACATTATATACCGTAGTCATGTTTATAAACACATATGGTCACATATAATAAGACTCTGCCTCCTCATGGATGCCAGATGATACTGCAAGTCCAACTCTCCTCTGATTTCAGGATAGCTGGTGATACTGCGCTCTGTAAGAACATCCACGAATCAGTCAGCCGACAGATGAAGAAAAACTTTGCGAAAGCAAAATGGCGAGTAAGTGACCACGTCCTTTCGCCCTTTGGATTCATTAATTGAAACACCCGTATTGATTGACCAGTATTTTATTTACCACATGTCAGTGTTCTCTAAACTCTTCTCTCCTCGCAGCAAGCGTTTAATGCCACTGCAGTGATCAGACATATGAGGCGTCTTCAGCTTGGCAGCAGTATGGATTCCTCTCAACACAGGAAGCAGAATCCAACATCCATGCCAGGGAAGAGTCAGTCGGTTGATGTTTCTTCAGTCCACCGCAACGACTGTAAGTTGTTACCACAATCCTTTAAGGTCCCGATATACTCACAGTGAAGTTCTTTTCATTATTTGCTTAGGGGTAAAAAGAAGACCGAAATAGCCTTACAGCGATACACTGTTAGCGAACATCTGACGCCACCCACACATTTAGATTAGCGCTTTCCTCTCAATAACAAGATAATCACATAACAAAAATGCCAGTGGTGCGAAAACAGCATCATATCGAATTGGATATGTTTGCAAGAGCTCTGCAATTTGGCACTCCGATCAAGTCACGATTATTTAAATAGCAATTTATACAATAGACTGCATGAAAGCAAACAGTGTAAGTCACTCTTTAATTAGAATCACATTTTAAATTTCTATTACTATAAAGCAGCTCTCCGGTGTGTTCATGTTTTTATGTGTGTCTGGCCTCGACAGACTGAACAGACGAAATGAACCTGAGAAGATCCACGCCAGAGAAGCCACACCTACCTATTACTTAATCGTCACGGACCAATGGTAGTTTGAAGGGGTTCACCAATCGGAGTAAACTTTATTTAGATATTCGCTTTGACAAGCTGTATTGAACTCAAAACTAACTTTGTTTTGGCCTAAAATTTGGCCTTTTTTCAAAATTAGCGCCTTTTCAGGCCCCTTTAGCGACTAATCTGGTTAACGTGTAGTTTGACACTATATCATACTTTGTCTGACAGGAAATATGTAAATGAGAACAGCTTTATTTGACACCCAGCTATATATTACACTGGCAGGACGGAAAAAAAAAAGTCACTGTTCGGATTTGGCAAATGCTGAAGAGTCTGTGATTGGATCATTGTTGCAGTGATTATGTTTCTAGCATGTTATATGTTTGGCAACAGTTCTTCTAACCCTAATTGATGGAGTGTGTAGCTTTTCATTTCATAAACAACCATGTAGGAAGACACATCATGGCCATATTTCAGGACGACAATGTCAAGATTCATATAATCACTATATAGACGAATCCGGCGAAACTACCGGAAGTAAGCGGGCGTCATTACTGAGCTGTTGCTGGGTAGCGTTGCGCCATTGCCTCCTATTGTTTTAGTTGCAACTTGCATCCACTGGAATAAACAGCCCGCGATTTACGACTGTCACTAACGTTACAACGTTACCCCTTGTATAATGTCGAGTGGGTAAACAGTTTCCGTTATAAATTGTTTCAATGGTGGCAGTAAAATTTCAATTTTGAAGAGAAAACATTGTGAATACTTCGGGTCGACTGCCCCTGTCTGGTGCCGTATGGTTTACACAGATTTCCTGGGCGAGTACAAGACGTGGACATTCGCGTATAATAACAATTATTTAATGACATAAGTAAAAAAATATAATAAATATGTGATATAGTGATCAGCAAAATCTCCTCTCTTGCTATTTTTTCTATTCAATTAACATGCTATGGTCATTAAATGGCTTTCCTGAGCTAAATGTAACGTTATGTGACATAATTGTTCTCCTGCACCTCTTTCCATGGTTTAAAAACACTAACTGGTCGATATTGTATACTTTCTAGCTGTAACGTTACCTTACCCTTGCCTGTTGCAATGTGAAAATGAGATAAATAATGGACACAAATGAAAAACATGAATTTGTTTATTTGATTTCATTTATTTATTTATTGTTACCAAATGGACAGATCTTTTTATAGTTTCCTCGTTAGCAAACGTTAGCCTAGCTAGCTTGCCAATCTATTTTCATAAATAATCTGTAAGATCGTTTGTACCTTCATCTGTGACTGGTGGCCACTATCTAACATCATCAACCCAACAAGTCATTCTGCCTGGCTGTAGCTGTCATCGAGGGTGCGTTATCACCAAGGTTTGTTTACATACCGGTGCATATGTCTATGCCGGTGTAACAGCTCAGTAATGGCGTCGCCACAAGATGGCAGCCTACACAGAACGCTCGTCGGATTCGTCTATAATCGTAAATCTCTAATCAAACTACAAAAATGGCCGAACGGGGTGGAGTTGAACCGAGTGTGAACTCAGCAACTTGGAGAGTGGGCGGAGTATGACGCATTTCCTTTTTATTTAAAGGGGCCGCTCCAAAACGAGTCGCTCACAGACGCCCATTCTCTGAGATTTGTTTTCATGATAATCCAATGTAAAGAGTTTTATCTCTAAAACTGTTTAGCGTATAACGCTAGTATATGGGGGCATATAATAAGTAAAGAGAAATCGCTAGTTAATACCACTAACAATGCTCAAATTAGCCCCACACTAACATGCAAAACGAAGCATTGAGAACTTTGTAAGTGTACAGACTATTTAATAAGAAGATTCTACTTATTCTCCTTTAAGGATTTGCCTATTCAAATCCAAACAGCGTCTTTTTGGGTGGGCAGTATATATTAAAATACAGAATGTGAGCACAGATTAGGAGAGAAAACAGATGACAATTAGCGCATGACGCCATCTAGCGACATGTTTATGCTTTAGCTACTTTCCATTGAAAATTGTTGGCAACACTGGACTTCACACCTGTTCGTTCTTCGATTTTGCTTGAAGTATATCTGGACCTTTATATTTCTTGATCTGAAACTCACAATAGATGTTTTTGACTCGACTTTTGTTGACCGTGTCATGTTGCTCATCACCAGTGATGTGTTTTGTGTTGTATTATGTCGTGTTGTCGAACAGCCCTTGAAGAGGGTGTTATCTTTGTCTAGGTTCGTCCGTGCAGGCGGCAAACTCTTCCTCGAAGACGGGAACGCCTGAGCGAAAAGCGCGGGCATCCACGGTCACCACCATCATCACCGGCTCAAAATGACATCACTTCATGTGAGACCGCTGACTTGACTATTGCACTTTGTGGAAAATCGTGTTTTCTTCTATTTAACGGTAACTTCCATTGTCCACAGTCGAACACGTTTTCCTCTCTGGAAAGCCAATGGCGCGCTACACCTTGAGACTGTCTCAAAAAGAGCGGCCTATGTATTTAAGGTGACTGTTTTAACGAGTAAAGCTCACGACTTGAACGTTAATGTGGCTGTTGAGTGGAGATTACGAACCTCGAGTTGAAGCACATCTGCTTTGGGTCGTAATAGTTCTTAGAAGTTGTGCAGATAAAACAGTTTTCATTCATTAAACCGTTGTTGTAACTTTTTGCTGCTGTGTTTCAACCTGCTGCTCTTTTGAAGGACCAAACGATAAAGGATGTGAGATTTAAAGAGTCTAGAGAAGCTGATGTAGTTAATAGAGGCTTTAAACCAATAGATAGAATTATTGTCATCCAGTATGTATAAACTTTGGTTCTGGATGCATGAATGGTGCAAGTGAATGAAGGATGTTAATATTGTATACGAAATGGAAATGTGCAGTTTTAATGGTTTTATCAACACTTTGTTAATATCGAGAAGATTCTGGAGTGATGTGTGTGTCTGTCAACAAGGTATGAAATGGTGGTAAAGCACCTTTTAAAGAGTTTTTTGTGTATGTTTTGGATTTATTTTGTAAGCTTTGCTTTTTTTAAATGACTTTTTGGCATTTACAGTATAATTTTGTTCACACTTTATATTGCAGTGATTGTTACGTAGTAATATTTTGTGTAAATGGAAGTATTTGTTGTCACTAACACTTAAATGATTATTAATTGTACAACCCGAATTCCAGAAAAGTTGGGACGTTTTTTAAATTTGAATAAAACTAAAACTATACAACTTTCAAATCACATGAGCCAATATTTTATTCACAATAGAACATAGATAACATAACAAATGTTTAAACGGAGAAATTGTACACTTTTATCCACTAAATGAGCTCATTTCAAATTTGATGCCTGCTACATGTCTCAAAATAGTTGGGACGGGGACACGTTTACCATGGTGCAACATCTCCTCTTCTTTTCAAAACAGTATGAAGACGTCTGGGCATCGAGTTTATGAGTGTCTGGAGTTTTGGTGTTGGAATTTGGTCCCATTCTTGCCTTATATAGGTTTCCAGCTGCTGAAGTGTTCGTGGTCGCCTTTGACGCATTTTTCGTTTAATGATGCGCCAAATGTTCTCTATAGGTGAAAGATCTGGACTGCAGGCAAGGCCAATTCAGAACCCGGACTCTTCTACGACGAAGCCATGCTGTTGTAATATCTGCAGTATGTGGTTTTGCATTGTCCTGCTGAAATACACAAGGCCTTCCCTGAAATAGACGTTGTCTGGAGGGGAGCATATGTTGCTCTAAAACCTTTATATAGCTTTCAGCATTCATAGTGCCTTCCAAAACATGCAAGCTGCCCATACCGTATGCACTTATGCACCCCCATACCATCAGAGATGCTGGCTTTTGAACTGAACGCTGATAACACGATGGAAGGTCTCCCTCTTCTTTTGTCCGGAGGACACGGCGTCCGTGATTTCCAACAAAAATGTCAAATTTGGACTCGTTTGACCATAGAATACTTTTCCACTTTGAAATAGTCCATTTTAAATGAGCCTTGGCCCAAAGGACACGACGGCGCTTCTGGACCATGTTCACATATGGCTTCCTTTTTGCATGATAGAGCTTTAGTTGGCATCTGGAGATGGCACGGCGGATTGTGTTTACCGACAGTGGTTTCTGGAAGTATTCCTGGGCCTATTTAGTAATATCATTCACACAATCATGCCGATGAGTGATGCAGTGTAGTCTGAGGGCCCGAAGACCACGGGCATCCAATAAAGGTCTTCGCCTTTGTCCCTTACGCACAGAGATTTCTCCAGTTTCTCTGAATCTTTTGATGATGTTGTGCACTGTAGATGATGAGATTTGCAAAGCCTTTGCAATTTGATGTTGAGGAACACTGTTTTTAAAGTGTTCCACAATCTTTTTACGCACTCTTTCACAGATTGGAGAGCCTCTGCCCATCTTTACTTCTGAGAGACTCTACCTCTCTAAGACATCCCTTTAATCATGTTACAGACCTGATATCAACTTAATTAGTTGCTATAGATGTTCTCCCACCTGAATCCTTTCTAAATTTCTTGCTTTTTCAACCATTTGTTGTCCCCGTCCCAACTATTTTGAGACCTGTAGCAGGCATCAAATTTGAAATGAGCTCATTTAGTGGACTAAAGTGTAAAATTTCTCCATTTAAACATTTGTTATATTATATATGTTCTATTGTGAATAAAATATTTGCTCATGTGATTTGAAAGTCGTATAGTTTTCATTTTATTCAAATTTAAAAAACGTCCCAACTTTTCTGGAATTCGGGTTGTAATATAGCCTCTGTAATGTAAACTGGTCATCATTTTATTCTTTTAATTGTGACTAAGCCAGAGGAAATTGAAGAACGCTTGACTCATAATGTGTTTTTGTCACAAATCTATATGAAAACTACCAGCTTCAGTGACTGACATATGTATTTGCTGATCTTGTGTTTCAGTGGAGCGAAAATGCCTAAAATTTCACACACCGTCCAAAGTGTTTTGATATGACGTGCCCACTGATATATGACCGTGAGAGATAAAAAAACAGTCTCTGCTCTTGAATCTTGCATGTCATCATGGTCTTCATACCAGCCCTCTGAATTTAGCAGCTACATGATGGTTCTTTCATTCAGGTCACAGAAATGATGTAAGCAGTGTTTTCTCTTCAGTAGATTTGTTCTGTGATGAGTGCTTTTGGTGTATGAGTGTATGGTGAGTAAATTTTCCATTAAATGCAAAGATAAACCAGTTTTATTGTTGTTCAGATTTATTTGGATAGCTTTTATTCTACCCAAAATGAATGTTACAAACTTGCCTACACTGCAAACATTTAATGAATGTAATTATGCACTTTACATTATCCCAGTACAAATATAAAATCAGGTTACTTTTAAATTCAGAAATTAAGCTTCTTGAGAAATTATTTAATATATATATATATATAACTTGTGCAAAGAATTTTGTCATGCAGGGAAAATGTAAGTTACCATTTACACTAACCATAAAAATAAAACAAAAACTGGCGAGTTGAGACCTACATTAAAGGGTTATGAATAGCCTGCATATGAATAAATGTACATCTTTGTAAATATAACTATGATACAAGAGCACATAATAACGTCACGTTCTTTCGCGCTAGTTTGTAGCCTAACTTGCATGTTTATGACACACTTTGTGCCAAAAAAAAACCTTTACAGAAATATGATATAAAGTAGTTACGTTTCTGTAAAGGCATTAAAGCTCTCCACCCGTATCCCTGTAGTTATCTATCCACTGTTTCAATTCGTGTGTCGGTTATATTCGTAAGATGGGTCGAGGCCGTCGTGGTGGAACTCTCTCCACTGCTCGGTCTTCTCTCTGGTGCGCTCGTCTTGCTCTGGACGACAGAAAAAATGGAGGAATGTTAACTTTCACGGTGTGTTTAGTTGATTATATAAGCCTAAAGTATCTATAAGCACGTGAAGGTATCATTGTTACATAGTTGAGTAAAGTTGGCAATAAATTCACAGATTCGAACTTCCCGGGTCAATAACTCCTCAGGTAAACGTTGTAAATACACGTCTTTTTAGATATCGTATTAGATATGATTAGAGAGTTTTAAAATATATTATAAAAAAGATTTGCTAAATCTGTTTTGTTAAACACAAGGTTAAAGTTCATGTTGTTTGCGTTGAATCAGAATGAACGATCTCACGCGACAACTGCTGTCTAATCCAATATGGCCGCCAGGTAAGTAAATAAAAAAATATATATTTTACTCACCATCACTCTCTTCCTCGGCGTAATTCTCAAACTGATTTCTTTGTTCTTCATGATACTCCCTCCTTCTCTTATCTGCGGCCAGTCTCTGTCTCTGTTCAGCTAATGAGACAACAACATCCGAGAGTAAGAAAGAGAGAAGGAAATAAAAACAGAATGCTCAGACATCAAGAAGGTATATGCGCACACATGATCTAATACAGAAACCCATTTCAGCTATTTCATCACATGAGAAAGTAGATCATGAGTTAGTAAATCACAATTGTAGTCATGATTTTGACTTTTTATCCCATCATTTCTACTTAGGAGACCTATGTCAATTTCGACTTTTCATACCCATATGACTTTAGTGTGTCATAATTTCGACTTTATCCCATAATTCTGACTTAGGCTATCTCATATGATTTCCTAAAGCTTGATTTATTTTTTTATGTGATGGAAATGGGCTTCCATAGACAGATCCGTTGGCGTTTTCTATTATTATAACATATTTTAACTACAATTATGCAAATGCTTGTTTGGATTTCATTGACTTGCACAAGAGTATCATCTGATTTAGTGTGGCAGGCAGCACCACTGAGTTATAAAGCACCATAACCACCACGTTCAATTTAATTTAGTTTTATTTTAACTCCAAAAAATATAACATGTTGATTCCACTTGAGATGTTCTCTCACTTTCTAAATACACAGTAATGAATTCCCACAAGTGAGTCAAACCGTTTTTGGTGAGCCCAATAACCATAAACAAACACAGACCAGGTCAAAGCCAAATAAAAGCATGAAAAAGCAGCAGAGCCCCTCCTTCGTTGGCAGGAGCTGAAGACTGAATGCTGGTTTCTCCAGCCTGCCCTGTGGTTCCTGCTCTGTGCTGTGGTTTTCCGTCGTCCTTGCATTCCTCAGCTGGCTCAAAACGCAGCACCTGTGTGGCCAGTGCAAGCCCCTACTAAAAGGGCTCTTTATTACGGTTTTACAATAGCAAGCCTGACTAAAAAGTTCTAGAAGCCACAACAGTGATGTGATTGATGCTCATTTACTCCGCAAGACTTCAGATTGTGACTTTTTATATATACACTACTGTTCAAAGGTTTGCGGTCAGTAATATTTACAATATATACAGTAAAAACGAATATTTCGCAAAAAAAAAAAAAACATTTTCTTTTTCACTATGTTTTAAAATATAATTTATTCCTGTGATCAAAGCTGAATTGTCAGCATCAGGGTTGCTAGATTTTTCAAATAAGCACTAGCCTCACCGTTTATCTCATCCTGAGTTTTCACAGACCTCCTGCCTCGCCGTTTGAAGAAGCTGGAGGCATCTGACTCTGGCATGAAGATCTTCCTCAGTGCACCTTCAGTGAAGAAGATCAATGATGAGGGGGAAGAACTCGTTGGAAAGAGCTATAGAAACATTGTGGGGGTTTTTTGGTCACCTTGAGGATTGGCTGCCTTTGCATCGCTCCTATCTGACACAGCGGCGCTGTCGGTTCCATGAAACACTGTAACAAACGGAAAATGATTGAGGTAAGTCCAACAGATTTTCCACCCTTTCCAGGTACTGTTGAACCTGTGGTTCCCCACATTAGTAAATCAACACTTCCCTTGGTCAACCACAGTCCGGTTACTCACAGGTGATGGCGGACAGAACAACGAGACAGGTGAGAAGAGCAGGTTGCGTCCAGGACATTTTGAAGTTTAGCTGAGCAAGAACAAAGTAAACGCTGCTGATGTTCTCCGGGACGTCTTGCCTGAGATTGGACTTGTGGTCGGGGGAGCTGGGAATGGAATTTGACCAGGAGGGTGAAAGAGGGGTGGAGCTTTGGGAATGTGTTGATTTTGGGGTGAGGGGTTGGCACCGGAAAGGGCCACTGTCCCAGGGATTAAGCTCTGTGGGATCTTGCTTGAAGTGATCAAATGACATGGGAATGATGCAGTGTTTTTTTAGCAAGGCATTTCTGCATTGGAAATGTAATAACACTGCATTGTAAAGGAATATTCCAGATTTGATACAAGTTACGCTTAATCGACAGCATTTGTGGCATAAGGTGGATTACGATGGATAATGTTTTCTAAACACTTAGCGAGTGGGTGTTGATACTTTTTCCAATGCAATGACGTATGCCAATTGTAAAAGGGAACATTGACAAGCTTTAAAGGAGTTGTTCACTTTTAAAAAAAAAACTTTTGCTGATAATTTACTCACCCCCATGTCATCCAAGATGTCCATGTCTTTCTTTCTTCAGTCGAAAAGAAATTAAGGTTTTTGATGAAAACATTCCAGGATTTTTCTCCATATAATGGACTTTACTGGTAACCAAACGGTTCAAGGTCCAAAAGACAGTTTCATTGCAGCTTCAAAGGGCTTTAAAGGATTCCATATGATGAATAAGGGTCTTATCAAGCGAAACGATCGGCCATTTCAAAAAAAAAAAAAAAAAACAAAGTTTAAGTTTTATAAGCTCAAATGGTCGCCTTGCTCTGTTTTGTGATGCGCGTTCGGGACTCTCCTGTTCGAACTCGTTCATCAAAATTAACGAATCTTTTCCAGAGTTAACTCGTTCATTTCGTTCGTTGAATGAACCAAATGACAAGAAAAAAGATTCGTTCATTTTGATGAACGAGTTCGAACAGAAGAGTCACAAACGCGCATCAAAAACAGAGCAAGGCGAGCATTTGAGCTTATAAAACTTAAACTTTGTTATTTATTTTTTAAAATGAGCGATCGTTTCGCTTGATAAGACCCTTAATCATCGTCTGGAATTGTTTAAAGCCCTTTGAACAGTTTGCAGTTTGTACTGAAACTCTCTTTTGGACCCTGAACCGTTTGGTTCCCAATGAAGTCTATTACATGGAGAAAAATGCTGTAATGTTTTCGTCAAAAACCTACATTTCTTTTTGACTGAAGAAAGACAGACATGGATATCTTGGATGACATGGGGGTGAGTAAATTATCAGCAAAAGTTTTTTTTTAAAAGTGAACTACTCCTTTAAGGAGCTGCCCTTAAAAAAATGAAAATAATATTTTTTGCACACAAAACTCTATTAACATTGTAAGTGTTAATATTTAGAGAAAAAAAATCCATATCATGACCCTTTTAACAAAATATTTAACAGAAAAGGTTTGTAAGGGATTTTTCACACTAAAATCATGTTAACGAATATTGTTTGGTTTTGTGGCTGAGGTATTGAAACAATAATCGGCCTCATTCACTTCCATTGAATGCCTGACTATCAGCTGGTTTGTTTTAAAATCCCCCTGTAGTCAATAATTGTATCCCTTAAAACTCATCTTTGATCACCAAAATGACATATTTAAATTGAAAAAAAAAATCTTCATGCCTCAAAATAACTTGAATGTAACTCGACAGCCTTGCCTCATTTAGTATACATGGTTCTATGAATATGCAAATGAGCCCCGCGTCCACTCACTCACAGCAGCTCAGAGATCCACTTGTTGACGATCACACGTTGACCTCATTGGCTACAAGGTAGTTTGCGACGTCAGAAACACCAGCGATTTCAAACCGACCTTTATTATACAAGACCCATATTTCATGTTCTCAGGCACTATCTTTTTATGCTTTCTGATACATAGTCTTCATTGTGCCCAGCTACCTTATTTTACACTTTGTATGTCTTGGGTTTGTATTCACATCCAACCCTAAAAAACAATAATGCCCCTCGTGAAAATATGACCTTTACAACAACATGATTTCAGGACATGTTTCTGGCCCTGACAGTGCCAAAATATGGAGAGTGTTTTGCACCTGAGGGGTGTGATCGACACAAGGGGCTCCTCTCATGCCTCAGGCCCCGGGCGAGAGGAGCGTTTGCGGTTCTGTGTTTACTTAGGGTTTTTTTCTTGCTGGAGTCTAGCCGATGGCAGGACGCAGTGAATGATGAAATTGTAAGGGCCTCTTTCTGTGAGTATGGGGCCCAGAGAAACTGAGGTGTGAGAATATGTAAAGGAAAGACTTATGTGGTTCACTGGATGACAGAGAGAAAAGTTTTGAAGCCGCTGCCAGAATAGATTGCACATGTCTGCTTATTCCTCTGGTCAGTCGTAAACATGTCAGAATTGCTGACTTTTTCTGTCCTTCAAAATTTTTGGCTGGATAAGCTTTAAAGATGTCATAAGTTTATGACAAATGCAAATAACATTTGTTTAGGACTAATGTTACCAACTGACACAGTCATTCACTGTCTGGGAGCGCTAACTGACTAGATTTACCTGATGCTTTTTTTAAAGGGTCATCAGATGCCCATTTTTTCACAAGTTGGTATGATTCTTTAGGGTCTTCATGTAAAGTTTGTAACATGGTTGTGTAAAAACCTCCTCAAAAACAGCTCTGTTCACAGTGACCTGTTTCAGTGCATGTCTCTAAATGATAATGAGCAACTGCTCCCCCCCCTCTCTCTTCCATGGGGCGTGTCGACACAAGACACATAAAGTATACAAATGGATGGGGCGGAGATATGCTAATAAGGGACAGTCTGTCAGTGGTCGTGACCGGAGCATGAGCAATATGACATTATATTGCTCAGAAAATCCAAACGGCTTGATTGAAAGGAGTGAATAAATTTTTTAACACTATATAATTTTTTAAATATAAAAAATTCACTATAGTGAATTTTGCATCCGATAATCCCTTTAAAGCCGTTTCAAAAAGGATTGAAACATCATCAAACAATCAATCAACCTATCTATCTATCTATCTATCTATCTATCTATCTATCTATCTATCTATCTATCTATCTATCTATCTATCTATCTATCTATCTATCTATCCATATTGTTCTGTCGGTCTGTCTAGATCTATATCGTTCTCTGTCTATCTGTTTATCGATCGCTCTGTCTGTCTATCCATCCATCTGTCTATCGATCTATCGATCCATATTGTTCTGTCGGTCTGTCTATATCTATATCGTTCTCTGTCTGTCTAACGTTTGATCTATCCATCCATCCTGTTCTACGCATGTCTGAAACGGCATCTATCTATCTATCTATCTATCTATCTATCTATCTATCTATCTATCTATCTATCTATCTATCTATCTATCTATCTATCTATCTATCTATCTATCTATCTATCTATCTATCTATCTATTTATCTATCTATCTATAATATCTCTCTATCTATCTATCTATCTATCTATCTATCTATCTATCTATCTATCTATCTATCTATCGTTTTAATCAATCCATCATTATATAATTCTATCTTTCTATTGATCTATTGCATTTATTTATTTGATCTAGATTCTTCTAATTCAATATAAATATTTTCCAAGTTATATTATTATCAGTACAATTACAGAAAGTCGAGTCCAAACGTTCTTTTTTTTATGAACTCCACTTTTTATAAATGTAAATTGTAAGAAGAATATAAAATTTGAAAACTGCACAATTAGTAGTCTCAGGGTGGTCTTAACCTTTTTAAAATCAAAATGTGTGCATTTCTGCTGATGGTGGCAAAATTTTACAAGCCACAAACTCAAAGGAAAATCACTAACAGTTTGTTGACTGATTGATCATCATCTTTTTGATCAGCGTATCGTAACAGAACGTTTGCTGCAGAGATAACATAGTCAAACACTACTATGTACTCTGTCTTCTCTGATTAAAGGAGGGGTCCACAGAACAGCCTTTGATTGGCCCATTACAATTTGTGTCCACCACCCAGTGAAGTGATTTGCATTGCTGATCACACTCCTCAGGTATCAGCCAGTCTGGGGTTTTTTTCAGTCATTGGAGATGCCTCGCTTCACGGTCCACGTTCGGGACGAGTGGCTCACAGTTCCATGCAAAGATCCCACCTGCAGCATCAAATGGTTGGGTTTCGAAACTCTCAAGCGCTACATCAAGAACAAACCCGACAATGGAGGAATCCAGCACATCAAAGATGTGCGTTTTGTCGTCAGAAGATGTCAGGGATTGGGGTTGCTGGACAATGACGATTCCATAGAAGACGTGCTCGAGGACAACGACTTTGTTGAACTTGGTAATGTTACAAATATGGCTTATTTGTGTTTGTCGAAAGTTTGAACTTCAAACATTACGTTCTTGACTGACTTTTTTTGAGGCTGTTTACCACTAATACTGAATCCTGTTTTGCAAGATGAGTCAATAACATGTTCTTTTACTGTTATCTCCAGCCATTGAAGGAGACACCATGCCACAAGATTTCATTCCAAGTCAGCCTGACGGGACGTCACACTTGTATCTTTATATTGTCATTCAATTACAAATTTGAATCAAATAAATGATATGATACGCTAATCACCTAATCAAATGAATCACAATTAATCATATACACCAATGTTTACTGAGAAAACAACATTCAAAAGACATTAAATGCATATTTTAAGTTTTGCTTAAATCTTAAATTGCCGTAAAGGGAAGAGTTTTATGTCATATATTTTAGGACATTTTAAATGGATTCTTAACTTTGATCAGTTTTATAGCATTTTTTTAAAGTAACAGCACTAAAAGAATGCATTCAATTGACAATGCTTGTTGTTATAACTTCTGTAATGTTTCACCTGGTCCACATTTGGAATTCATTTACTTTTGCACAAAATACAGACTTGCATGTAAATGATTGTCTTTCGGGAAAATCTCTCGAAAGCTACTCGGTAAACTTGAACAACTCTAAAATTGTCCTTAATATGGATGTTGAAAACAGAATAAGACCATACAGAGAACCAGAGCAAGTAAGTATGAAATATCAGTACAACAAATCCAGCACTATCACCATCATCAGTTATTACTATTAATGACGGCTGTCCGTTTTCAGTACATTTCTCTGGATGGGAACAGCCTGACCTCAACTGATCTGGTGAATTTAGGCAAAGGCCGATATAAGATTAAGGTGAGTGGGATTTCCTGGATGTCTACAATTGTTGTTTGTAATTTAAGAATGAACATTTGCAAACAATATTTCTCAATGGAAAATGCATTGCAACTTTTATCTGACCCTAGCTGTCCCCAGAGGCCGAGCAAAAAGTTGTGCAATCGAGAGAGCTCCTGGACACCATTGTGAAAGAAAACAAAGGTGAGAATTACATCTGATCTATAGGAAATATGTACAGGACTAATTTTTATTTAGGTGTTTTTGCATTTTGGGTTCCCTGAAGAACCATTCTGTGAATATGTATTAAAAGAACCAGTTTAATAGCAGTTTATTTAATGCAGTGGAAACATTCTCTATATGAAGTTCAGATGCAAAAGCCTCTAAATGCATTTGAAATTTTCTTCAAGAATGTTAATTTTTATCAAGCTTGCATATTTAAGTTTAGTAATTTCACTTAAATGGCAATTCATAGGTAATCATCATTGCCATTTAAGTGAAATTACAGAATTTAAATATACAAGCTTGATAAAAATGATTATTCTAGAAGAGAATTTCAAATGTCACTTAGAGGCTTTTGCATCTGAACTCTTCATATGGAATCAACTTGTATTTTTAAGAACAACATTTTTAGAAATACATTGAATCCTGAGCGATGTCTAGAGACCACATTCAGAATATCATAGATCCTTTTGATGGTTATTTTGAGTTGGACTAGTACACGTTATTTTGAAAAATGTTGTAAAAGTACTACAGTAAAAACATGTTAATCGTTTAAAAAAAAGGTAGTTTGACATATATTGTGAAAACCTGTAAATGGCTTAATATCGCATTATATGTAATTTTACTGTAAAATATTATCTAATGTATTGTTCTATTAAAAGTAAAATCTATGAATTACCATACTTATAAAAAATGTAAAAAGCCATTCCCAGAATTCTCTGCGTTACAGAGTATATACAAGTATTAACTATGTTTTATGAACGGGCCGCTTACGATGAACTCTGTTTCACCATTTGGCTAAAAAGGGAGATTTTGGTAGTTAAAGTAGGTATATTAACATTAAAATACTCAATAAAATATACAATTTTAAGTTGTAAATGGTATTTTCTGCTGGTATTTTCAATAGCACGAATATCCTCATTGATATAAAATAGTGGGGGGTTTATATGTATAGCTCGACTGATGATTCTTAATTTCTTTTTTCCTTTTCTAGTTGTGTATGGCATCACTACAGGGTTTGGGAAATTTGCTCGGACTGTCATCCCAGTCAGCAAGCTCAAGTATTTTTTTTTTTCCTTCTTTTTTTTAAATATAATGTTTGGTAACACTTTATTTTACAGTGTTCTTGTTACACGTTACATGTAGTTTCTGTAGTAATAAATATAAATGATGCATATGCAATTAACCCTAAACCGACCCCTATTCCTAACCCTAACCATATAGTATATTATTACTCGGTACTTTAATGTATTTTAATGTAACAAACTAACGTGTAACCAAATGTTTTCTTACTCTTGAAACCTTTCGTGTTTAACTAAGTTTATTTAAAAAAAGACTAATAGCTAAAGTGAAATATTGAGCAATGAGCAATATATTTTACAGCATGTATTAGTCTGTTAATAAAATAATTAATAAAACAATAGTTCATTGTTTGTTCATGTTAGTTCACTGATGTTAACAGATATAAATTTACATTTTAAAACTATTATTGTTTATTGATATACTGTTGTTATACTGATAACTACAACCCGAATTCCAGAAAAGTTGGGACGTTTTTTAAATTTGAATAAAATGAAAACTATACGACTTTCAAATCACATGAGCAAATATTTTATTCACAATAGAACATATATAATATAACAAATGTTTAAATGGAGAAATTTTACACTTTAGTCCACTAAATGAGCTCATTTCAAATTTGATGCCTGCTACAGGTCTCAAAATAGTTGGGACGGGGACAACAAATGGTTGAAAAAGCAAGAAATTTAGAAAGGATTCAGGTGGGAGAACATCTATAGCAACTAATTAAGTTGATATCAGGTCTGTAACATGATTAAAGGGATGTCTTAGAGAGGTAGAGTCTCTCAGAAGTAAAGATGGGCAGAGGCTCTCCAATCTGTGAAAGAGTGCGTAAAAAGATTGTGGAACACTTTAAAAACAGTGTTCCTCAACATCAAATTGCAAAGGCTTTGCAAATCTCATCATCTACAGTGCACAACATCATCAAAAGATTCAGAGAAACTGGAGAAATCTCTGTGCGTAAGGGACAAAGGCGAAGACCTTTATTGGATGCCCGTGGTCTTCGGGCCCTCAGACTACACTGCATCACTCATCGGCATGATTGTGTGAATGATATTACTAAATAGGCCCAGGAATACTTCCAGAAACCACTGTCGGTAAACACAATCCGCCGTGCCATCTCCAGATGCCAACTAAAGCTCTATCATGCAAAAAGGAAGCCATATGTGAACATGGTCCAGAAGCGCCGTCGTGTCCTTTGGGCCAAGGCTCATTTAAAATGGACTATTTCAAAGTGGAAAAGTATTCTATGGTCAAACGAGTCCAAATTTGACATTTTTGTTGGAAATCACGGACGCCGTGTCCTCCGGACAAAAGAAGAGGGAGACCTTCCATCGTGTTATCAGCGTTCAGTTCAAAAGCCAGCATCTCTGATGGTATGGGGGTGCATAAGTGCATACGGTATGGGCAGCTTGCATGTTTTGGAAGGCACTATGAATGCTGAAAGCTATATAAAGGTTTTAGAGCAACATATGCTCCCCTCCAGACAACGTCTATTTCAGGGAAGGCCTTGTGTATTTCAGCAGGACAATGCAAAACCACATACTGCAGATATTACAACAGCATGGCTTCGTCGTAGAAGAGTCCGGGTTCTGAATTGGCCTTGCCTGCAGTCCAGATCTTTCACCTATAGAGAACATTTGGCGCATCATTAAACGAAAAATGCGTCAAAGGCGACCACGAACACTTCAGCAGCTGGAAACCTATATAAGGCAAGAATGGGACCAAATTCCAACACCAAAACTCCAGACACTCATAAACTCGATGCCCAGACGTCTTCATACTGTTTTGAAAAGAAGAGGAGATATTGCACCATGGTAAACGTGTCCCCGTCCCAACTATTTTGAGACATGTAGCAGGCATCAAATTTGAAATGAGCTCATTTAGTGGATAAAAGTGTACAATTTCTCCGTTTAAACATTTGTTATGTTATCTATGTTCTATTGTGAATAAAATATTGGCTCATGTGATTTGAAAGTCGTATAGTTTTAATTTTATTCAAATTTAAAAAACGTCCCAACTTTTCTGGAATTCGGGTTGTATTATTTATATATTATTATATAGTTAGTTAATGGTATATTAACAAATGAAAGCTTATTGTGAAGTGTTAACAGCATCTCACATATTTCTCTCTTTCAGAGAGCTTCAGGAAAACCTTCTGCGCTCACACTCATCAGGTGACATATTTTAGTTGAAATAAATATAAGTCTGCATATGTTTTTGTATGACAAGTCACACAAATATTCATAGAAATACATTGAAATATGTGTCATGAATTGAAACTTTAATTCTGTCTACCATATGATTATATTATTTTTTATTATAGGTCTGGGAAGTCCTTTAAGTCCTGAAAGAACTCGAATGTTGCTGGCTCTGAGGATCAATGTTTTGGCCAAAGGGTACAGCGGGGTTTCACCGGAGACGTTGCACCGCATGATACAGGCCTTCAATGGTACATAATGGATTCCTCGTTATTTTAGCTGCATGAAGAGAGTATTGTTGGGTATTTTTGTTTCTTTGGCACAGCATATGAAACACGGTGTGCCGTTTCAAAGAATACTTTTATGGTAGTTGCTGTGTCTTTGAAAAAGTTTCTTTGAACTTCTCCCTCAGGAGTTTTTACTCAAACTGATATTTTTACCATTTTCTTTCTTCTCTCATCTCAGCCTCCTGTTTATCCTACGTCCCGGAGAAGGGTACGGTGGGTGCGAGCGGGGATCTCGCCCCTCTTTCTCACCTCGCCCTCGGCCTGATGGGGGAAGGCAAGATGTGGTCACCCAAGAGCGGCTGGGCGGATGCCAAATACGTGAGCATATTTTCTTTAGAGAGGATGTGGTTGCAAATCCTTGTCCTATATGATAATGAAATATAAACATATTTACTTTTCTTTTAGCCTTTAAAGTCACATTTGACCTTTGTATTGCCTGCAGGTATTGGAAGCACATGGTCTGAAGCCCATATCTCTGAAGCCAAAGGAGGTACGGTTAATCCCCCCTTTGTGCAGTCAACATGTTTATCTATGTTGACTTAGAGCTATTTTCTGGGGCAGAAATGTGTGTCCTTTACCTCCCTGGTTTGTGACTTATAACAGTGGAAACCCAACAAAACAAGTCTGGAAAAAAGTTTTTTTGGGGTATTGTTGAGTATTGTTGGGTATTTTTGCTTCTTTGGCACAGCATATGAAACATGGAGTGCCATTCCAAAGAATACTTTTATGAAAACTTTTATAAAAGTTTCTCCCCCAGAAGTTTTTATTAAAGCTGATTTTCCTCTTGGCCTCCTGTTTATGCTACGTCAAGCATGTTTTGATTGATAGCTATGTAGTTACTAACGTGTTCTGAGTGGTTTCTAGGGCATTGCTATGTTTTTCCTATAGAGTGCAACAGTATGGATGAAGTGAAAACCATAGATATATACATAGATTCCTCATTAGTGTCTGTTCTATGGGGTGTTATACGTAAGCTATCCACCATATTGGAACAGTCAAATCAACTCCATTACCATTTAAGAGCAAGTTGACTGCAGATGTGCAATAGACATTAGCAGATGATTTTCATTTACAGCATTTAGTTTATCATTAATGTGATAATTAACATTTTCAATGAAACTTCATTGAGTGATGAACAGTGTCATGTCACCTGTTCCAAGATGGCGGATGCGCCAACTGTCTAGATAGGCTGAATACGTATATCTATAGTAAACACTCAATTAATTTTCTCCATAATGAAATTGATTTTTTTTTTTAATGATAACTTCTAAACATTTAAAGACAGCCAAACTGTGAGCAACAGGGGTGTTAGTCGAGGATATTAGCTTCTATTGAAGCCGTTAGTTAGCCTGGGTTTCCCCATTCTGCCTTGCCACATTCATTCTACCGAACTACACGCAAGTGCTAGATTAATACTCGCACAGGTCAGTTTATTAGACAAATTAAACTTGAGGTAATAGTTATACTATCACACTAAACGGGATTTGAGTGTGTTGAATGTTTTTACTTAGGTTGTTTGTTGGCTGTATAGAGAATAACATACAGATCATAATCTTTCTTTTCATCATGTTGAACTACATAACATTGATTAGTTTTATGTACATTTGCTCACCTGTTTAATAAAGTACACGCAACACTTGTGCCTCTGTCTAGTCAAAGTTAGCCGCGGACGTGGAGCTCTCAGCATCTCGAAAGATGTTGATCTTCGTTCTAGTCCTCTTTTTGTCTCAAAGTCTGCTTGCCATGGTCCATAATGTTTGAACAAAACAACAACATCGTCCTTCTAGGCATAACTGGCATAACCCACTTGTCAACGACAATCGCCATGGTTACTATTGCAGTACAAGGTCAAACCTGGCGGGTAACACGGATATGACGCCATTTACTGGCGACTGCTCACACGTCCCGTTTCCTTGGTTAAAATCGCAATTTGCTCACGATTTACAAATTTGGAGACATGTGGGATATTGTAAGTAATCAACTAAACAAAATATATAACATTGGCCTTGTGGTTTTGGATATTTTACTGCAATAATCCTGCATATTGTACCTTTAAGTGAAAAAATACTTCCAGAACTGATGCTGCTGAAAAAGTGGGCGGGCACTGTTGGACTCTGTAGTATCCTGGGAAGTTAGGGCAATTGTTATGTGGCTTCTAGAGTATTCTGTGTGGTTGCTCAGCAGTTCCTAGGATGTTTGGAAGTGTTTTCTAGGTGCTAGTTTTATTCTGTGATAAGAGTGTGTGTTATGTTTATCTCTGTCCACAGGGGCTGGCTCTGATCAATGGTACACAAATGATCACTTCTTTGGGAGCAGAGGCCGTGGAGAGAGCTGAGGCCATCGCCCGGCAGGCTGACATCATCGCTGCCCTGACCCTGGAAGTCCTCAAGGGGACCACCAAAGCCTTTGATAGTGGTGAGGACAAAAACAAGGGTTGTGTAAGCAGACATATTTACACACTGATTCTCAGTTCTGCAGACAGAAACTGTAAAAACTGCAAGACTTCTCAGACAAAACATTACAAGGGAGACAAAACATATTTGTGTATCACTGCCTTACATATAAAGTCACGCTCCTGACTTTTTCTGAATAATGCAATGCAAACCAATTTCCTTACAGATATTCATGAACTGCGACCTCATCCGGGACAGAAGGAAGTGGCCCTGCGCTTCCGTTCTCTGTTGGACTCTGATCACCACCCGTCTGAAATTGCAGGTGAATGCCGCCGTTTAATATGCTCCATTAAAGGAGTAGTTCACTTTTAAAAAAAAACTTTTGCTGATAATTTACTGATAATTGTCATCCAAGATGTCCATGTCTTTCTTTCTTCAGTCGAAAAGAAATTAAGGTTTTTGATGAAAACATTCCAGGATTTTTCTCCATATAATGGACTTCAATGGGTACCAAACGGTTCAAGGTCCACATGACAGTTTTATTGCAGCTTCAAAGGGCTTTAAACGACACCAGACGATGAATAAGGGTCTTATCAAGCGAAACGATCGCTCATTTAATAAATAAATGAAAAGGCTAAAGTTTTATAAGCACAATTGCTCGCCTTGCTCTGTTCTGTGATGCGCGTTCGTGACTCTCCTGTCCGAACTTGTTCATCAAAATGAGCAAATCTTTTTTTGAGTCATTTTTTAAATGACCGATCGTTTCGCTAGATAAGACCCTTATTCATAATCTGGTGTCATTTAAAACCCTTTGAAGCTGCACTGAAACTCTCATTTGGACCTTAAACCCCTTTGGTACCCAATGAAGTGCATTATATGGAGAAAATCCTGGAATGTTTTCATCAAAAACCTTAATTTCTTTTTGACTGAAGAAAGAAAGACATGGACATCTTGGATGACATGGGGGTGAGTAAATTATCAGTGAGTTTTTTTTTTAAAAGTGAACTACTCCTTTAAAGCTCATATTTAGCCGTTTGGTGGTAACCTGTCTTGCTTTTTTCTAATTGCAGAGAGCCATCGGTTTTGCGACAGAGTTCAAGATGCCTACACTATGCGCTGTTGTCCACAGGTAACATACAGAGCCCATTCTGGGTCATCCTAAATACATTTTAAGGGGTATATTTTTAACTGAAACTATTAAAATATTTTGAAATAAAGCTAAAATGACATAAATATTAGATGAAAAACTTTAAAGGACAATTAGAAATAGCAACTAATTCAATAATTCAAACAAGTTTAAGTTGAACCACTAAAATGATGAACTGGATATAAATAAAAATTAAAACTGAAAAACAAAATACTCCTAAATAATAATAAAAAAGACAAACTCACATAAAAAAATATAAAATGGACATATAAAAGACTTTGACTTGACTCGATTTTTACATTTTGAGGCCGCCAAAGCGATATTGTCGTGTAAATGAACGGCCAAAACGCATTTTCAGATTTTAGTTAACACTATCGTGTTAACATCCCATAAAATAACACTGGTTGACACACTTGAACAATATTATTCAGTTTTCCTTACATTTTGCAGGTCCATGGAATCGTCAATGACACAATTGAGTTTGTCAAGAAAATCATCAATACAGAAATCAACAGTGCCACAGATAATCCTGTATCCTTTTTTAATCTGTATATTTAAATTAGAAACCTGAATACTGGCACTCTTTCAGTGTTGCTCATGTCTCTTCAAATCGCCAACTGAAAATGTTTTCCGGACACTTCTTCTGTTAAGGTTTGTCTGGTTAGCTGGTCAGTGCCATAACTACACCAGCCTCTTCCTCAGATATGTACATTTGCCCTTGACTGTGAGTTAGATGGTGTTTGCAGAGAGAGGTGAGACAATATCCGGAGGAAACTTCCATGGAGAATATCCAGCAAAGGTATTTCATCTCACCACAGTAGCGTTTATTTAACAAAGTGTTTCGACGACGTTTCCGCACATTCTCTTCTTTCATTCTTAGGCTCTTGACTATTTGGCGATCGGAGTGCACGAGTTGGCCTCCATCAGCGAGAGGCGCATTGAACGTCTCTGCAATCCCTCTCTCAGCGAGCTGCCGGCCTTCCTGGTCAATGAGGGAGGCCTAAACTCTGGGTTTATGATCGCGCACTGCACTGCCGCGTCTCTCGGTTAGCATCACAAAGTTCAGAAGACTACGGCTGTGTCCGAAATCTCCACTCAAACCACTACCCCCCTATGTAGGGGGTAGGGAGTAGAGCACTATATAGTGAACTCACCAGCATAATAAAAACACCACTTTCGGACACTACTCTATCGTCTCTTGGCGCCGTTGATAGAGTGCCGAAGTGATGACGTCGCTTTGTAGGACAACTCGGAAACTAGCGGCGCATGGGTTCCCTCGATTGAAAAGCAATGCATTTTCCCCATAGACTTTTGGAAAATCGCAAAAAATAAGATCTTGTGACCCTTACACGTTTTGTCTATCAAGATAATCTTTACAAGTTAATCCAAAATTTATACATTTTGAAGCCTATATAAAGTTTTTAAAAAACACAAGCAGACACAATAAAGTTTAAAAAACCACAAGCAGGTTATAACTGTGTGTTCTATGTCATAGATCAAAACGTGAAAATATTTAGAGGCTTTGTTCACCACAGACCTTATTTCAGGCGATTTAGCAAAAACCCATTCAAAAATCCCATTGACTTTAGAGCGAGGGAACCGGTAGTGCTAAAATGCTGACTCACTTCCGCGTTTTGGCCTACTGAGTGACGTCGTAACTTCGGCACTCTATTTCGCCATTGCTGTCGCGCTATTTAAACACGTGCGTGCTTACTAACAATTTATACATGTCTGACAGGATTGTAAAACTACTACATATCATAAGTTAAACGAGACAGAACATAACTTATATTTGTATGACAAATTTGTATTGTCGCGATGCTCCTCGTCGTTCGTCCGCCATTTTTACGATCAGCGCAATGCATGATGGTATGTAGGGCTTGGGTTAGTGACCATCGGTTGTAGACTACTTTTCAAAATGCATTCTGGGATACATTTGGTGGACTATAGGGTATAATAATCATCACTATACAAATGGCGAGCTCACTATATAGTCCACTATATAGTGAGGAGTGGGAGATTTCAGACACAGCCTATAACTCTACTTAACCAAACAGTGGAAAGTTTAATTTTGACTGCTGTACAACATAAGTCATGTTGACCATTAACTAAAACAGATACATTTCCTTCTGCAGTTTCAGAGAACAAAGTGCTTTGCCACCCCTCCTCTATCGACTCCCTATCCACCAGCGCGGCCACGGAGGACCATGTGTCCATGGGTGGCTGGGCCGCACGCAAAGCCCTCAGAGTGGTCGAGCACGTCGAGCAAGGTCCAAAACCGGATATTAACCTCCCTTATACCCACTGACATCATCCACTAATCAATTTAGATAAAATTGTTACTATAATAGCGCCCCCTACTGGAGCACGAAAGCACAACAGCACAAATTGTAATAATACTTACACAATCTCATTGCAGTTCATACATTGCAGATTAAAATATTTTTGAAATAAAATATCCCCCCCCTCCCAAAAAATTTTTTTTTTTTTTATTTAATACATTTACTTTTTTATATTATGTGAGCACGTTTCATAAAAAAGCAAAACACTTTTTTGAGCTCAACAAAACGCTGGGAAAATCATATTGGATCGGATTCAGAACGATGTCAATGACGTCAGTGGCTGGGAAACAGTTACGTATAATTTATGTACAAAGCAGCTTTCTGTTGTTCACTGTGGTAAATTTGCACCCTCTTGAATCTTTTATCCATGAACGCAAAAGCTCCAAATTGTATTACTTTTTGTTTACTGACCACTGATCTGCAAATACAGAGCAGAATATGTATTTTTGGGAGAAATTAAACCTGGTTATGTCCGTTTTATGTTTCCTTACAGTGCTAGCCATTGAGTTGTTAGCTGCCTGTCAGGGTATTGAGTTTCTACGCCCCCTTCGTACAACGACCCCATTGGAGAAAGTGTACGACCTTGTGCGTTCTACAGTAAAGTAGGTTGAACAATGATACACTAACCCCAAAACCTCCAAAATATTGAACATTCAGGTTAATAATTGGCAAACCTTCTTTCATCGGTCTCTTCCTACTTATGTTTGTCTTTTTTTCTCTCTTGTTCTCAGGCCTTGGTTTAAAGACAGGTTCATGGCTCCAGACATTGAAGCTGTACATCGGCTTCTCGTGGACCAGAAGGTAAGACTCACTGCTTCTTATTCTTGGCATCACTATCACTATTGAAACCTCAAAAGTTATTACCCTTTGGTGTGTAATGCTACAGACATGAATGGTAGCTCACAAGTTGAGTCTGGCTGGGAAGAGTTATGCTATTTTTTTTCTAAACAATCAGACTTACAATTACAATTACTGAAGAAATCCAGACCAAAACATCATATAGACATTAAAAACACAAAACATCAGAGAAAACCCTAACTAACCTTTAGCGACACCCACAAATTTCTAGCAATGTAATGACGACTTTTGCATGATAACATTCTCACGCCATGTTGTTTCTTGCCTGTTGCATTCAGGTGTGGGACATTGCTGGGCCATACATTGAGAAATATTGTATGGAATACATCCCAGAATCCCGCCCCTCTTCCCCCACAGCCTTTGCTCTGGACCCGCCCCCATCACCACGGAAACGGGTCAGGCTGGAGTGACAGGGATGGCATCCTGCTGTCTCGCATTACCAAGCATTTAAAATGTGTCCATATTTCAGCATGTGAGTTCATTATAAGATGTGAAATGTTCTGGTTCAGCTGTATCTTGCCATCTGTTGGTCCTTATGCAGTTCTTCAGTTTCTGAGTGTGTTGGTGAATAAATGTCTTGTGATATGAGTATTTGTTTTCTTTTGTTTTTCTTCAACTTTCCAGAAGGCAGCACACATTGACAGCAGGATGGGTCTCTGTGCCAGGTTTTCATTCGGAAACAATAGACGTATTGAAATGTCTATTAAATGATTTCATTGGTCTTAAAGGAAGTGTCTTTGACCTCATGACACAGAGGTATTTTGACAGATGGAGGGATCTTGGTCTTTGTTCTGTGGCTCATCGCCATGTGAAATATATCTAGACTTTTCAATTCTCAGACACTGCTTTTAGTGTATTATAGCGAATTCCCTTTGTAATTTGTAATGTTCATTTTATTAGTCATTGTGTTCTCAATAGGAAACAGGTGACATGAGTGTTGCTAGCAAGTTTATTCACTACAAAAATTGTTTCTTGCTTCGTATTTTTGCTTTGTTTTTCATTAAAAATATCCAAAAATTCTTAAATACATTTACTTGAGAAGTAATATGACTTAATATTTTTTTTAAATCATCAGAATCAAGTGAGTTTATGCTTGAAATAAGTAAAAAAAAAAAAAAAAAAATCTGTCCATGACTCTTATGTGGTAAGAAAAATTCTTAAAACAGGACTAATTAAATTTTACTAAAAAAAATTATTTGTATTTTTTTTACCGCATAGACAGATATATTTTTCTTGTTTTAACCATAAACTTGCTTGATTTTGATGATTTTTATTAAATGACTGTCGTTTTGCTTCTTGATTTAGGTAAGAATATTTAGATATTTATACTGGAAAACAAGACAAAATACTGAGTAAAGAAATAATTTTTTGCCGTGTTGGTTCATTTTGAGGAAAAATAGGTTATAAATAATGCTTTTGTGTTTTTTTTTTTACACATTTGTCAGTTTTGAGAAGTTTTTAGTAAATAAAATTCTAAATTTCCTTCTGTTCCTCATAGAGCTATCATAAGGTATGACTTATATAAAAGTGCTGTCATGATTCATCGCATATATATATATATATATATATATATATATATATTTTTTATGTTAGATGCGATGAATCACAATTAATCGATTTGACAGCAAAAAGTCTCATGGACCACTTATATACTACTTTACCATCGAAATGAGTAGTTGTGTATTAGATAATAGACAGATTGAAGCTTATTATTCGTGTTTATGGGATGTAGGGATGTCAGAGGCAGCTGCTGCTGTGTGTGTGCGATATTCAATGTCCATTACAATACCGGCCAGCCTCCCTCTCGCTCTCTCTTTTCCTCTGAAAGGTGATTCAACTAGATAAACTGCAACAGAGCAACATCTTACTGCAATAACATCTCTCCCTATATTTTCATTTTTGTCTGAGAACATTTTCATGAAAAGGCAAAAGGGAATTGACTGAGAGGATTTTTTACCTAAAGGTAACGTTTTCTCTTGGTTTGAATGCAAAATTGTGTAAATAGTGTAGTTACAGCCTGGAAACAGTTATTGTTAATGTCTTTGAACACATATATACTGTATGTATATACTGGAAAAAATATAATACTTTATGACTGGTGAGATGTGAGATATGGTAAGATAATTATATTTATGGTAATGCAGCAGCATTACCATATTGTGTGCGTGTATATTAATTATGTATATGAGGTTATATTCAAATATTAATTATATATAATATATAACACATAATATCAAAATATTTTCTCTTTTTTTAAATGCAAAATTGTGTAAACTTTATATTTACACCCAGGAAACCGTTATTGTTAATGTATTTGAGCACACATATGTATGCATGTTAAAATCTAAACAAAATTGCATGAAATGAATTGTGAATTTTAAAGTATAAAAATGTACTATCTAAGATATGGTAATATATGGATTCTACTTCAATGGTTTATGTATTTTAAAATGTATAATATTTCAATATTAAAAATAGTCAACAATTATATATGTGTGTATTAATTATGTTTATTTGAGTGTACTTTCTATTTTAATGCATTATATATTTTAAAATATATAGCGTGTTTAAATAATGACTAATTATGTAATGCAAGTTACAGTGTCAAGATTCAGAATCTGTTGCTAAAAACGAATTTGATCTAGATAAATATTGCTTTCCACTATTTAATAATTGATTTAAAATCTGGGCACATACTGTAAGAACAAATATTAGTTGATTGGTAACGGATTTATTTTTTAAAAATACTTTTTTTGTTCAGCCACAGCCCTGATGCTTTACATTGCAACTGTCTGAATTAGTTTCCAGCAAAATGCTGACAGGAGAATGAGACACATTAATGAAACTGCTCCTACATGTGTGTGAACTGTGAAGCGGAGACATGAGTCTAGATGAAGACGCGCGCTGGCTGGAATGGGTCACCAAGCAGTTCGAGAGTATTGCAGGAGACGACAAAGAGATCGACCTGGATGAGTTTAAAACGGCTCTGAAAGTAAAGGAGGTCAGTTTACTGATCATCAAAACCTTTTATTATCCCCCCTGAGATGATAGATGAATATTGGTCCACTAGAGAACAATACTTTTTTTCTCTCTCTCTTATGTTGTTGTAGTCATTTTTTGCGGAGAGGTTTTTCGCCCTGTTTGACTCTGATGGCAGCAGCTCCATCAGTCTGGATGAACTTCTCAAGGCTTTAGATCTTCTGATCCATGGCAATGAGACTGACAAACTACGCTTCCTATTCCAGGTCTACGATGTGGATGGTAAGATGTACACGGACCATTGTCATCATGACCAAAAATGACTGACTGAAATGTTGTGCCAGGAACAACAAAGAATGTTGTAAATCCAGAAATATGCAAAACATGATATGATGCGTTAATTTAATCATTAATTGAATCTAATCATGTAGGCAGTGGTTCCATAGACCCAGATGAGTTACGTACGGTTCTGAAGTCCTGTCTGCGTGAAAGTGCGATCTCACTCCCTGAGGAAAAGCTGGATGACCTGACGCTGGCGCTGTTCGAATCTGCGGATAAAGACAACAGCGGCTCCATCACGTTTGAAGAGCTGAAGGCAGAGCTCGAGAACTTTCCTGAGGTTATGGAGAACCTCACCATCAGGTGGGACATAATTATGCTAATCAGTAGAGTGCTGATATTCAACCGTGACTGTGAAGTTTTTATACAACAGTTCAGTAAGCAAGATAAAGAAGTATTATCGCGTTAATTTAGACACAATATGACCAGTCACTTTAAGTATGTTTCTTTACACAAAGACGAAGTAGTAGTACTGAAGAAGTTAAATATTTAAGTCATATTCCTTAATTATTTTCGAATCAGTTGATTCGTCACTTGTTTAGTTCCTCAATGAATCAACGAATCAATTTAGTGAATGAATCAATGACTCGCTCATAAAGACAACCCATGCTCAAAAGAAAAACAATAGAAGATCTCATAATTTGTAACGGTTTCAAAGGTTAAACTGCTAATGGTTCGTAATAGTATTTTAATCTATTGTTGTTAGCATGAGTTTTTTTGGTTTCAAAATGAATCAGTTGAACAAATCGGTTGAATAAGCGATTCAAAGAGTAAGTCACTGGCATCTATGAGTGCAACAGTCTGGTTCTGGGTGTAAAAATTACTGTACAATAACAATGACTTGGAAACATTTTTGAGAAGATACACTTATCATGAGGTACAAGGTTGTTTATTGATGGTATTGTTGAAGCTGTTAAAAGTTAGAATTCTTGCAATCTGTTAAAGCGCTTAAGTAATGTCGATCAGTCAATCACACATGGGGACCAGAACAGAAAAATGACCAAAAAACATGTTATTCACCATGACTTGTACATTATATTCTTAGCCTTTGGTGTAATGAGGAGTGAGCAGACCAACATTTAAGTGATTATTTGCTGAAATTTCCACTTTTTGTGTTTTTGCCCAGTGCCGCCAACTGGCTGAAACCTCCTAATCTGGAGCAGAAGAAACGTAAGACTCCCCGATACCTGACGCGGGCATACTGGCACAACAACAGCCGCAAACTCTTCTTTCTGTGTCTGTACGCCCTCCTGAACGTGCTCCTCTTCATCGTGGCGATGCAGAAGAATGCGCACGGAGGCCCCTGGTTCATGGTGGCTAGGGGCTGCGGACAGTGTCTCAACCTCAACTGCACGTTTGTTATGGTGAGTTGGGCTTGTGGATTCATCTAATACATCGTTTCCTGAAGTGACAGTAGGTTTTGTCTTGCCCAAAACTACAGGTGCTGATGTTAAGGCGTAGTCTGACGTGGCTACGTGCCACCTGGGTGGTGAGGATCTTACCTTTGGATCAGAACATTTTACTGCATCAGCTCGTGGGTTACGCCATCCTGATCTTCTCCGTTGTGCACACTGCCGCTCACGTCGGGAACTTTGGTAACATGTTAAAAATAATAATTCATTTTTTTTAGGAATATTTTGAAAGTCAGAGGATCTAAACAACAATGGACTCCCCTTGGCATTCATTCTACGGATAAGAAAGTTAACCTAAACTAAACATGAAGTAAATATGAACTTGGTAACCTGTAATACATTTTTTTTATAAACATGATGAAATTTAACCTTCCCTCGCGTTTTGGAACAAATTCTTCCTCGTGGTCAATATGTGATTTTTTTTTTTCCAGAAAACTTTGGGGTTTTTTATTAACTTTTTGTGAGATTTTTTGTTGTTTTATATTTTATTTCCTTTTAAATTTCTAGATTTGATCAATAAATCATAAATCATTAGTATTTTAAGTAGTTACTTTCAACTTAAATTCAAAATAACAGTTCCATGCATAAAAATATCTTAAATTGGGTGTGTTTGCTGACCTCTTGTGGAAAAAAAAATACTACATGATATTTCATGACCTTGCCACTAGATGACTTTATAGCTCTATTTGGAGAAAATAAGTTGTTCCACTGGGCCCTAAAGTCCATTTTTGTTTAGTATGCATTCAGATACACATGTAGACATTATAAATTAATTAATAAAAATAACTTTTAGCATTTTTAGTTTGAATTTTGAGCTTTTTTGGGTTTTTCTATGTGTCCTGGCATTCCATTCATTCCTATGGGGGTCAAATTGACCCGCGAGGGAAGGATTTGTTACTTTTTTTATTTCAACCACTAAACTTCTCGAATAATTCAAATTTCTTTGTGTATTCGTGGTTCAAGTGCAACAAAAAGTCTTGGACCTCTCAGATGACCAAAAAAAAAAAAGATTTCTGGGTCAAAATGACCCGAGGGAAGGATGAGGGTTGAAGGGATAGTTCACTCCACAATCTGTCATCATTTACTTAAGTCACATTGACAAAAGATAATATTTTGAAAGTCAATGGGGTCCTGAAAACATTAACGTTCGTTGTATGAACAAAAAAGTCAATAATGATAGAATTTTCATTTTTGGGATCTACTATCTCTTTAAATTGAGTATATAAAGTATATGACATTGTAACATAACCAGGGCTAATGGTCACAACCTGTTGCACGGCATAAGAATGGCCCTGAACATAACTAAAAAATGCAATATATTCAAAAACAAAATCCCAAATATCTGATGAATTTATAAGTTCTCTCTGTTCATAGTCCGAATGTCTCAGAATGATGGCATGTACCAGCTGTGGGAGTATCTTTTCACCATCCGTCCTGGTATTGGCTGGGTCAATGGCACCGCCTCCATTACGGGTGTTGTTCTGCAGGTTCTCATCTGCTTGATGTCGGTGTGTTCCAGCACATTCGTCAGACGCAGTGGTCATTTTGAGGTGATGCCTTTCATATTGAATTCATGAGAAGTAACACTTTTGTCAATAGAGCTGTGATTCAGCATAATATGTATTGTTTTTGTGTAGGTGTTCTACTGGTCTCATCTTTCCTACATCTGGGTTTGGGCCTTGCTGGTCGTTCACTGTGCAAACTTTTGGAAATGGTTCGTGGTGCCAGGGGTCATGTTCCTAATTGAGAAAATAGTTGGAATGGCAGTGTCCCGTATGGGTGGGCTGTACATAGTTGAAGTCAACTTATTGCCCTCAAAGGTACAGTCTAAGCCAATGTACATATTTTGGTGTATTTTGTTTTCTGGAACATTTAGTTAGCCATCCATGGAACATTTAAGTTAGTCATCCATGAGCTAAGCCTCACCTCCTCTGTTTTTTGTTTGTGTGTTTGAAGGTAACACATTTGGTAATCAAGAGGCCTCCATTCTTTCACTTCAAACCTGGAGATTATGTGTTCATCAACATCCCTGCTATCGCCAAGTATGAATGGCATCCGTTTACTATCAGCAGCGCTCCTGAGCAGCAAGGTAAAGCAAATAGAAATATTAAATTATGTTAGTCTTTCGCTATTGTTATGTATTGCCTTGATTTGTTTATATTTCAGTAGTAGAAAAATCATACTCATGTTTTGTCAATATTTTGAAAAAAAAAAATACATTTACAAAATTAGGGAAAAAATGAATTTAGACAAAAAGCAAATATGTTTTAAACAATAAGATTAGTTGCTTACAATCTTGTTTTAACACAAAGTGTCTTGACTTGAAATTCCCCTATATGTTTTTTCCAATATTACCTTTCAAGTAGTGTGTTGTATACACAGTAACGCGTTACAATATTGCATTACTCAGTTACTGTTTATGGAAAGTAATAAACTTTAATTAGTATAGAGTAAAGTTATTGTTTTGCATTATTACTTTTTCGCACCTGGTCTGGGCTTGCTTGTTTGTCTGCTTTTTAATAGCATATGTAAAAGCCTTTTCACACCAAATGTGAAATGAATAAGCTTTGAGCTAAAAGAAATGTAATTTCACGCCTAAACTTTTCAAACTAAACTTTTGGCCAATCTGGAAATGATAACATTAAAGTGTCTTCTAAAAACTTTTTTTCTTGGAGACTCCAAAACAAAATTAGGAACATTTAAATTCCATAATAGAGGCACTTTAAGTTTATTTTTAGTACCAAAACAAAATAAAAATGTTCTAACAAAATCTAATTTACAATATTTACACAAAAAAGCAATGTTTAACACAATAAGATTTGTTTTCGAACGAATCTTAGAGTTGTTTTCAGACAAACAAATTCTTTCAAACAAAACAAAAACCAAACCAACTATTTTAAATAAACAAACAAAAAAACTGTTTATGACTGTTTGAAGTGATGAAAGGTTCCCTCCTCAATCGCATTTCTTCAAACAGATGTGCTGTGGCTCCATATTCGTTCGATGGGCCAGTGGACAAACCGCCTGTATGAGTATTTTAGACAGCCGGAGAGTCAAACCATCAGCAGCAAGAGGCTCACCGCCAGCCTGAGGAACAGACGGCACCAGAGCAGAGCACAGGTCTCGGATCAGTGTCAGAATCTAAACACATAGCAATAGAAGTTCATTAGGCTGTTTTATTGATGCAATTCTATGAAGGTGGGGTCATTTTGTAATAACATCGTTGACATTAGAACCATCAATAACACTTTACAATCCCATTAATTAACGTAAGTTAACTAACATCAACTACAATAAGCGACAGTTTTTTTTTTTTTTTTTTTAATGTTAGTTAATAAAAATACAATGGTTCATTGTTGGTGTACAACTTTTGATTTTAATAATGTATTAAAATGTAAGTAATGCAAGTTGAAATTAATATTAACAAAAAAGTTTAAGTATTTTACATTGTTAGTTCATGTTAACTAATGCAGTCACATAGTGTAAAGTTTTACCGAACTATCAATTCCAAACAAGTTTAACACAATAGACATTTGCACTTCTTCTCCATGTAGGATGACATTTTCAAGTCTGCAATCTACAACGGGACTGTGGCGTCTAATAAGGATGATGCTGTTGAACTGACCCTGTACCGGTCAAGCGTAACCCGCACAAGCTCTTCCCAGAAGCCCGTCAGTGACCCAGAAGCACAGGTAGACCCGGGAGAAGCCCCTCCGGTCCCCAGAGAAGTGAGTTTCTGTCTGAACAAAGCACAATATATATTCTATTGTATGTGAGATACACAACTGGAAGACTTATTTTCTGTTGTCTTCCAGCTGACAGCAAAATTAAGTGAAAATCACAGATACTGCAACATTAAGGTAAGTAATTTGGGTGCAGTACATTTAAGTACTGAGTAATAATAATTAAGTACATGTACATTCTATATAGTTAGGAATAGGGTGTGGATTAGTTTGTAGTAATTTTGTAACGTGTAACAAGGTCACTGTAAAATAAAGTGTTACCAACCATAATTTGTTACAGTCTCTTTTGCCCTGGAACTAGATCTTTAATCACGCACCACTTCTACAGAAAATGTGATTTAATTTATTTAAAGTGATTGTCTTCTAAGGAAACTGTACACATTTGGCTATGCCTTTTTTTGTGTGTGTTTTAGTGCTATGTGGATGGACCTTTTGGCACCTCGACCCGACAGATCTTTACATCTGAGCATGCGGTGCTTATCGGCGCTGGAATCGGCATCACTCCCTTCGCATCCATTTTGCAGAGCATCATGTGCCGGTAAGACACATGCAACATCTCCATTCACAAAATTACAGTTTTAAAGATTTTTTTCCATAACAATAGCACATGCAAACCCTTTAGAAACTTTTATGTAAAAAAAAATTTCGCCTTTTTTTTTTTAGTTACCGCATGAGAAAGCAGAACTGCCCTAGTTGCAACTACTCCTGGTGTGAAACCATCAAAGACAACGAAATGAAGCTGAGGAAGGTAAAAGGGGCAATCAGACAAATGAAAACTGGAATAGATTTAGGAGAAAATGAACATTAGGGGCAAAAACCATTTAAACCCTTTTTTCTTAAATTGGCCAGGTTTATGTCGCCTTCTAGCAAAATCATGGTTTGCTACATTTTGATCCTAAAGAGCATTTTGATTATGCAAAAAAAAAAAAATGGTAAAGAGCTCTTTCAAACAATATGAATCATTGACATTTTTTGTTTTACACTCTCATTTTCCTGAAAGAGAGTATAATGTTTAAAGGCATATATATATTTTACATTTAGAAAGTTTGGGGAGGAAAAGAGAAATTTACACAAAAAATATTTTTTAACACAATAAGATTTGTTTTTTTAACTAATCTGAGACTTGTTTTCAGACAATCTGTTTTCTGACAATCAAAATTTCAGACGTTTGTCTTACCAAAACAACAAAACAACTGATTTACACGAATCAAAACATTTACACAAAAAAGCTTTGAAAGATTTGTTTTCAACAAATCTGAGACATGTTTTCAGACAATCTTCAAACGGTCTTTCAAAAAAAAAAAACATTTACACAAAAAAGCTTTGAAAAAATTGTTTTCAACAAATCTGAGACATGTTTTCATAGAATCTTCAAACGGTCTTTCAAACAAAACAAAACATTTACACAAAAAAGCTCTGAAAGATTTGTTTCCAACAAATCTGAGGCATGTTTTCAGACAATCTTCAAACGGTCTTTCAAACAAAACAAAACATTTACACACAAAAGCTTTGAAAGATTTGTTTTTAACAAATCTGAGACATGTTTTCAACAAATCTGAGACATGTTTTCAACAAATCTGAGACATGTTTTCAGACAATCTTCAAACCGTCTTTCAAACAAAACAAAACAAAACATTTACACACAAAAGCTTTGAAAGATTTGTTTTTAACAAATCTGAGACATGTTTTCAACAAATCTGAGACATGTTTTCAGACAAACTTCAAACGGTCTTTCAAAAAAAAAAAAAACATTTACAGAAAAAAGATTTGTTTTCAACAAATAAGACATTTGTTTTGAAACCAAAACATTTTAAAACATAATTAAAGCTGTTTGTAACTGTTTGAAATGATTAAAGGTTAACTTTTTTTAAACATTTAGCAATCCACTAGCATATAGATAGATTCAAAGCTAATAGACATAAATCATTTTGATTTGATGAGGTTTTAAATATCTTATTTCGTGCAGGTGGACTTCATTTGGATCAACCGAGATCAGAAATCCTTTGAATGGTTTGTGAGTCTCTTGACCAAACTGGAGATGGACCAGGCAGATGAAGAGCCAGAGGGTAAGAGAGAACAGAAGAGAGAGAGAGAGAGAGAGAGAGAGAGAGATGAGCTTGGCACAGATATGGCCAATCATGTTAGTTTTTATGCTTTCAGGCCGTTTTTTGGAGATGCACATGTACATGACATCAGCCCTCAGTAAGAATGATATGAAGGCCATAGGTCTGCAGATGGCTCTGGATCTGCTAGCCAAGAAAGAAAAAAAAGATTCCATCACGGGGCTCCGCACACGTACCCAGCCAGGCAGGCCAGATTGGGCCAAGGTATGAAAAGCCTATTCTATTCTATTTTATTCTATTCTATTTTATTGTATTCTATTCTATTTGTTCTGTTCTTCTATCTTTGTGTCTCTAAGATGTTTGTGCATTTTCAGGTTTTCCAGAAACTGTCCGAGGAAAAGAAAGGAAGGGTTCATGTGTTTTTCTGCGGTGCTCATGCGCTGGCCAAAGTCATCAAGGCCCAGTGTGAGCATTTTGGCTTCAAGTTCTACAAAGAACATTTTTAAACAATTTACAATAATTTCAGAAATCTTACTTTGGCTAATCGTCTGATAATCTCCTTTTACTAATGTGTCTGATGTTGTACATTCTGTAAAGCTCATGTTGTTTTGTAAGTAACTCTTTTAATCAACTTATGTATGTTTTTATTCATTATGCATCATGTAAATTGTTCGATTTTGTTTTAGCCCCAGTATAAAAAATAGACACTACATGTCATGTAAATTGTCTTAAACGTAGTATGAAGTAATTTACCGTATAATATAAAATAGGAAATATTACTGACACATATAAATAATGAAAAACAGTTACTTGTAAAAGAAAGATGTTCAATATTCAAAATTTTGATGATTTATATGAGTGTGTGTGGGAGGGTTCGTGTGTAAGTATGAAGTTTGAACTATATTCAAAGCATCTACGATCAGCTTTTGATGAATATATTGTATATGGACATGCTTCTCAGTGTTTAAATCGTTAGATATTGTAACCGATACGTACAAACGTATTTCTCATACCTGTAGCAACTTGTTCCCCTTTCTTTTCTTTACAGATTGTGGAAATTCTCGGATTTCCTAAATAAAAGTCAAACCCAGACATGCATTCGCTTGGTTTATAGAGACATCTTGCGATTATGTGCAGCAAGAACACAAGCAGAAGTAAAAAGATTCTGCACAGAATATTAAGCCTATAGACGTTTACTTATTCCCTTTAACCTCAATATTATTCTAAAAATATGTAATATGTAATAATCATTATCGAATAAATACATAGGCTACTCGTAAAATGATTAATAAAAATTCACCTTATGTCACACCTATCTTACATTAGATTGGTGATTGGCTGGCACGGAGGACACTCGCCTCTGATTGGTCAGTGCAGCATTTCAGTACAGTGGAAGCATCTACTATATTGCAGATTTGAGGCGAGAGGAATCTTTCGCATTTATTTTTCTTTGTCTGACTATGTTATGCGTTCATAGACCCTCGCGCAGACGTCGTGCGGTTTTCAGGTGATCGTAAGTATGGTTTCATTCCGTTTTTCAGCTCTGCATGTTGTTCAGCGCCTTCATTCGCATGCAAAATCACATGAGCCCTCGCAGTTGATGCGATTAGATTTTAATCATCGCCTGTCCGTGTATGTGCTGAAGGATTAGTGCTCACTGCTCAGTAACGGGAAAGATTTCTCATTCATAATTTGACCATGCAAGTTGAATCCAGATAGGCTAGTATGTAACTGTACATTAACGTTGCATTTAAATGTCCTGGTAATATGACTGACAAGCTTCACCATAACATTCATCATACCAGTGATTTGTAATATTTGACATTGTCATTTGTTTTGTGTGGTCATACTTAGAATATGACAAAATGGTGGACCCATATTCACCATCTTTACCTTTGTCTGCAGATGCAGCACCTGAATCATAAAGGTTTCCTGATGTGTTCTGGTGTCAGTTCCACTAACACCGCATGGCTGTAATGTGACAATGCGCTGTCTGGTGTCTCGAATCAATCACAAGACTCTGATAGTCATCTGTGCTGTATTTGCCCTCATCACTATACTGCTGTGGAACAAGTGCTCGAGTGACAAAGAACTGACCACACAGATCAGACCTCAGCTGGAGTTTGCGCCCACCCCGGAAAAGGAGGAGGATGAAGAGGAGGACAACGGGCAGGCCCCCGAAGCCCCACCTGGATCCAGAGAAGTCATTTATGAGCAGATCGACTGCCTCATCAATGAAGATGTGATCATAAAAGGCCGTAGGGAAGGGGGCGAGGTGTATCTACCCTTCAGCTGGGTGGAACGGTACTTTGACGTCTATGGACGTCTCGTGCAGTATGATGGGACGGAACGGTTTGAGTTCTCCCACAGTTACTCCCGGGTGTACGCCCAGAGGGAGCCTTACCACCCAGATGGTGTCTTCATGTCTTTTGAAGGCTACAATGTGGAGGTGCGGGATCGGGTGAAATGCATCAGTGGTGTGGAAGGTAGTTTCCTTAAATCAGAGGTAGCCAACCCTGCTTGCGGAGAGCAGAGTTTCGCTTTTACTGGGACACATGCTCCACCAAAATACTGCTGTGCCCCAGTATAATATTAAATGATTGTAAAATATAGGACAATTCCAGATTCGCTAATGAGTATCTTTTCTGAAATTGTTTGAGGTTCAGTTTGATTTTTTCGGACAGTTGCACTAAATCGTTTCACTGGTTTCTCTCATCGAAATAGTAACAGGATACTTTATAAAACAGAAAACAAAAAGAATTCCGGATGACATTCAATCCATTTTAGGAAACAAAATTTGGAAATGCTTTATAGTTTGTCAGCGATCAAGCAGATCTATTGCTCATGCACCTTGTCAACGACTTTATTGGGGATAAAGACAATTTATAGACTTTTTCCATAACAGTATATACTGTATATAAAAATCACAATTTGGGAACACATTTGATAGAGCGCTTGTGCCCCAGTAAAGGCTAGAAATCCTTCTGGTTCCAATCCCAAACTAGCAAGCTGATCAAGCCATTGTGTGGCGCTTTTCCACTACACAGTACCAGCTCGACTTGACTCGACTCAACTCGGCTCGGTTTTCCACTGTGTAAAAGTTGTACCTGTACCTGCTTTCGGGTACTTTTTTTGTACCACCTAAAATGTCACATGAAAACAATGCCGACTGCTGATTGGGCAGAGAGAATCGTCACCATTCTCTGGGTCATCATTACAAGCGCCAGATGGAGTATCCAGAATAACCCCGCTATTTTTAAATAGTTTGGCCAGAGATAGTTACTAAACTTTTATTAGGGCAACTCGGAAGAATACGCCGTGGTCAAACGAGGAGGTGCAGACATTCCTTTGTTTGGTTGCCGAAGAGAGGATCTTGCGAGAGATTAATAGGGCAACGAGGAACGAAAGGCGTGACGACCGGGTACTATTTGTGGCGGTACAGTTTGCAATGGAAAACAGAATGAAAAGTGAGCTGAGTCGAGCCGAGTCGAGTCGAGTCGACCTGGTACTGGTAATGGAAAAGCGCCATAAGGTTACTTGAATATTACAGGCAGGTGTGTTGAAGCAGGGTTGGAGCTGAAGTCTGAAGAAAGGTAGCTCTTCTTGAGCAAGACTTGCATAAATGGTTCCATTATCCTATTCCTGGAATCAACCTTTTGTGTTATGTTCACAGGTGTACCAATATCTACCCAGTGGGGTCCTCAGGGGTACTTCTACCCCATCCAAATAGCCCAGTATGGGCTGAGCCACTACAGCAAGAACCTCACAGAGAAGCCACCTGACGTAAAGATCTATGGCACGTCAGAGGAAAAAGAGGGCTCAAGTCCGTGGGTCGTCCCTAAGGGTTGCACGCTCTCCAAGCTCCAGGATCAAGGTCGCTCTGGGCTTGCGCACCATTTTGTCACAGCGGGTACGAACTCCTTGTGAATTTTCTTACGTTTGAAGTTGTAGTTGTTGTATTGGCTGTTAATTATCATAGATGGATGATTACTTTGTGGTATTTCCATAGAGAACTCCGATGGTGTGTCTTTGGTCTTGGACAACGCGAAAGATTTCGTCCTGACCTTTGATGTGAAGTTTATCTCCAACGGTAGTGTCTCTGTTGTTCTGGAGACCACAGAAAAGGGACCTCCTTACATTATCCATTACATAACTAGCCCACTCCTTCTTTCCTTTAAAGCCCGAGAGGTCACATATGGCATCGGCCCCAGAGCCACCTGGAGCTCCGTCAGTCGTGACTTAGTGACGGATTTGCGTAAAGGTGTTGGTTTGTCCAACACTAAAGTGGTGAAGGCGACCAAAATCATGCCTCGCCGTGTGGTCCAGCTGGTTCTTCGAGGGTCTGGATTCATCAGCAATATCACCGTGTCTTCCACCGCACACATGGCTGCCTTCTTTGCTGCCAGTGATTGGCTTCTTTATAACCAGGATGAGCACGGAGGGTGGCCGATCAAGGTGACCCGTAAGCTCGGAGAGGGCTTCAAGAGCTTAGAGCCCGGATGGTACTCCGCCATGGCCCAAGGCCAAGCCATGTCAACGTTAGTGAGGGCGTACCTGGCAACTCATAACCCTGCATACCTCGGCGCCGCAATCCGAGCGACATCCCCCTTCAAGAGGACTTCAGAACAACGTGGCGTCAAGGCTACATTCATGAACAAGTACGACTGGTATGAGGAATACCCCACAACGCCCAGTTCGTTTGTTCTTAACGGCTTTATCTACTCTCTGATCGGGCTGTACGATGTGGCGGAGACGGCAGGCAACAAGCTTGGTCGAGAAGCGGGCATACTCTTCAGTCAAGGACTGGAGTCACTCAAGTCCATGTTGCCATTGTTTGACACAGGCTCTGGAACGGTTTATGACCTGAGACACTTTACCCTTGGCGTTGCCCCTAATTTAGCACGCTGGGACTACCACACTACTCACATCAACCAGTTGCAACTGCTCACATCAATCGACAGCGCCCCCATTTTCAGGGAATATGTGAAACGCTGGAAGACTTACCTGAAAGGAGGCCGGGCAAAGCACAACTAGACATGCTCAGAGGGCAGTTTTATATAAAGATCTGAACTATTGTTTGAGAATGTAGTAAACTGAGAACAAGCGTTTTTACTTTTCACAGAAAAGGGTGCATATTGTATCCGACTTGATTGCTTTAAAGTGTCATTAATGAAGCGCTTGAGTTGTTGTATGGGCTTTAAGAATATTTATTTCCAAAATATCATAGTATATTTGAATGTAAGAAGCAATGCACAGTTATTTACACACCTTTGAAGGAAGCACAGAAGATTTGCTTTAAAAATGACTTTATCTTAATCAATGCATACAGTTGGTAAATGTGAGTAGTTGCACTAAGGATTGTGTGTTAATTCATCTATGAATAGGTTATGCTGTAAAAAAAAGTTATAGTAAAATACATTAGAAATGTTTTAGAATTATTTGCTCTTTGTATTTTAAAGCACAATCCTATCATAGGTCATCAAGATTTGATACAGTTGCACAGTGCACACTTTGAATTGTTTTTAAGTATGTAATTATTTAAAGCTTAAATAAATGTGCTATTTTAAATCTAAATGTTTCTGTGAGAAATCATTGCTACCAAGAAAGAGGCACATATAGTAACACTGCGGTGTTCTATGAAGTACCTTGGACCCTGTATAAAACCTCAATATGGTAATCATTACTTACTTTAACAAACTGCCATGGTATTTTAATCAGACACATTCACTGTACATAGTAATGCCACAGTAGCTACTATTTTGTCAGGACTTTCAATTTGTTCCTTTATGTAGGCTAACGTTACTTATTTTTTTAGAACCTTATAATACACTTCTTTTTAATATATGAATACATGTAAATTAATATATATTAAATAAATTTAAACCAATTACCATAATAAGTTATAACTTATAATAGCACAATCCGAATTCACCTGTCATGGAGGTGCAATCCTCTCTGCAATCGATTAACCGACCTAAAGTAGCTCAATCCAGTCTTCTCTTGATTAGTATGCCTGCTTACGCCGAGCTACACACAAACCAGTTAGCTAGCATCATTTCATCTATAGCTACCCCAAAACATCCTCTCAATGTCACGTCAATCCGAACGGTTTGTTTGAGATACTCCTAAATGACATGAATGCAATCTGCTCACCGCTTCGGATCGGTCGGTTGTCATTCCAGGTCAGTTAACAACGATCTAGCTCGGCTAACAGGCTAAGAGGCTAACAGCGCCTTCGATGACATTTCACTGACAAACACAACAGAACAGGTATGTAAAATATCGATTCACGGTTTAATCTGTGTTTCAAAACATCTAGAGCGTGTTTGCGGTTATGTGTGTATATGTGGTACTTTTATAATTAAAATATGTTAAAACAAAATAATGTTTATAGCGAATAAACGGTGGCTAACACTGTAAGTTAGCTTCTGTTCAGTTTCCATATTTGGGCGGGCACGGCAGTGAGTTATTGTTAGTCACACGACAAGAAAACATATTTGATTCCTTTATTTATGCTGTTTATGGGCATATTTTGTTGTGTCTGTTTTGCTGTTGAACAAATGTGAATGAAAATTTCACAGGCATGGTGTGGATTTAAATGGCTTGTTTGTTTACATGGTTCAGCACAGCTGATAGGGCTTTAATTGTCCCCACAACGTACATAAGTAATATGACCGCATCAAAGGTAAAGTTTTTGTGTAATATCATGGCTAAAAACCCATAAGGTTTTCCTTTTGCTGATATGTCATGTAAAAGATGGTAGAGTGATGCTTGATGGGTTTGATTGTTGGGCCCTTTGGAGCCACAACAGATCTGCAAAACAGCTGTACTCAGTAGGTATTGTTTTGCCATTTACTTTGAAATAAAGGGTTTTGTTGGATGATCAGTCAGTTCTGTACAGATATCTGTCTGGAGTTAAGTTGTCATTTATTGTTTCATGTCTCTGTGTGTTGAAATACAGGGGATAAACACTGAACTTGCTCTTGGTCACTCTCCGGTGATTATTATGATTTTTGCAGACCAATAGATTGCTGTGTGTTGATTTAAGCTTTGTATCCGTCCACCAGTCTGCATGGCCGGCGTGCTGCTGAGTTAGTGTCCGGCCCGTGTGCGAGGAAGGCCGCCCGGGCCGTGGAGCACTAGAGAGGAAAAATGGCTTTGCAGAACAGGAACTCTGTGCTGATCCTGTCGGGTCGAGAGCGAGGAGCTCGCATGCTGGGCACCCAGCGGCTCCTGCAGCAGCTGGTGGAAGACCGAACGCGCTGGATGAAATGGCAGAGCCAGGTAGGATATCAACCTTAATGTCTCTAATGGTTCTTTCTGACCTACACTCAGCAGATGTTACTATAAAGACCAGTTCAAGATTTTAGAATCAGAATGAAGACTCAATTTTTGCAGCAGAGAATATTGAAAAAAGCCCCTCCTCCTCAATACAGGCTTTCCTCTGGTAATTCATGATGGTCAAATCATTATATATATATATATATGTTTTTCAATGAGAGTAGTTAATGAAATGAAATTTTAGATCCTTAGGTTCCATTGTGTATACTGGTAGTTGCTTTTTAAAAAGGATGAATATACAAAACATTTAGAAAATTAGGGTTGGTGGCATCCATATCTGATAACAATTTGGTAATCATAGTAATATGCATGTTTCTGTTTTACTGTAGAAATAATGCCTGCATTTTTAGCAAATTTTGCATTTTTATTGTTAGATTGAATATAAATAATATTAATACAATTACCAATTTTAATATTTCTTTGTTATTATTCTAATTTATTATGAATTCTATTATTTTATCATTTTAATAGTCTTTATTCGGCCCTGAAAGTTCACTGAGGGTAATGTGTGTAATATTATCTCATTGATTTCTACAGAAAGTAGAGTTGCCGGATAATCCACGATCAACCTTCCTGCTGGCCTTCAGTCCAGATAGGTAACAAAATTTACAACAAAAAAACACTGGATGTTAAATAAGATGGTCCTCACTGCGGAACATGAAATCCATGGGGAGGAGTCGGATCCAGATCCAACTCCTCCCACCTTACATACACCTAAACCTAAGCAACTCCGCCCCCTGATCCCTAAACCCACCCCTTGGATCGTGATCCGACTCCTCCCCGTGGATCTCATGTTCTGCATTGGGGTGCTTCTGCGTTAAATTACTTGTGATTTGCCTCATTTTCTGATGTTGTGTTTACTTATGTTTTAAGGAACCTTGTGGCCTCAACCCACGTCAACCACAACATCTACATCACAGATGTGAAAACAGGAAAGTGCCTGCACTCTTTGGTGGGCCATCGACGCACACCTTGGTGTGTGACCTTTCACCCCACCATCCCTGGCCTGGTTGCCTCTGGGTGCCTTGATGGAGAAGTCCGCATTTGGGACCTGCATGTGAGAATCAGTCTTTGTTTAATGGTTTACTTGTTCCTAAGATGTGTGGACCTTCCTCTTAAGCAAACATTCTTATCTTGCGTGTTAATTTGTGTTTGATTTTCATACCGTTCAGTAGCAGCTCAAAGCAGTTTTTCTGGTCTGATCCATTTGCAAGTCATCAACATGTATACCTGGCTTAGAAATTGCTGTTTAAATAAACATTGTGGATGTTTTTCCCCATTCCCAGGGTGGTAGCGAGAGCTGGTTCACAGAGAGTAATGTTGCCATCGCTTCTCTAGCGTTCCACCCCACAGCTCAGCTCCTCCTCATCGCCACTAACAACGAACTTCACTTCTGGGACTGGAGCCGACCTGAACCTTTTGCTGTGGTCAAGACCGCCAGCGAGACAGAACGTGTCCGGTGGGGAAGCAATCCTGTTTATGTCATAGTGGTTAACATGAATTGACCATATTTCCTGTTTATTTTCATAATCATTAATGTGTAATGTGTTTTTTTTCTCTCCTTACTAGTTTATGATTTTTCAAAATTGTTCATCCTCAATTTTCTTTTATTTTGGCCAGGTTGGTGAGATTTGATCCTCTAGGTCATAATCTCTTGACAGCTATTGTGAACCCATCCAACCAGCAGGTTAGAAACGACACTTTTGACTGTCAAAATAGCTGTAATGTCCCTTTACAGGTGCATGTCCCTTTACAGAAAGTGATGAATGTAATTTCATAAGTGTTTTTACTGTATTTGTGTAGAATGAAGATGACTCTGAAGGTCCCATGGACAGTATGGAGATGGCTTTGTTCCGCCAACGGTCTCTTTTACGCTCCCCACCTGTACGCCGCACGCCCATCCTGCACAATTTCCTGCACATTTTGTCCTCTCGCTCTTCTGGGGCACAGGCCGGCGATCAGTCCCGTCCCGCCCCAGAGCCCCGCGAGCCTCCCAGCATACCTCGGTTCCAGTACCCGGTGCGGACGGAACCGAGTGACCGTTCGGCCTCACAGGGCTGCACTCAGCATTTGGGTCTGGGCTGCCTTTGCAATCGCTGCGCCGCCACGCGGAACTTATTCACACAGAATCCGGCAGGCCTCCAGCCTATGGATTCGCCTCAAACGCAGACTCAGTCGGGCCTCTCCGCCTTCTCGCCCGCCCCCAGCCAGACCCGCACCTCCACGGATCGACCTTCTGCTTTTAGCAGTGTGTTCAGCGGGACTGCAGGGAACTCTACCCATCGGGGTCTCTTGCCTCTTAGGACTATTGATCCCTTGGGGTCCCAGGTGCCCGGGCCTCTCCCTGGGGCTGATTGGTCTGGTAGTCTGCTGAGCACGGGACATGAACATGGGTTAGGTGCGATTGGGGTGGAAAGCAGTGGCGGAAGGGGTGTGGTGCCCCCTCCTAGGACGAGCTCCTCGTCAATGGATCTCCTCTCCCTCCGCAGGTTCCCCGATGGTTCCTCTTCATCACCCATATACACATCTGCTACGGAAGGGCGGGGGCTAGTCCTACCTGGCATGGATCCCAACCGGGGACGAGCCAATGATGGCACAAGTAGCGGCCATCACCCTTTCTACGACAACACTCAACGCAACAATCCCGCCTCCATACGCAATGTCCTGCAGTGCAACCTGAGCCGTTACTTCATGGAATATGAGCGCATGCAGGAGTTAGAGCGACCTGGTGGCAGCCGAGAGGTGGCAGGTGGACCAGGACCCATGCAGGAGCTGCTCAACAGTAGCATGGACACGGATCGACCCGGGCCTTCGCATAACGGCTCTTCCCACACTGGAAATGGAGACACGGTCGCAGGCCCCTCGCAAAACCACCCCAATCGCTGCCGTTCGTGCCACAACCTCCTCACCTTCAACCATGACACCCAGAGATGGGAACGTTCTGGCCAGACCTCTTCTTCTTCTCAAGACGGACCATCCTGGCCGCTTTCGGTTCCTCCGTTTGAGGACCCGGGTCAGGGTGCGCGAGTGGAATCCCGAGCCCCTGAGATGAGGCCTATGGAGTTGAGCGAGGCCTCATCTGGGCTACAGGAGCAGCAGCCCATGGGTCTGGTGTACAATCAGGAGACAGGACAGTGGGAAAGTGTGTACCGGCAACCAACGGCCAGCGCTTCTTCTGAGGCAGCGCAAGACGCCTTAAACCCAGAGGTGCCTGTTGATAATCCGGACGAGGACTCACTCAGGAGGTGAGGAAGAAAATATATACACATGCAAATTTGGTTATTAAAGCTACACTGTGTAACTCTTTTAGTTTATTCTTTGCTAAAAACACTTAGTTCTTTCAAAAATATATGTGCTCATTAATGTATATTTACTTCGTTCAAGTAATAAAGTATTCTCGTGAGTGTATGATATGCCATTGAAAATACATACGGGTAAGGGGTTCTAATGTCGGTCGCCATGTTGCCCCTCCATCTTGAAAGTACATTAGCCAAAGAGGGACATACCCGTTAATTCAAGTTTACGTTTGAGTTAACACTCATGGACGAGGTCGAACTGGAAGCCATGTTAATCTTGGACTACTTTGGCCACCGTAGGTTAAAGCGAAATCGGAATTGAGAGGAACAGAAACTAATATTCACTGGATGGTCATATTCCTTTTCACCCCTAGATGGGGGTAAAAATCACACAGTGTAGCTTTAAGGTGCGATCACGTTAGTGAAATTTTCTTTTCTGATGGTCAACATGGGGAACTTGCTTGACCAACTTGATTCAATTGGGAAATCTTTTGCTCTTACTTAAAATTCCAGGTTGTGTGTATTCCTATTAAAACAACTGGATTTCGTCTGTAAAACAACGATAAATGTGATCTAACCTTCACAGTGTCTTTGCTGTTACTTATATATTTCTCATCTTTTGCATTAGGAGGTTATTGGAATCGTCGCTGTTTCCATTCTCTCGATATGATATGTCTGGCTCCAGAGATCATCCGATATACCCAGATCCTGCCAGGTACCCGTTTGGAAACAGTTACTCTCCAGTACAAACCCGTATGTACAAAGTCAAGGCTGATTGTTGGGCTGTGATTTCAGAGTTTGACCCCCTCTTTCCCTCTTCCACATCTCCTCAGGCTGTCTCCAGCTGCTTACTATGCTCAAAGGATGATCCAATATCTGTCTCGGAGAGAAAGCATACGCCAGCGTTCACTGCAGAATCGCCTACGGACTCTCTCAAATTCTCAAGCGGAAAGCCAGTCCAACAACCCATCCTCCACGCCACCGGAAGCCAGTGATGGAGACTATGAGGACATCGAGTGAGTCAGATAATACTCACGATTAAACACATATATATTACTTTACATTTATCGTTATGTGAATCCATTTTAATGTTGTATTAAAAAGGAAAGTGGTTAATATTTCTTTTCTCCTGTTGTCACAGAGAGCCTGGAGACAGGACAAGACACAGAATGCCCCGCAATGCTCGAATGTCGGCCCCCTCACTCGGCCGCTTTGTTCCAAGGTCGGTGTCATATACTTCCGTTTAAATGTTTTTGTTTTTTTAAAAAGAAGTCTCTTTTACTCACTGATGTTGCATTTTATTTGAGTAAAAATACAGTGAAATATCATTGCAATTTAAAATAACGTTTTTATTTTAATATATTTTAAAGTGTAATTTTCTGCATTATTACGCCAGTCTTCAGTCACATGATCCTTCAGATATCATTCTAAAATTTGATGATTTGCTGTTCAAGAAACCGTTCTTATCATCAATGTTGAACGCCGTTCTTTACCCTAATACTTTAATAAATAGAAAGTTCATTTATTTAAATAGAAATTATTAGTATTTATTTTTTTAAATATCTTTACTGTCACTTTTGATCAATTGAGGGCATCCTTGCTGAGTGAAAATATACAATTCTTTGAAAAAAATGTAATGTACCAATTTGATATGTTTATGTTAATATATTTGATTCATGTATTTTTGTTTGAAGGAGGTTCCTGTTACCGGAGTACTTGCCTTATGCTGGACTCTTCCATGAAAGGGGTCAGTCAGGCCTGGCCACTCACTCCTCTATCAACAGAGTATTAGCAGGTACAACAGGAAGTTTCTTTTGATTTTGACTTTCTTATTCTGTTTATTTTATGAAGCATTCTGAATCATTTTTAGCCCATAAGGTCAGAAACTCTATACAACTAGTGATATTGAACAAACTAAAGAGAATTAAATAGATCTACCCATAATGCTCTGTTGCAGGAGCATCTATAGGTGACGGCCAGTCAGCTGTGGCCAGTAACATTGCCAACACCACTTATAGGCTGCAGTGGTGGGATTTCACCAAGTTTGACCTTCCGGAGATCAGCAATGGTGCGTTCTTCCAAATTCTACTGGTTTTGAGCTAATACATCAATTTTTGCTTGACATTCTCTGAAGTGGTAGCTAGAAAGTTTTACTTTTAATGTTTGTTTATCTTATTTCATCATATTTGTCTCTTTTTTTTTTTTTTTTAATTTTAGCCACTGTGAATGTGTTGGTTCCTCACTGTAAGATCTACAACGATGCCAGCTGTGATATTTCAGCTGACGGGCAGCTGCTGGCCGTGTTCATTCCCAGCAGCCAGCGGGGTTTTGCAGATGAGGGCATCCTGGCCGTCTACTCCCTTGCTCCCCATAATCTTGGAGAAATGCTCTACACCAAGAGATTCGGTCGGTGTTAAGAAACAGTTCACCAAACAATTTAAATTAACCAATAACTTTTGGGTTTGACCTACAAAAAAATCATCTAGCATTTCGAGATTAAAGTCGAAAAATGTCGAGATTATAGTCGAAATATTCAGAGAGAGACGAGAGTACGAGAATACAGTCTTACGTAGAAGCTCCGTTGTCTCACATTGCCGCACACACTCACAGGCATTCATAATGGCCAATAGCGAGTTTCACACTGTCTGTGTGTGTGTTTTGGTTCATCAAAGGAAATTCAACAGGCACCAATCTACCACGTTACCATCATAGGACGTTATAAAATATACTGCGCCGGAATAGACTTTAGCCTATAGAAAAACCAACACGGAAACACTTTTCAGACTGGATGGAGAAATCCAACTTTATGAATGAATGGGGCATTTATATAGCGCTTTCATATGTCTGCTAGGCCTACACTCAAAGCGCTTTACAATCATATCAGGGAATCTCTCCTCAACCATTAGTGGTTATTAAATCTTAGGAAATCACAGGATCCGGCCAAATGATTGGATACAGAATGATGCACTTAAGATGTATCCAGAACGTATTTACGGTGAAGAGACGGAACGGTTATTGTTGTGTTCTCGACCCAGATAGTGTTGACTAGACGAGCAGTTCGAGCAGTTCACAAAAAATACTACTATTTTGTGTTAATCCATTGCAGTTCGACTTCACAAGTGCATTTCTTTACACAAACGCACTGTCATGAATGCACACACTTCTATGGCTTTTTTATGACTTTAATCCTGAAACAGTTCGACTTGAATCTCGAAATGCGAAGATTTTATGTTGCGGTTCAGGCCTTCCATAGGTTTGGCAGAAACAGTGTGACAATTCTGGCTTAGTTTGAAAATAGTGATTTTTTTGTTTTGTTTTTAAACTTGCATCTCAGGTCCAAATGCAATCTCAGTGAGTCTTTCACCCATGGGCTGCTACGTAATGGTAGGACTGGCCTCCAGACGGATCCTGCTCCATCCCACCACTGACCACATGGTGGCGCAAGTGTTCCGTCTGCAGCAGCCACACGGAGGAGAGACCTCCATTAGAGTAAGAGCCTGAAAATACCACTTATTATTCAATAAATACAAACCTGGACAGGAAATGATAAAAGAAACTCTATTATTAGGTTTAAACTGCTATTTATGGTGAGTTTTTATTCATAGACCCAACAACGCCATAAAGATCGATTAAGATCTGCCTTCCGTGTTTTTTTTTTATGGTCCGTTTTCTCTTGGCATCCTGCAGATGATGTTTAATGTGGTGTACCCCATGGCTCCAGACCAAAGGAGACACGTCAGTATTAACTCAGCCCGGTGGCTTCCAGAGCCAGGCATGGGATTGGCTTACGGAACCAATAAGGGCGATCTGGTTATCTGCAGGCCAGTGTAAGTAAACACCCAGCTAAAACAACCATCACATCACCCAGTACACCATCTGCTCCACATGCATATCTTTAGTCCTTAGCAAATTTGAATGTCCTTATCAAATCGTAAAATTCATTTACCAAATGTTTTGATCCATTATTATAAAGACTAAGTGTTCTGCTTATGGCAACAATAAATCTAAAACCTATTGAGATGCCTTGCTGGGTACTGTCTTCAAGTTTTACATGAGTTAGCATGTTGTTAAGCTAATAGTGTCAAATTCTAATAGGTAATTTTAAAAATTGAGTCTACAATATAACAAAATGAAATGAATAAATGAATATCACAGTTGCGCTTATGTTATTCTGGACAGAAACGGCACTCGTGTGATATTGCTTAACTATGTCATATAAATATGAGAACTCATACAGGGGCATTTTCTAATGAAATGCAAGATGACCTTTGTATGTCTGGTGTGTGCATTAAATGCCTAAATTATTTGAATAACTAATTAATTAAATTAACATGTTAAGTCAACAGCCCTGTTTAAAATACTTCTTCTGTAGAGAAATGCTAGGTTTTGCAAATGATAGTGATGGTTACCTTTTTGGCTTTAACCAGTACGCCACACCACCATCCATCAAAGAAAAACAAAACAAGTGCCACTGTGAAGCACAGGAGCCATGGAAATTGCAGATAACACCAAACTCAGTTTAACAGTGCAATAAAAGCTGCGTTTTTACAACCAGTAATTTTTATAAACCCGTTCCAGAGCACATGTCAATATTGATTAAAAATGCCAAATACCCAGAGAGTCGATTCATTATAAATGATCTTCATCTTTAACAATTACATAGTCAAGTTCCTGATCCCAGATCAGTGTCAGTTTTCAAATGTGGACTATATGAGGACTTTTAATAAATCAGTGTTACCTGAAGCCGCCTTTCATTAGATTACCTTCTTCATTAGTGGCAGGAAACTCGGGTGTTCAAATGGAAAAAAGCCATTATTGTTTTTTAACAAGGTTACAGGCCACATTACCCCTGTGCCCCATGACTTTTGCAGCTCATCGCTTTCAAGGAATTCTCCCCCAAACTGATGGGTTTATAATCCGATCACGGCCCACGCGGACAGATGGAGTATGTCACAATAATTCCATTGGTGCTTTGCCGTTCGCTTGTTAAATTTTGTAATTTGGTCAAATCTTGTGTATATTACTGGTTTTAAAAGCATAATGCGAGATCTGCAGGAATACTTGTTTCTGATTGGCCGTTCTACCTTCAACAACCAATACCCTATGTAGTAGTAGTGTGTATCTTGTATCACTCACATGATAAAATATATTTAATGTCCGTTTATTCACTTAAAAATTTGGTGATTAGCTTAGCTGTGATCAGCCAGTCATGATCACAAAATGAATCCCTTAGGGGTAGTCTCGTGTAACCAGACCTTCAGACGGATAGCAGAACGTCTGGAATCCAAAGCTGCTTATATTGGCCAAGGACCACCCAGAGGCCATCTGACTTGCATGTAAAGCAACCAATCATAGTTTGTTTTTGCTCATCGTCGTGTTTAGGGTCGTTAGTCTTATGTAGCCAGACCTTCAGAGTGATGGCAGAAGGTCTGGACTTTATCGTGACTTTTGTCCAAGGACTGCCCAAGAGGACATCTGACCGACATGTAAAGCAACCAATCACAGTTAGTGTTGTTACACGTCGCGTTTAGGGCTGTGGAAATATAAAGTCCCTTACTTTAACAGAACGGCGTGCATCTAATAAATTCAAGAACATTGTGCAAATTTATAGTGTTTAGTTGATCATAAGTGCTTAATCACAGTTGTAAACACGACAGATTTCTTCTTCTTTGAGGCGATTTTTGCGTCACGATCGCTTTGTTTCCAGTCTGACCATTAAAAATGTGAGACACGTCTGCCGGAAATCCTGTAGAATTCAACCAATCTAGTGTGACGTCTGAGGCTGAGGAGAATACCTTCAAGGTGATAGATAACCTGAAGTGAAGCATGCATGTGTAAACAAGATAACGAAAGTCAAAAATATCTGTTTTGTTGTCAGTGATTTCCGCAGTGATGGAGACAGTCCGTCGGATCTGAACTCGGATTCTTTGTTTACTGTCAACAGCAGCAGCCGAACCCGTGGAGTGGAGCGCCCAGGGTCAGAAACGAACTGAATCTGAATTAATAACTCATAGCTTGTTGTATCATAATCCAGTGATTATTCATGAATCCTGAAAATGATCATTTGTTGTATATTTCTTACAGGACGAGCAGGTCCGGCTGGCGATTTGACCGGGACATGGGCCTCATGAACGCTATTGGCCTGCAGCCGCGTCAGGCCGCGCCTTCTGTGACCTCACAGGGCACACAGACACCAGTGGTGCGACTGCAGAATGCCGAGACCCAGACGGAGAGAGAACATCCTCCAGCTAGTACCTTCCAGAACGCATACACATCCAGACACAGTAAGACATTTGCATGAATGTAATTTGCACTAAATCCACTTTTTTTTTAACCCACTAATCCAGGAATGAATATACTGTGAAAAAATATGGGGTTATGATATTACATTTTATATAATTTTAGGGGTGTCCGTTAAACACGTTATTAACGGCGTTAACGCAAACCCATTTTAACGGCGTTAATTTTTTTATTTTGCGATTAGCGGTCTTTTTGGCCTAGCAAACTTTGTAGTTTTCATTCACTTGCTTTTGCAAAAGGACGCGACATGTGCGGCGCTGCGCTATGAAACCCATTCATTTCAATGGCTTGCGCCGCGCGAGGACGTTTTGTTGCTTCGCCGACCAAAGCGAAAGCGGATCTAGCTAGACCGGAAACAAAACAACAGGCACGCCGCACACAAACGTTTGGGCTTGCTAGCCGGATAAATATTAGGCTAACGTTACGTTTTGAGTGGATGACGAGTGCGAGACGCCGAAATGGATGCCAATAAGATTCTGAATGGAAACTTTACTTTACTAAAAAGTTGCCAAAATGGATCCATTGACGAGACGAGACCAAAATGATCTGGGTGTTTTGTTGTTGTGAACTAAGCTATTATCATCGCAGCACATCCAGTCTGAAATACCGCTTGATGATGGCCAAGCGCACACACACACACACACAGCTGATGCGAATTCTCCGCCCCCTCGTCAATATCAGGACCTCGTCAGTATTTCTTTCACCCTTTTATTGATGGACAGTGTTACATTGTGTGAGAGATTATTTGCTCCAAGTGAGATTTTTTTTATTGTGAATTTGAACACAGTATATGATAATGTTGTTGTCAATAAAAAAAAACATTTGCACAAAGCAAGCCGATCCACTTTTCCATGTTGATAAGAGCATTAAAATGAGAAAAAAAAATAATGGGACAAAAAGAAATCAAGAGACATTTAGAATAGATAAAAATATGCTATTAATCGCTAGTTAACTATGACATTAATGCAATTAATTGCGATTAAATATTTTAATCGTTTGACATACATATATTTTTATACATACATAAAAACTAAAATATTCAGTGGTATCTAAAAGGCCACTAGTGGAAGAAAAAAGTATTTGTGTGTGTGTATATATATATATATATATATATATATATATATATATATATATATATGTATATGTCGCTGAGTTGTAATGCCACTAATGACAGACCTGCACTGAGTGTCTTGCTCAAGGCCATAGTGATTGTAACGGATATCTATAACGCTCCAGTTCAATTTTTTTTTGTAACTAAGTTCAGTAATATTGATTATGTCCACTCATAGCTGCCAAATGTGTTCCTCTTGCAGCGGTTCAGGTGGCCAGCACCAGCACTGAGAGACACACACATCCAGAGACGACACGCACACTGTTACACACACCGATTCAGGCTTCGGTTTCAGAGGGGTCGCTGAACCGGACAAACTTGCCCCCCACATATCACGGTAACTGCTTTGTCTCACTCTTTCTCATCCTGTCTCTTCCTCTGTCGTCTGACACAGGTAATTGATCGAACTGACCTCTCTGAGATCTGTGTTGTGTCCTACCGAGGGCTTTACACTGTTATTACTGTTTCAAGTGCTTTATTACCTGCTGTTAGCTGGTCTAATTTCATTTGCACCCTCGTTTTCTCGGTTTAATGGGCCCCAGTGTGCACACATGGAGAGATAATAGATAACTCGCTAAGACCTAATTGTTGCTGGGTTGTTTTTTTTTTTTTACTTTAGTCAACTAAGACCAAGATATGTGTGTGTGTGTGTGTGTGTGTGCTATTGAGATAAAACATAATTAACATAAATAAATTACTCATCTTAATTCTGTTTGCTCTGCCCTCTAATTTCCCATGTTCTGAAATGAATCCAGTTTGGTTAAGTTTGTTTTTGTCGTTATCTGATATGAGCGTCTCACTGTTCTGTCTGGTTGATCTTAGCGGACTCCGCAGCCGAGCCGGGTCCGGGAGAAGACGCGCTGTCTCGCATCCGCCGCCTAATGGCTGAAGGAGGGATGACGGCCGTGGTCCAGCGGGAACGCAGCACTACTATGGCCTCGATGGGTGGCTTCGGAAACAACATCGTGGTCAGCCATCGGATTCACCGTGGCTCGCAGACCTCGGTCAGGACGACTCAGGTGGGAAACCCAACCGCGGAAACGCCTCCTGGACTCACTGTCCCATCTCTTTTTCGCACTGAACCCATGGTAGACTCTCTAGAACTTCCTGGACCATCAGGGTCCAGCGGCGCCCCGCTTCCGCCACAGTTTACAACTCGCTCTGAGGTCGCGAGGGTGTCTCCTATGGTTGAGCCAGACTTGTTTGCCGATCATCAAGCCGATCACCCATCCCCGAGTGGTTTGAATATGTCCAACCGTAGCAACAACAATAACAATGACCATAACAGCTACAGTGAAAGCCGGAGCCGAGATTATCCTGATGACCTGTATGGCAGATAGTCTAGCGTCTGGTTGTCATTGAGACGAACGTCTCAAAACTGGTCTGCTTTTCGTGGTGGAGCCTTTGTTACAATGACGGGACATAATGTTTGGGGGCGGAGCGACTGAACTTCCCGCCTCGGTTCTGACTCCTCTCACTCTGGCCTTATTTGGGAATTAATGAGTGCCAAGTTTTTAATGCCGTCTCCTTAACTGGGAGGCGTCAACCTCACCCTTTCCGACAAAACGATAGATTCTCGCTTTGGGGAAGCATCATTATTGCACTTGCGTGTTGCACTTAAGTTTTAATTTTTCTTCCTTTCAAGGTCGAGTCTGACATTACATCATTCCATGCGAGAAAGGGCATCATACTTGAATCCTTACGGAATTACACGGTCGTAGTTAACCACCCTTTCAAGCTCCGAGAATAATCATCAGCCAATCAAAGTGCCAGTTGTGTCTGGGGGCGTGTCCTTACCGATTCATTTGGATCCAGTGGGGTCCGTTGTCTGAGGAACTGTGACGCAGTAAAGACTTAACTTAACACTAACTCTCAAAAAAACGTTTTTTTGTGTTCAATTTCAGAGATTATGCTTGACGTGATTGTTGTTTTTTTTTGTTCGCGATAATGTGATTTCCAGTCATCCGGTTGATCGGTGTCTAGAACAACATCTGCTTTGTTCTCAGACTGGAACGTCTTGTGTGCGTGAACGTGTCCCACTAAACTTCCAGATGTCGAATTTTATGATGGTTTTAATTAGAATTTATTTATCTGTCGATTGAAAAATACACTTTTGGAAGCATGTTGTCTGTGATTGTCCATTGGATGGAAAAATCAGTTCAAGAACCCTCATGCTGGTTCAGATCTCTCATATCTGCATGTGTGTCCAGTTCCAGAGCTTATAAACGAGGAGACGAGGCTTAGGCGCATTAGCATGTTGGCTGTCCAGCGCACATGCACAATAAGTGAAATTTTGGTACGCTGAGCAGTTTTTATTGGGCTTTTATACATTTGTGACCGCTAACCTATGTGTATGGGTCAGTTTATGCGATTTAAATCCCTGATGCGTTTGTACGAATCCTACTGATGTGATATCTCAGAGTCAGAACCGAAATGTAAGACGTTACAATTCTTGCGCAATTCAGCTACTGATTGTCAATTCTCCTTGAGTCAACCGATTGGCCGAGGGTTTCATTCCACTCTACCAAACGCAACAAACCTCTTATGATGCGCAAATGGCAAGCGATTGCACTTAAGCACCATTTCACCGAGAATAATGTTACAGACGATAAACCAGACGTATCTCTATTTTAGATCTGGCTTACGTGCAATAAACACTTGAATAACCCATAAAAGAGCATTTTTTTGGACACTTAGGACAGTGGCGGCCCTATACGCGCACACTGCAGAGTCACTGAGGACGGACACTGTTTGTATGCGTGGATGTCTGTCTGTGAGTTTCTGCCACTGAACCTACAGAGTTTTATTATACATAAATGTAGCATTGTAAATGTAGAGATGATAAATCAAGAAGAAAAAACTTAAATCCATATTTCGGGATGTTTTTTTTTTTTTTTAAATGACACTTGCCTTGTATGTTCTGTTGTGCTCGTTTAGATTCTTGTGTTCGATTGGTCAACTCTAGCGATGAGTTGTCAGTTGTCACAGGCCTTTCATTAACAAGCATTTATAAAATTCTTATTTGTGCAAAAAGATTTTTTTTTTTTTAGCTGCTTGGCTTGAATTAGCTTTTTTGTATTAAAAAAAAACGGTCCCCGATAGGAAGGGTTTGTTTTTTGAAAGTTTGTGGATGTGATCTCATTGCAAGCAATGGCAGCTGAGGAACCTCTCAGAAACCACATACCCTTTGGTGTTTTTCAATGTGTTCAGTGCCTTGGGGAGTCTTCTCCTTACTGAACCACAAAAGCTGACAATACAGGAATAGCTCCTTCTTCATAAGCCTTTTGAATGTTCAGTGTTTTAGTAATTGGTAGAAAAATTGGTAAAAGTCTGGTTGTGTTGGCTGTCATTTCGATTATTTATTTTACTCTTTGTGTGAATGACAAATGCAATCCTATGATAAGAAAGAAGGACCTTTTTACTTTAAACTCCATTGAGAACATACTAAATATCTTGTACCATCATTTAAGGACACCTCATTTTTGACCATATGCACACCATTATTTTTATGAAGTTGCTTTATGCAGGGTTTGTTTTAGACTTTTAGGACAATTCATGTGTTCGGATGAGAATAGCTGACGGCGACCGAAAGTGTGACATTTTAAAAACTGTAACTGTGTTCTTGTTGGATGTGTGGTTATGTATATGCTTTCACTGCTGGATCGGTACCTTAGCTTAAGTCATGATAGTGGAAAAGACCAGAATTCGACTTCCTACTCTTGCCCAGACAAGAGGGATGTGTTGTTATGACTTAACATAAATGTGTAGTTGGTTCTTTATTTAGTGAAAATGAGGATGAGGTGTTGTAAAAGAATTTCGTGGGACACCAAAGATCCTGTGGTAATGAGGATTATGAGAGTTTTAATAAAATGGGGATATGGAAATTAATTCAGTTGTTTTTGACATTTATTTATTAGATATTATTAACTCATGAAACCTTTTGAGAACCTATCCATATTACTTTCTAAAATATCTATAAAAGTATGATTTGTGCCATATTTTTTTACTGTAATGTAATAAAATAAAATAAAACTCTACGACAGCAATGATAATCGCCGAAAATAGTGGAAATTACAATAAAAATTTCATAGTAAAAGACCAATTACAGTAATGACAATTATGCACATTTCCTCCAAATTCTCTTTACTGTAATTGGTATTAACAATTTCTTATTTTTATAATACTATATTTTATATATTTATTGTTGTTTATTCACAATTTTTAATCACCCTATATGCTCATGCTTAATTGTCTTTATGCAAACTAGTTTCAATGTTTACATGAAACATAAAGCCTGTTCACACACCAAGAACGATAACTATAACAACAATTAGCATCCACGATATTGTTGTAGTTGTGATGTGGGCTCTGCTATTCATTTATATTTAAAACTATTATTATAATCATTCATTATAGTTTTTGTCCTTGGTGTGAATCAATGGGCCTCTGCCCAAATCCCAGCATCCTCATTACAACTTTACTAGGGCTATCAAACGATTAATCGCGATTAATTGCATCCAAAATAAAAGTTTGTGTTTGCATAATATAGTATATCCAGTCAAAAGTTTTAGATCGGTAAGATTTTTTATGTTTTTAAAAGAAGTCTCTTCTATTCACCAAGGCTGAATTTATTTGATAAAAAAACCCAAAAAAACCCCAGTAATATTGTGAAATATTATTACAATTTAAAACAGTGGTTTTCTATGTGAATATTATATAGTGATGTGTAATTTATTCCTGTGATCAAAGCTGAATTTACAGCATCATTACTCCAGTCTTCAGTATCACATGATCCTACAGAAATTATTATATAATATGATGCTCAAGAAACATTTATGATTATTATCCATGTTGTTTTTTACATTTTTATTTCAGGATTCTTTGATGAATAGAAAGTTCAAAAGAACAGAATTGATCTGAAATGGAAAGCTTTTGTAACATTAATCACTACCATTCAAAAGTTTGGGGTCAGTAAGAATTTATTTTTTATTTTGGGCGGAAAGAAATTAGAAAATACTTTTATTCATCAAGGATGAGTTAAATTGATCAAAAGTTACAGTAAAGACATTTATAATGTTAGAAAAGATTATATTTTAAATAAATGCTGATCTTTTGAACTTTCTATTCATCATAGAATTTTGGGGAAAAAATGGTTCATGACTGTTTTCAACATTGAAAATAATAATTATGTTTTTTGAGCATAAAATCAGCATATTAGAATGATTTCTGAAGGATCATGTGACACTGAAAACTGATGTGTAATCAGCAACAGTAATGATGTTGAAAATTCAGCTTTCAAATTACATTTTTAAATATATTAAAATAGAAAACAGTCATTTTAAATTGTCATAATATTTCACAATATTACTGTCATTTTATTTTCATCAAATAAAGCAGCCTTGGTGAGCAGAAGAGACTTCATTTAAAAACATAAAAAATCGTACTGATCTAAAGCTTTTGACCGGTAGTGTATATTATGTAAACACACTTTTATTTTGGATGTGATTAATCGTTTGACAGCCCTAAACTTTACATTTGGAAACATCTGTGATTTGTTGTAGTACGTTTGATATGAAAATGAGAAAAGGTAATAAAATATTCTAATAGAATTATAATTAAAAAAATATGTGACACAGCTGTGGAGCTGCATTACTGGTCAGGTAATTAGATTCCATCTGTTATGCAAGTGCTGCCTTCCTCTTCAGAGGACGGGCACTGTATTAGGCGTACATGCTCCGAAGAGGCAGCACAAAACTAGGAGGAATTCGGCTGTAATACTATCGTTCCACTTTGATCATCATCTTCCCGTAAATTCAGTGTAATATTGATACAGCTCAAAGAGGTTGGATAACTTCCTCCTAGTTATGTGTTCAGAAGGTGAGGATGGGTGTTACTGTTTGAGGAATTAAAAGTCCTCCCAGTTGTTCTCTCGGTCAGACTGAGCAGGAGATCATGGAGGCTGGATCTGACGTTTGGTCAAGGAACTTGGAATGGTTCGCTTTCAACGGTAAGTTTGCTGAAGGGACCATGTTAGAGTTCTAAATTTGTTTTTATATCTTAAATTCTATGTATTAGATTTGTTTTTGGTATATTAACATTTGTAGAGTAGTGTATATACTAGTGTTCAGTTTTGCTCATGTCAAGTTAAATGCCTCTGTGCCACTTGGTTTATGATTATCGGTCGTTTTCTTGTCGCAGGCTCCTCCACGAGTTCCTCCAGCATGCTCAACAGCAGCACGCACAGTCCCTTGCCCGAAGATTCGCACTTGTTGTCGGGAAGATCACGTCGTGCTCTTGGGACTGTAGGGGTGGTCGTCATCATACTTATCACTAGCTGCATCAACCTTCTAACAGTCCTAGGCAACGTCCTGGTTCTGCTTTCAATCAAAGTCAACCGCAATCTCCGAACCATCAACAACTACTTCCTTTTTAGTCTTGCTTGCTCAGACCTTGTCGTCGGTGCGTTCTCCATGAATCTCTACCTTGTTTACGCCGTAAAGGGATACTGGCCTTTGGGGCCACAGATGTGCAACTTGTGGTTGGTTGTGGATTACGTGGTCAGTAACGCCTCGGTGATGAACCTCCTTCTGATTTGCTTTGACCGGTACTTCTGTGTTACCCGGCCTCTGAGTTACCCAACCAAACGTACCGCAAAGTGGGCCGGGATGATGATCGCTGCGGCGTGGTTGCTGTCTTTGCTTCTATGGGCTCCTGCTATCCTACTTTGGCAGTCTGGAAGGGACAAAAGCAAGGTCCCGGAGGGACAATGTTACATCCTGCTACTCGCTAACCCTGCTGTGACCCTGGCAACCACCATCCCAGCATTCTACATTCCTGTTGTAATAATGATGGTTCTGTACTCACGGATATCCCTAGCCAGTCAGAGACGGGTTTGTAAGTTGAAGTCCGAATCTGCAAACTTGCTTAAACCATCCAAGACAAGTGAAGGAACATCTAGCGCAAACCCTGACCTAGTGAATGACATCAAACCAGATGAAACGTGTTCATTTAAACAAGATTCAGACCTCGTGAGAAGCAAACGACTCTGCAGCATGCCTTCCGTAGAGTTCAGCAAAATGGACTACTCCTTGGATTCAAGCCATGATGCCTCTGCGGAAGACCGAGGGCTGGCTGGAGAAACCATGAGACCAAAAAGCTTGACCGGGTGTACGGAAACTAGCGGGACAACGCAACCTCACTGTTTTCCAAACCCTACTACCGTTCAGGTTCAGCGGCAAACGTCTAAGGCCATCTCCAATAATGCCAGACGGAAGGCTCTGAGAGAGAGGAAGGTGACCAAGACAGTCCTTGCCGTTCTTCTAGCCTTCATCGTCACCTGGACGCCCTATAGTGTTATGGTTCTGATTGGTACCTTCTGCCGCTGGTGTGTCCCTGAAATTCTTTGGATGGTGGGCTACTTTCTGTGTTACGTCAACAGCACGGTTAATCCAGTATGCTACGCGCTCTGTAACGCCACCTTCAAAAGAACCTTTAAACGACTGTTGATGTGCAAGTTCAGTAATCTGACGTTAAAATGAGTTGGACTTCATCAAATCTTCAGTGTCTCATCAACGATTCCTGACCAACCAATGAGGAACCTGATTCGCTAAAATCGTCTTCGTGACTGTGAAACAGTTTTACCAGAGCCAAAAGGGAAAATAAATGCGTTGGTTGAGGTTGTGGATGTTTATCGTGCTGATGTCGCAAACATTACTTGTACAACTTTATGAAGTATCTTAAAGTCATTTTTAAGCTGTGTGTGAGTGCATTTTTATTTTTATGAGTGCAATGTTAGTTTACTAGAACCAAAAGTGTAAATAAGTTGAGGTATGCACTGTTTTGCATGTTGCTGATATTGCATGGATTTGTATCGTAAAGTTGTTCGCAAGTGCATTCTTATGTAAATATGTAAATCAATGCAACAAATTAGAGAAGACCCTGATTCTTGTTTTGATGGTGGTTTACTAAAGCGAAAAGTGAAAATAAACATGTTGGTTCAGTTATTTGATATTTATCATGTCACTGAAATTGCATTTGTTTTGTATGGAAGCTTATTTCCTCCAATTGCGAGTTATTAGTCAGAATTAGTTATTAGTGAGTTTATAGTCAGAATCGCAATTTTGACTATGTAACTCACAATTCTGATGACTTTTCTCTGAATTTTTAAATATAAACTCGCAATTTCAAGTTATAAAGTCCAATTCTGATGGGGAAAAAAAATGACTTATTGAGTTATAAAGTCGGAGTTTATAACTCGTAATTGTGAGTTTATATCACGCAGTTCTGAGATAAATTCAGAATCGCAATTACCTTTTATATTTTTATTCAGTGTTGGAAACTAGCTTCCATAGTTCTTCTTTATGATATATCGCAAATAAATTTTTAAGTTTGTAAGACTGTTACTATTTGCACAATAAATGAGTAAAAACACTTTGGTTCTCATTCATGAAACAAAAACCAAACACATTTGTGTAAATCATGTCCTCATTCGTAACAATATTTAAAATTGCATGATAAATGTTAATTCCCAAGTTGAACAAAAAAATCTGAAAAGTTCTTTTTAAAAAGGCACCAGAAAATATTATTGAAAATACACTTTCATTTATTCACAACCTGTAGAAGTAATCAGTTAGTGTTGTAAATTTGATTGTACATCCATCAAATCTAAAACCATAAACATTTATAAACATAGATACTTTATATAGGCCGTTACTTCCCGGAACTGTTCGTTTAAGCATTATAACGTACAGAAATCGTCTTCAATTCGATTTGTTGTAATTTACAAATACTTTCTTTTAGGGGTGTAATTAGAGGTTTTCTCTTTTAGTAAAGACAATTTGTTAGACGACAGATTTGCTGCGGCCTATTTTTTACATGCAAAGTCAATTACAATTAAAAATTTGCTACAGTGATCAAATTACAACAGCATAGACACATACATGTACTAATTACAAAACGAAGAAAGTGGAAATAAAAACAACAGGTAGGACTACAGTTTTTTTCCTCTCAGCATTCACCTTTTGGAGGATTTGGGAGTGTCACATAGGAATGTACCACTGAGTGGGCAATGGGGCAGTTGGGGTGGTCTTCAAGTTAGTTTTCTTTCCCTTTTCCTTTCTTCTTCTCGCCCCCCTTGGGTTTGGGGGTCTTTGGGGTGCAAGGTTTGGACACTTTAATGGTGGTCTGGCATTCAGCGTTGAACAGGGCCTTCTTCAATTGCCCCGACCTGCTTCTGGTTCCTGTGGTAGTGTCGCATTCGGCCCAACGACCAAACTTGTACTTGCAGTCAGCTTAAAACAAAGCGCAAATTAGACTGATTGGCCTGTAGAAATGCATTTATGTTTGATTCATATCTGGACACGTAAAACTTCTTACCGCCAAAGTCCTTCTTCCAGTTGCATGGGACTTTGCACTTGGTTTTCTTTGTCTGTTCGTTGCAGGTCGCCTCCCGAATGCCAGCGCCGCAGTCGCCGCTGTTGGGAACACATTTCCCATACTGCCATTCGCTGCACTCAGCATCTGCTTTGGCCTCTTTGCCCTTTTCTGTCGCGAAATAGAAAACCGTTAGTAATGATATCACACAAAAAGAATATGCATTGCATCATTTTGTAAAAGATAAGAACCTTTTTTCTTCATACTGGCTTCCACGGTGATCATCAACACCACCAACAGCACAAGCGCTATAGAGAATAAACTCCGCATTCTGTGAATACAGCAGACATAACGTTCAGATGAAACTTCTTTATGTATATTAATTTAGTATTATTTATATAATTGTACTATTTAATTGCATTTTTGAAAAGTTTCACGTACAATGTTGTCAAAACAGTCTACATACACACGGATCCGCAAACACTGTATCATACATCCAGGCCAGTAGATGGCGATGTCGTTTTCGCTAGGTTCAAAATCGCATACTGACTAATGGTGCGTTCTATTATTTATCCGTCTCGGAGATCCAAATTGGATGACAGACGTTGCCTAGCAACACGCCCCCTTTCCTCGGATTTCTGTGAGGACACCGAGCAAGAATTCCGTTTCGGAATTCAAGATGACTGCGCCCTGTGCGACATGTATGAATTGTTTTCCCCTGTAGGTATGGGAATCGGTTGTTGTGAGTGCAATTGCTAACGTTGCTAGCATTGCTAACAGAAGATTAACATGAAAAACATGAAATAAAGTGAACATTTTCAAGTTCAAATGGCTGCGTTTTGATAAGTTCTAGTCATAATATATTTTTTTTTAATGTAAGTGCCTGGTACTCGGGCAGTGCTACCATTACAACAGATTTCCGGGGTGGCGTCCATTTTTTTTCTCCAACACGCAAAACATAATAGAATGCTTGAAGCATGGGCGTGACGTCATATCCGAGGTCTGAGTCGGTTCGTTGGCTATAATAGAACGCACCATATGTACTACTTATTGAATTTTAATTTACATTGCAACTAAGGACGTTCTATATAGTATAAATGTGGGAAGTATGAATTTGGACGTACTACATCCACCATGTTGTTTCTGTCACGTGAACTACCACCAGCGTCAGTTACTTCGCTTCACTCCCATTCGTAAAATCCTCTCCCGTGGCATCATGGGATAGTAAAGTGTCCATCGAATGCGCACTTCAGAATCTCGCTGGAAGTAGTAGGTCATCCAGAAACTTTTCGCCTACTCTTTTTCGAATAATATGTATTCTGACATACTACTCTTTTGCCATATGTTTTTTGCATACTACATAGTTGGGAAGTATTTGATTTTGGATTTTGTAAAGAAACAATGCTCGCCTATAGACCTTATTCACCAGAGAAACGTGGGCGCCGTCATCTTTAGAATATTGTCTTTCAACTTTTTTTTTTTCGGTCGCTCTTTATATTTCTATGGCGTCGCTGTCGAGGAGTAATTTGCTGGTGAAGTGGATTTACTTATTGTAGAGTTAACAAAAGTTATCATGAGCATTGTAATGTTTATCATAAGCATTGTAAAGTAGATGTCTTAACAAAAGGGGCAGGGCTACATAAGGTCTATAGACTGAACGCATAATAATACGCATGACGTCACTGTCTTTTTAACAAATTCAAGTTTTTGTAGTTTACACAGACAAAAACTTGCACCTTGAAACCAGTTTTCAAGAGGTTTTTTTGTTGTTGAAATTTTCCAATTAATATTCACATGGTATTTTAGCTTCATTTCAATTAACAAAAGATATGTTTTAAACAGTTTAGTTTTATTTAACAATGACGACCCTGAACGTGGCTACAGTCTTGTGACTTGAGTTTTCGTTTGTACTGTCTGACTCTGAATTAAAGACACTGTGTACACAATGTCCTACTACGCCATCCAAGCAGCTCGCTGAGTGCGACTCCATAAAAGAGCCTCGGCCTCAATATATTTTCCTCTTTTCTTGAAGGAAAAAAAAGCATGCAGCACTTCTCCTTTTCATTCTTTTCCTGCCTCCATTATAACAGGCTCCTTTCAAGGCGCAGCCCAGCGGCACGGCTCCATTCTTCAGTCAGTCATAAATGTGAAGGGCTCCTCGGGGTCGGACTTTTGTGTGAGGAGAAACAGCGGAGCGGTCAGCAGGGGTCCCCCCCTCCTCCTCATCCTCCTCCTCCTCAGGGGAGAGAGAGAGGCCAAGCACTCAAAGACCTTCAGCTGGGCCTTAGAGGAGCCTGATTCACTGGCTCCGAACAAAGCAGGAGCTCGCCCGTTTTGCTTCCCTCTCTGAAAGAGGCCGAACACAGATCCCATGCTGTGTCTTGAGGAGGGGGGTGGGCCTCCCCTCACTCCTTTGAATATAAGCCTATTTGCATTGGAGGACAAACCCCGCTCTGTTGATGAAAGAAGGGATGTGGGATGCTGCCTTTGATAAATGCAGAACCGGACATTTTGAGAACTTCCTCAAGGAGCACAAAGTTCAACCGCATCTGGAGCTTTTCGTCCCCCATCAGAATGAAAGTGCGAGGCCTGGCGTATCCATTTGGTTCTGGTTTGGAGAAGTGGGTCAGCAGTTTGCTGGCAGCTGGTCACCTCTTTGGCTCTTCACAGTGCATCATTTTCCCTGACAGCATTAAAGAGCCTTTTTGCACACGAAAACAAAAACTCCACGACTCTATTTATTACAGAATGAAAACAACTATTTAAAGAGACATCCGCCATTAAATTCAACTAGAATACACTGCGATGGTGACGGTGTTAAGTTAAACCTAATATCGTCGCTTTAATACTAAACTCAGGAAATATTCTCATATAGAACACAAATTATCTATTTTATGATCTAAAAAACGGAAACGCGATTGACGCGTTTGTTATTGTGATAGCACCTACGGACCATACGCCCCCTTTTATCGTGTCACATCATAAATACGCCAAAAACATGAATAAAAATATCAATACGGAATAGTATCGCAGCAAAACGTAGATACAAATAAAATGAAATAAATAACGATAATAGAATCCTATAGAAAAAATATCAGGGTCAATCGCAGGTAGATATTTGCATTATTTATCACACGTTAGCTATTATTCAAACGCGGAGCGTCGGGAAACATCACTGCTGGTTAATAATAGCCGTTGCTGGGTTATGATGAGGATGATGAGGATGTACTTGCCTTATTGCTGTGAATATGATGCTGTGCTGTGAGCGTGTGTCTTGCGTTCAGCTCTCTGTGATCTCTGCTGCTCTTTGTGTTTCTCCGAACTAGTTTGAGCTGGTCACACTCGCATAGCTGTGCACTTACACTCACCCCCACTCTCTCTCTCTCTCTCTCTCTCTCTCTCTCTACGTGTAAGTCTACGAAGGATCTATTAATAATTAATATTTGAGATAAAATTATGTGGTAATGGCGCGTTCTCTGTTCTATCTATCTGTTTATCTGCAGTTTCTGTAATATTTATTATTGTTTCAAGGTAAACAAACACACCGTTTTTTCCCCTCAGTGTTTTATTGATAACATTTTACAATAAGGTTTCATTCGTTAACCACATTAGTACCATAACATTTTTTTTAAATCGAGAGTTGTAGTTGTTGACATTATTAACACGAACAAACAAATAACAGCATATTATTAACTAATGTTATTACAAAGATGAAATATTACAAATGTATTGCTCATTGTTAGTTAATCTAAATTGTTACTATTTTTAATGTTTTAATTTAATTGTCAAGGATAATATAGTTTTGATACTCATCGTTTTCGAGCGTAAAATTTAAATGTCCTCTATTTAATCTAATACCTTTATCAAATTATTTTTTCCCTTTTTGTCCCTTATTTTAATTCAGTTATCTTTCTATTCTGTCCCTGTGTGTCGTTTAAAGCCTTTTGAATTACTATATTGTGTATGAAATGTGCTATATAAACCTATATATATTATATCTCCAATGTTTCTCTGTTCAGATGAGCTTGTGTGAATGTTTCTTTGACTTAACACACTGTCTCCCAGATTTAGAATAAGCAGTTTGAGCTGAGGTTAAACTGATTTACGTCCTTTCCCTACTCCAGAAATAGAGCTGGAGCAGGAGAGAGAAAACAATAACCTTATCACCGAAATGATAAATGAGTCACAAATGTCAACACATCCATCACTGCCGGTAACTCATCCAGACATAAAGACCCTCCTATGGAGAGGCACAGTTCAACATTAAACACTGCTTACCACCCGGTGCTCCAAACCCTGAACAGAGCCATTGCTGTGTGATAAGAGAATGAGAGAGTAATGAGGATGACGGATGTGTATTCAGACTGCATATGTAAATATCCCCAGTCAATTAAACCCCATATTAAAAGTACATTCAGTAAATACACAAACTTATTTTTAAAGACTTTATTCGTTTTTTCCCCCAAGTAGACAATAACAAACCAGACCCAAGAACAAATATATCACTATTC